GCATCTCAACAGCTAGAGACAATTTGGTTCAACGGATATTTTCATTTGCTCTCTATGAATCATACCATCCAATTGGATGTATCCTCAGGCAAGGAAAAGAGAATGCTTGTTTAGAGATTTTTGGAGTGAAAGATTTTATTTAACTAGGACAGCATGGGATCTGTATGTGTGTGGAAGTCTTGGGGTTTTTAGTTTATGATTGATCTTCATTGACTTGACTGTTTTCCAACTTACAAACAGCCTTCAATTGCTGCTATCTAAAATTAGTTGTGACTAGTTTTCTTTGAGGCCCACTAGGGGAGGAGAAAACTGGACAAACTGAAAATCTGGCTAAACCAGTTTCATCTGGTTGCTTGGATTTGATTTTTTCCATAACTTGGTTTGAACAAACGACCTGAGTAGCTGTATATACAAAATTAAAAAAGAAGATTAGATATTGGGTAGACAAGGCTCTGTGCTGTAAAAAATGAGCACTCTATATTTGGCTTTCTAGTTTTTCTAGTTTTTCAGTTTTTTAGTTTCTAATGTGTATGATGTTCTTTGCATTTATATATTAGCTCAATGCTTGACTGAATAGTTTCTTTTGTCCTTCTAGGCAAATTTTGTTCCTTCACCTGTCACCACTCAGCCTGCTGTTAGAGCCTTTGTTCCTTCAAATCCTCCTGTTCTAAGAAATGCAGATCAATACCAGCAGCCAACTACCTTGGGTTCTCAGTTATATTCTGTCTGTATAGCTACATGTAATTTCATGTTTGTTGCAAGTTATTCTTCTGAGACTGGTATACTGAATTATTATTGCATGCCTTTCAGGGTGGTGCCAACCCTACTTATCCTGTACCCCCTGGGGTTGGTTCACTTGCACCTATCCCATCACAAATGGGATCAGTTCCTGGCCCCAAAATGCCCCAAGCTGTAGCTCCCACCCCAACACCTAGGGGATTTATTCCAGTAACTAATACATCTGTTGTTCAAAGATCTGGGATGGGCCCGATGCAACCACCCAGCCCTACACAGTCGGCATCAGTACAACCAGCTGCAGCACCTGCTGCTCCTCCACCAACTGTGCAGACTGTTGATACTTCAAATGTACCTGGTAATTGAATGTTAATGTCCTACATGTTTATTGGATTATGGAGATACTTTAGTTGAATGGTTCATCCACCTCACTGAATGGCATTATTCCAGAATTAGGTTTACTATCCAAAACATTGAGTAATGTTTATCTTTACATCATTACCCTTTATGAGAAGAATATTTACAAAATATAATAAATGGTCACAAAAATGATATTTGTCAAATCTTTAACTATTCTTTGCACTAATTGTTCCTCCTTTTGAATTTGCATAATCCACATTAAATAAGCTTGAAGGTATAATCCATGCTTTCTGAACTCATCAAATAAAATCAGTCAAATTTGTGCTTTTTTCAACAGTAATTTCTGTTCATGGATGTCAGCAACTTATAGATGAAGATATATATATATATATATATATATATGCTGATATATCATACTTTTGCTAATGACTTTACCTTGCTTGCTTTTCAGCCCACCAGAAACCTGTAATCTCAACCTTAACTAGACTTTTCAATGAGACATCTCAAGCACTGGGAGGCACACGTGCAAACCCAGCTAAGAAACGTGAAATAGAAGACAATTCAAGGAAAATAGGCGCCTTATTTGCCAAACTTAACAGTGGAGACATTTCAAAAAATGCATCCGATAAGCTTATTCAACTCTGCCAGGCTTTGGACAATAATGATTTTGGTACAGCTCTACAAATCCAGGTATGGTGGGGAAAGAATGTTGTTTATGCTTTTTTACTCATGATTGTTGTCAACTCTAAGTGCTTCAATTTTTTTAATCTCTTCTCTGGAGTAGGTTCTTCTTACCACTAGTGAGTGGGATGAGTGCAACTTTTGGCTTGCAACTCTCAAGCGAATGATTAAGACAAGGCAGAATGTAAGGTAAGTTGTAAGGCACAAAATCTGGAAGGATGGAATCCCCAGTCAACTTATTTTACCTCGTGTGCTAACACACTTGGGGCACTGAAAAATCCTTCGTTGTACACAAGATTGGGTTCACTTGATTGCTGCTGCAGGATTTTGTTTTTTTCGCCCCATTACATGCTTCCTGCTAAATATTGACTTGCCTTCCACATTAATACACTTTTTGAAGGCAGTTAGGAAATAGTTTTCAGGACATTACATTATGTTGATTGTTTTCCATTAGACTTTTTTGTAGTATTGAAAAGTAGAGTTAGCTCGTTCAGTTCAGTTTTCACTTTTTTTTTGGGGGGGGGGGGGTGTGGAGCCTAAAATTCCATTAGTGAGCGATTTGGATTAACGTGCTGTTGTTGCTTTGCTTGGGTTTTGCTTGGCCAGTTTTACAACTCATATGGCTTTTTTTTTTCATCATTAATTAATATAAAACAGAAAGTTTTAATAAGTTGCATTTTCTTTAACCTCTTTCTTTGAGCTGTGTTTTAGAATTATCCATTGCAGTATCTTGTTGAGACATCTCGTAAGGGTTTAAGCTTGACGTTAGAATGTTGGAGTGTATAAATTGTGGCCATCTTCAAATTCATGGGATATTAGATCTTTTGGACCTTAAAGTGATCTTGGGATAAGTTCAACTCGTTTATGCTTGATTCTGAGTTGGGTTAACACTAGGAACACGATGTTATTAACCGTACCACCGGTCCTGGCCTAGCCCTGGAACTGAAATTAAAATTGTAATAGAAAATACATCTTTTTATATAAAAGATTGAAATTTTAAACTTCAAAATTGTAAAAATGTTACCGGTAGATATTGTATTTCAATGCAAATCTTCCTATTGTGCTTCATAGCAATCACCGTAATCTTATTCTTATTTATAATCTTTTGAGTCTTAATCTATTATTCACCTTTTCATAAAAATAAAAAAAATGTTTGATTATTTAGATTCCAAGTTCGAGACTGCTAAATATAGGAAACAACCAGACCGAATAAAATCAATCAAAATAAAGGCAAATCTTAAAATTAAAGCATCCAATTCCACTTGTCAGAAGGGGCCAATCACCTAAAGACTATAGTGGCGGGGAACCTTTTGTTTTGACATTATCCAGAATTTGGTAAAACCATTAACCAGTTACCTTATCCACCATGATGCTTCTCTTCCTCACAAAGTCACACTTCGTCATACAAATTTGTTTCATGGAACCAAAAAGCATTTAGGTTTAACTTCAAAATTTTCACCTTTATTGTTTGCAATTGATTGAAGAAACCAAAACTATTTTCATAGTTAGATCAAGAATCAATTACTTTTCTCTTTCCAGATGAATGACAATCCATTTTCCACGGTCGCTATTTCTTTTTTTTTTTTCCTTTATGGTTAGTGCCCCAATGAAAATTCCATAGTTGACCAATAGTTAGGGAGGTGGGCAGGGCACATTCACCGAGTCATTCAAGGAAGGATACATACATGTACATACAACTGTAACACATGAGATCCAATAATAAGCATATCAAAGTAGAAGCACATGAAACTGCAACTACCTGAGCTGTAAAGCCTTGATATTTGGAAAGGAATATACATTTTCTTGCTTCCTGCTAACAACTAAAGACACATCCCCCTTACTCTCAACTCTCAACCTTTTGAAACTTGAAAATTTTGTTGGCTTGGGTAGGGACGTAGGGTCATCTTCTTCTTCTTGTCTGAATAATGGATTTTGAATTTGTCAGCACTAAAAAAGGGGTTTGGCCCCCCTACGATAACTCTAGCAGAATGGAGTCAACTTGGTGTTTGTGCAGTCCTTTTCTTGGACAGCAAAACTTTACCCGATGCAGTAACTGAACATGTCCTATTATTCATTCCAAGGTCACTGAGTTCAAATACTTTAAAAATACTAGCACAATGGGAAAAAAGAGTCTGTTTGGATGCTTTGGAAGTGAATATTTTCTCGAACTTTACATTGTCCTTGTCTTGTTGATATGATAGCTATGCGCATATTCTCCGTTTCACTGCATTTCAAACGACTCTTCTTCCTTCTGTAACTTTTAACCAAAGAACCTGCACTCCTTAATCTTATCATTTCATTTGAACCAGACAATTAATGACTTAAGACTTGTGGGCTGTTCTATAAGGCTCTACTTATATTTTTCTTGTTGGAATGATGACATTACGTGTGATTGATTACCCATGTTTTCACTCGACTAGTTTAAAACTAAAGTCAATTTAGTAGAATGAGAACGATGTTGAGTTTTCGATTGTCCAATTATCCTCGTTGAATATTCAAATATGTACACAGGAGAAACCCGTGCCCTTTGATTTTTCCCTCGATAATAGAAAAGGAGATTATTATTGCTGGTTTTCAGAATAACAGGACGAATCAGTGAAATCATAATATCTGAACTTAATTTGGCCAATAATACTTGGTCTGTAACGGTAATAAATAATTATAATGATGATAAAATAGAAATAATTAGTGCATAATTCTTATTCATATAAGTTTGGTTTGGTAATAATGTGATTCAACCAACGTTGCAAGTCAGTAAAAGTCTTAAGAGACGTTGTGCCTGGGGGGATTTTAAGTGGTTTTCCAATTGTTCAAGATAATTAGAACACAGAATGTGAGTAGTGGATGATCTCGATAAAGAATCCTAAAGATGTTCTATAAAAATTTTGTAGAATCATGAAACTGGAATATGTGATGGTTACCTTTCATTATATAATAATTCAAGAGATGGGAAAATTCATAATCCAGTCACGAAGGAGAGGGAATTATCTCCGCTGCATGGATTTTGAGAAATTTCCGAACTTTAACCAATTCTTTCCATATTGTTCCGCCATTGAAATAATGTACTAATCACTGGACAAATGACAAAGCAAAGCAAGCCCATCGGAATCAATTATTTAAATTCGTTCTTAACATCGGTTTCGTCCCTGTCAATTTCGCTCCGTATGCTTTAGATAGCATTTATCTATTTCAGGATTACACTCTGATCTTCAAAGTAAACTACTTTTGGCTTAAAATTAAAAACCCATTATGCTTCCAAGCTTGCGTACGCAGAAGAATGGAAGCCTGAGAAATACTAGGTGTCAATTTGGCTGCTGACATAAATCAAAGTTCATTCGAAATGTTTGCAGAAAAGGTAAAATCTCAACAACTACAGTAATAACATTGAAGGCTTGGCCGCTCAAATTTTGCAGTAATGTCTAAAACTAAACCAAATACATTCATTATTCAAGTCATTGATTGAATTTCACCGAGATGCAATAACCTACTAAGAGCATCACAAATTTCATTGCATCTCTCGCTTTAAAGCAATAAATTACATTAAAAAAAAAAAAAACCAGAATCAAACTGTAGAATGTATTATTCAGTTATTCTAGCTGCATGTTCAAATTACAAATATCAGTATTCAACTGATGAGTTTTGAATCACCTCATGCATGGATTCAACAGCATTTTCATCATACGTATGCCTTGCAGCAAAAACACGAGGGGAAAACGAAAGGGAAAAAAAAAAGATTAACAACCTATGAAATGGACATTAGCAATGTCCTGATCTACATGTACATTGAAAATGAAGACCACATTAACAACTTATTGAACCTTGAAAATGTCAATCGGTTGAAATCACCAAAAACTAGTTACCCACAAATATACATGAATTTGAGGTGCAAGCAAGAGAACCTTAAAAGCTTGAACTTTGCTCCATTGCCGATCATTTCAATGTATAAATTTTCATGAACTAAATGTCACCTACAGCCTGGGAACTGAAACTTGATCGAGAAAACACATTACCTTTTCCTGAAAAGAGTTCAGAATTTTCACCAGCTGATTGATTCCGCCTCAAAGTGAAAACACCATTCTCATTACCAACATTCTTCTGCTGACCTCTCCCTCGGTTACCATATCTCTTGCTACCAAATCTATAACTAGAAATTCTGCTCTCTGATTTTGACCCAGGCCTTTCAACCACATCAGCCTGCCCCCACACTTCAGACTCCCCCTCAATACCAGTCATGCCCATAAGTTCCATCAAGTTGCTGCTGAACCCCAAATCTGAATAGACTCTACGTGAGTCCCTCATAGTTTGCCTGCCAAATTTACCATCCATGGCATCCAAATTATCCTGGGCATTTCTAAATTCAACAGGACGCCCCATTGTTTCCACCATCAAACATGGATTGTTAAAACCACTCCATGAATGTAGAGGAACCAATTTGCTCAACCCAGTTAACCAACCAACCACATCTTTCATTGCAGGGCGGCGCTCCCTACAGGACCTCACACATTTTGCTGCTATGACAGCCAACTGCTTCCTAACAATAGGTTCCTTAGGAGGTGCAATCCTTGGATCATAAACAGCAACAATCTTCCCCTTCTTTACAAGAGGAATTGCCCAATCCACAATAGAAGGTGGTGAATGTGCAACATCAATAGCTTTTCTACCACTTACAATCTCTAACAACAAGATCCCAAAACTAAAAACATCAGTTTTTGTACTCAAATTATCTGGGGTCACATAGCATGGATCAAGATACCCAATAGTACCAGCTGGTGGGGTTGATCTAAGCCTATAATCATCAACACCACACCTCAGTGCCAACCCAAAATCACCCAATCTTGCATTGAAATTCCTATCAATTAACACATTTGCAGACTTAACATCTCTATGAATAATTGGAGGTTTTTGTGAGTGAAGTGTCTCTAAGGCTTTGGCAACTTGCAAGGCTAATCGAATTCTTCGACCCCAATTCAAAGGCCTTGAAGAATTAGAGTGAAGAACATCATATAATGTGCCATTACTCATAAATTCAACAACCAATAAACGATCTTTAGCGTCATTAGTAAAGCCAAGAAGATTCACCAATCTGGGACTCTGAATCTTCGACAAGATTTCGATCTCGTTATCAGCTTCTTGGTTGGTTTCATGGTTTCTTGAAGACGGTTTCTTGATGGCAACGTGGCGTCCCCTGAGAACAGCCTTGTAGACAGAACCATGGCTACCTTTGCCTAGAAGCCTTTGATCAGAGAATCCATTGGTGGCAGCTTCAAGATCAGAATAATCAAATTGTTGGATCTTGATGGGTTTTTCCTGCTTGTTGGTGGCAGTTTTGGACGATGAATTCTGGGTGGTTGTGGAGGTGGAGATTATGGAGACTGCTGATTCTGCTTTGCAAGAAAGGTAACCCATCGAAAAAGTTTATTTCTTTTTTTGTGGGTCTTGAAGGGGAGTCTTGTGGAAGGGGAAATTCGACAGTTTACAAGAAATATGAATCAAAGAGTCAAGATTTTTATCATCTCATTGCTGTGTTGCCAAAACGTGAAGAGGAAAAAGTTGAAGGCTTTTTCTATGTTGGAGAGGAAATAACAGGCTATGAAGTGGCATTGTTTTGTTTTTTTATGCGGTGTTGGAAAGAGGAAATTCTTGGGGATATGGCCTTGGCCTGGGTGATGAGATGAAACACAGTCACACAAAGAGCCCACCAAATTGGAATCCCAAGGATTTTTTAACCCATAATTATGCCACGAATTACGTATGCTTTGCATATTGCTGATCTTTTATTTTTTTTTAACGTTCATTAGATTAGATTAGCTGTCTTTTTATAGGCACTAGATTTAGTCAAAATTTTAGTTTAAGCAAGCATCTTTAATTTATTTACCCCCACAGAAAAATATGTAACCTAATAAGTATTGTCAGTCAGATACTCCGGGGTTCACATTTACAACCTCATATCTAAAACAGCTTGAGCTTTGTAAGTTTCAATACAAACAAGTTGGAGTAGTAAAATGTAAGATTATAGACTGCTTAGATAGGGATAATGTGGTTTCAATTCACCGTCTTTCCCTTCCCTTTTCTCTTTCTTGGTGAGATTTATTCAATGCATTGTTTTTTCGCTTTTATGATTCTTCTGATTTGTCTTTCTGTTATGTTATGTTCTTCCTTTTTTTTTCTTTTTTTTTTCTCTTTTGAATGATTAAAGCGTACATTCTTTAGCAAAAAGAATAGTCTTTTTATTAAGCAAGCAAAAAGAATAGCTCATACTTACCATCAAAGCTTTCCACATACATACTACATAAATAAATTGTTTAATTTTCTTTGGGAGCAGGCTCCGGCTGGTAAATCACTCCAATATTGGACCACAATCGAAAGACCTTCTGGTTATTTCGAAGTAGGCACCAGACCAACCATATCTGAAAGGCGCACCTTAACGAAATCAAACTCCCTGGACCCTGCATTGTCACACGAGGAGAGTGAGTTCGTAAGTATTTCTCTTTTAATGATTAACTCCCATCAATGTCTAAATTATTTTTTGTATTAATTTTGGGTTTACATCACACTGTATATTCATGTTCCTTTTTATCTGTTCAGTCACAAAAGTGAATTGCAATTAGCACCAAAACCCTGTTCCAAAACAACGGGAGAACCCAAGTTCCTTGACATTGCCAAAACCCCACCGTTTGCAGGCCACTTGGCAACAGAGTTTTCATGGTGCCGCGACATACACGAAACAGGACATAGAGTCCAATCGTCAATCGAACTAATTCAATGTTGAAGCCCTAATGGGGCATTGCATAGGGAAATAAAAGAGATAGAGCTGGACCAAGTTCCGTTCTCTCTTATCTCCTTCCCAATCTTTAATTCTTTGCCACTCCTTGTATTATTAGGTAGGGACTTGAAGATAACAATGTGGGGTAGATTAATTTGACGGTGCAAAGGTTGCTTCCATCACGTTAAAAGCTTGGTGAAGTTAATTTGTTTCACTTTTTTTCTGAAACTTAAACCATAAATGATCGAAGAATTCACGAGGTTTTTACCTCGTTCGTTTCCAATGTCATCAATTTTCACCATGATCAATAGAAACATCGAGAGTGGACCCTTTGGCAATACTTGTGGGTTTGGTTTAGCATCATATTTATGAATTCAATCTAGGAATTCAAATTTCACATGTAAACATCTTGTGCAAGATTACAGATTACATAAGAAAGTTTGATATTGCCACAGAGCTGTTTCCCTTGGTATTCTTCTTGTCGTAAAAAGAGGTTGGAATAGTTGTCTTCGAAAATGACGAATAGTTCTCTCTACTTGTCCTTGTATTGCATGGAGGCTTCCTTTGGAAAAGTTGTTTGTTTTTTCGTTTCCTTTCTTCTCTTTTGGGCCAAGTAGATTCGACATCATGCCATGGAATTTTCTACCTCTCTCTTTCAAAAAGGGGAAAGGAATTCAATTCAAAAAATTTTGTTGAAATTTTGTGGTGTTTCAGCAATAGGGAGTATCAACTATAATTCTACGAAGTAATTGTGCTAGTTTAGTGGGTTAATTGGGTTGGTACCTCCAACAAGTCACAAAAGATACAAGTACTTATCTTGGTTTTTTTTTTTTTTCTTGTTTTATTGCTGCTGCCGGCAGATAATTTGATTTCATTTCCTTTCATGGCCAAAGTTAAGGATTTTTTTAGCATGCTGAAAAAGGTAAATGGATTATAGCAATCACTGAAGCCTCGTACATGTTACCAGGCTTTGTAATTCTTCTTTATTGAAGTTTTTGATGTTACATTTCACGATACCTCTTTATTTATTAGTATTAATTTTCTTTTTGTTTTCGGTTTTAATTTCATGAAATGGGCATGCCTTGTACTATTCAACAAGATGGTGTGAATCATGAGTCAACTTTTTTGAAGTAAAAAAAAAAGAAAAAGAAAAGATTGCAGTTGATTGAAAGAGCATCGACACTACCTTTTATGTCATTCTATAATTAAAGAAAGCCTTGGTATATTGTAGCATAAAGTCTACACAAAAGAAAACAAATTGGGCCAAAAGTAATGTTCTAACTTCTTTTCAGGCTATACCTTAACTGGAGTCCACGAGCCCAACTTGAAAAATAAAATCGCCATCTTTATGGACACAAAATTTTGCGTATCAGGAAATGCAGAGCACCGGAGTTTGCTTCATTCCTTGTTAGGATAAGAATGGTGTAAATCTCTTCTCCAATGCCATATTTTTATGAGTGTGGATACAATCTTGTTTGCTGCATACTTAGCACTTGGAAAGCAAAATTGGCTTACGAATAGCTAAAATTCAATCACAAAGCAAAATAATTACAACTGCAAATAATTTATATCAAATACACTCGTCCAAGGAATACAAGACCAATGTGTTTAATTTATACTTTATTTCAGTATTCAATTCTAGCTAGCTTTAGAGAAAGAGTCAAAATTTTAGTGTTCAAACAATATTTTCTGACCGACCTTATGTCATTTTTATATTCTTTTCTCAAGTCACAAGTCACACCAACCTCCCAAGAAGACATTTTTTCCCTAGTAGTATAGTTTTAAACGAAAGCGGCCAAAATTAATTGTTGGAAAGTAAACTTTTATCAACCCGAAGATTCTTATTGGCTGTATTTAAATTGATAAACACAGCTAGTCCAATGGCACTGAATTTGACTTTCTTTCCCAACTGGCTAGATGATAATCAAAGTGTTGTGATGATAAAGTACAAAGTTTCTAATCAGATCCGTCAATCTAACCACAAACTCAAAGATCAAACGAGGATAGATTAGAATACAAGTTCAGAACCGTCTATTTTGCCGACAAAATCCTCAGTACCTTTTCACTGGAATTTTTCAACATCGAGCGTACTTCCGCGTAATCTTCAAACGCTTTAACATCGACCTTGCACCGCGTGAACTGTGGAATGAATAGCCAAAAGCCCGTGCCCAAGACGAAGCCTATTGTCAACGGCCCCGTGACTAGCCACGGAAGCTGGCACTTGCCAATTAATGCCTTCTTCAAAGCAATCTCAACTGTCAAACAAAATCCATGGATGAGAAAAAACCAGGTCACCTCACCTGTGGGACTCAAGCGGCCCAGATAGTAGAACATGAGCTCGTGCATAATAGCAGACACAACAAACGTGGAAAGCACAGATGGGAGTGGAGCCCACTTTCTGCCAATGACAGTTGTGGAAAAACTGAGGGTGGGTTCATACACCGTGGGCCGCAGGATACTGGTCACCATGAGGTTCCATCTTTTGCCCCAAAAGTCCTGCAGCGAGGTTGAAAGGTACGGCTCATTGAACTGTGGCTCAACCTCGAGCCCCGAAAAGGATCGAACCATGGCTGCCCATATGGCTAGGATGATCTCGAGGAGGAAATATATGTGCAAAGAGTAGAGGAGCATAATGATGTTTGGATGCATAAATTCAATGTAATCATAGACCCGTACTATGATGGCCAAAAGCAGACCCTTTATAGCATAGTTTACGGGACCTTCTTTGGATTTTCTAGAAGATGAATTTTCTTTATTTTGGCCATTACGATATGATTTTGATGATGTTTCTTTGTTATGGCCATTTAGATGTGATTTTGGAGGTTGGTTTTGTTGGATCTTGATGGGTAGGCAAGCAACAGCCACAAAAAGTGGAAGAGAAATATTTGCACTTAAAGGACCTTTACCAAAAGCAAATAGTAAGAGCTTGAAGTTACCAAGCCAAGCAATGAAAAAGGCTGTAACACCGCCAAGATGCGGTGAGTAGAGATTGAGAGGGAGATAGAGAAAAAGACACACAACAGGGAGCACGAAAATGAGTCTTTTGGTACCTTTTGGAACCACCTTGCCGATGGCGTGGCAGTAGCATAGAGATGTCAAAACAGTTAACCATACCTTGATGAAGCTGTTGATCTCACCCAACATTTTTCTTGTATAATTGTATTAATCGTCTTCTTGATCTTTGGTTATTGAGAAATGTAGAGTGTCAAGATACGAACATGAAATGCAAGATCTTTGGATATTGGGGTTGAGTGCCTTAAGATTATATTGATGAGATAGAGAGGCATTGACCATGGACTATGAAGGCAGAAGCGTTGAGAGACTGCAAATGTATCTTTGGGATCTTACAGTTAAATTCTTTCTTTTTTTTTAGTTCAGGGCATAGTCAAATTCCAGCACAATGTCTTGCCTGTGAGCAGGCGGAAAAATGAACCCTTAGGTTTGGTAGGTAGAAATTTCCTTCCCAGGCACCAAAACATTTTCTTTGAAAGTAAAATGTTTCTTTCATCAGTTGAGTATTAATTTAAATGATATCTATATTAACTAAATTTTTAAAAACTGTAAATTCATACAATTTTAAATTCGTAATGTTTTGTGAGTGACTTAAATAAATATAAATTGAAGAGTTAAAAAAATAAATTAAAATTAAAAAAAAAAATCTTTTTATTCTCCACATGATGAGAAAAAAAAAAAAAAAAAACTAATTATACATCTGAATCTTTATTGTTACATGATGCTTGTCTATAGGGGTAACTCTATTTAAGGGATTTCCTTATACTTCCGAATCAATATTCTATATTTTAATAATAATAATAATAAAAGAATATAACATGCCAGTCTAGATAGTGCAGGACTAGAATTGGGGTCGTTGTAGAAAAAAATGTCCAAATCAAAATTAGTTATTTTTACCGGTTCAGATTACCATTATTATTTTTATAAAAAGTCTTTAGTTACAACTTGAAGTTTAAAAATCCATTAGTGCGAAGGTCTACGCCCATCAGAGTTGACTAAAACTTTTACCATTAAAAACAGAAAGTAGATTAAAAATATCTAAATCCCACATGGCACCACTAACCGCACCTGTCATTGCTCCCACCCAAAACAACAACTTCAAAATGTGATGATGGTTTTCAAGTTTTAGATCAAATACTTCCCTCTCGTATCAAAAAATGTAGAAATAGAATCTTTAACCACAATGCATTTGTAACACTTTTCACAGTAAACATACATACATCTGCCAGAGTTAGGACAAGGTAATTTGTTGAGGGTGACATGGGTACGAGTGAGTTGGATGATGATTTGGAAGATGTGTTGAAAATGATTTGTATTTGTAACAAGAAAATATGGTTAAACAATATCGGAATTGGTTTTTTAAATATGTTTCGACACTTACATCAATAAAGTATTAGGATTTTTGAAAGAAGAACGTGAATCGTAAAAAATATAAAGGAAGTTTGGGGAAAAAAATTTTAGAATATGTACATAAATTTTTTAATTTATTTTATATATGAGATAATCGATAGTGATATGATCATAAAGTTAACAATTGACAAAAAATTTATATATAATTGGAGGAAAAATCATGTAGACTAGTAAAATTTGATAATTTCAGACTATGTAAATTACATTTAATAATCTAAGGTAAATTAAAAATCAATTAAAACATTATAAAGTGATATTTTAGTTGGATATTAGTTGTGATAAATGGACGAATTTTTTCATAGGCAAAAAAATAAAAATGAGTTAGTATTATAATGATAAATTTAAATATCAATTTTTTTAATGATAATATGATAATCGAATGTATGTTAACTTGATAAGTATGAAAATTAATCTTATCGATTGAATAACAAATAGATATAACATCAATGTAAGAAAAAAAATGAATTATATAAATAATCATCATAAGCACTTTGTCTTTCCTTCTTGCACTATTACATATCATCGCATTTATAATAATTACTATTACATAATCAATGATTTTGTACCAGTAACAATCAGCTCTAATCAGTTGTACAACATTTTACAAAGCATTAGCAACATAAATATATGATGACAGTTACGGGCAATGACCGATATTAAATTAGGAAGCGTTCAATTGCTACTCGATTTCAAAGTGACTGCAATCCAACGAACCTTAATCTTATTCAGAGCTGTTTGCAATACAAATACATGCAACAGATTTGGGTGCTCATCATTGGTCAAACTTTGCCTTTTTTTTACGTTACAGCAGGTTAAAATTCTGTTTTGTGCCTGTGGTTGATTAGAACATAAACAACATGAAGAATTAGAAATCAATATCAGTATTCAGGACCTTGATTGATATGCCTGTAATTCATTTTCTACTCATCATATATCAAATAATTAAACGTACATTAAACTATGTGAGAATGTATTGAAAGTTTAAATTATCTCATCGATGAAAGAAAAATATAGTCCACTATCGCGATTTGGTTTCTAACTTGCCAAAGCGAGATTTGAAGTAAGATTCTATCCGGTTCCATAGTGAGAACCTGGATCCAAAAAATCGCACTATCACTGATTTGTTGGATCCTTCTCTCACAAATTCCAAGTCCCTGGTGATGCTATTCTGAATGCTTTCCGTTTCCATATCATCGAGTAAGGGTAATGCAACTGCACCCTTGGTTTCCAGGTTCTTGATCCATCCTCGTAGCAAATAATTCACCACCTGTATAAACAATTACAGGAAATTGTCTAAATGACACAACATAACAAGCATGAGAAATCAAATTCAGATAGGATGGATTTGTTAAATTTTAAAATTTTATGAGAACCGAAATTTAAAGGAAAGTTGAAAATTATGCAGTCATTTGCTCTTTCAACAATTGAAAATTTACATACAAATGAAGGATTATCGATGATTAGATGTGAAAAGCAGGCCGGTCAGTGAGAACATACCTCAGGAACTTCATCATGAGGGCAGTGACCAGCAGGGCTGATCTCATAGTATGGAGCTTCAGGAACTTGCTTTTTCACCTGAAGACCCCAGACAGGCTTCACCCAGGGGTCTTCTTTTCCATACATGAGACAGATTGGCACATTGTTCATGTGACACCTAGAAATAACAACAAACTGAAAGTCCATAACTTAAAGCAGAAAGGTATCTTTTCCACGTAGAATGGACATGACTTTTCCATACTTGTTAAAAACCTATTCATACTATGTACCTTGATAAAGCCTCCCTGAAGGAAAGCTCTCCTTGAGGGGCAAACATAATTGAAGCAAATGATGCAGCAGCAGCAGGATGCTGTGTTGTCTCAAGAATATGAGAAAAGACTTTGTCAACATTTATAGAATGATCTGCATAAACCTGTCGAAGTACATCCGCAATATTTTCAGGATCACTTATCTTTTGCCAACTGAAATCAAAGGAGGGAGACGAAGTTAAGTAAGAGCAATAAGAGATTTGAAGGAGAAGAAGTTAAGTAAGAGCAATAAGAGATTTGAAGGAGAAGAAGTTAAGTAAGAAAGTGCAGCAGATTGCTCTTGGGGTACTAAATAAAAATATTAAACCCAACTTTTTTGAAACTCTCTTAAAAATTCCACTCCCAAAGTGATGAAAACAATCACAAAATGACTTCATCTCTTTTCCAAGTAAAAGCCTCAATAAGATAATTATTAACATGTCTATAAATTTAATGGTTTAAAATCTAATGGAATGGCTGTTGCAAGATGAGAATGCCATATCATCTAATACCAAAGGAAAAGGAACTTACACAAATTCTGTCAGCTTTCTAACACTTTCTGGTAGAGGAAATGTTCCAGACCATGAAAATATCCTTGCTAATCTTGGAGATTTTATTGGATTAGGTAGAAATCCCCAAAAAGGAGTTGCATTAAGAAGTGTAACACCCTTCACTAACTGAGGATTGCATGCTGCAAAGTATAGAGCAACAAATCCTCCTAGTGAGTTCCCTACAATGTAAACTGGTTCACCAATGACCTGTGAGAGAAAGAGCTAAGGTCAAGCTTGCTGTCTTCACATTATATTAGTGCATTCATTTATCTGAAACCAAACAGTTACGTGATTACTATTTCAAAATCCTAAAGCCATTTTAGCTATGTTCCCTTTCATTGGCGTAACCTTAAGACAAAATGCAAATTAGAAGACATGGTAGTAAGCAAATGTAGCATGAAATCGTATATGCAACAGCATTATAGATAAATAACCTGCAAGGCATTGCAAAAGGAGAGGATTAGAGTTATAATGTAAATGTATTAGTACCTCTTCTACAAAATAGCGAACTTGATCCCGCCATAAATCCATAGAGTAAACCAAATCACTTGCCCATGGTTCTGTTTTATCCCCAAATCCCCACACAAAATCCTTCCCTTCTGAGATACCATCCTCCTTAGAAGGGGAAGTAGGATCTTCAATAGGCAATGACATGCCTTGCCCAAGAAAGTCAATTGCCCATACCCTATAATCACGACCCAAATCCTTCAGTTGCTTTTCATAATGAAAAGAACCAACACCAAAACCAGGAAGAAAGAGTAGTGGCGGAGAATTCAAATTTTCACAACCTGATTTCTCGTAATGCACATTTAATTTAGGTTTCCACTCCCAGAAACGACTGCTTATTGGAGCACCACATTCACCATTGTACTCATCGGGCAACCCTGGAATTAAAACCTTGGTTACTGATTCACCAGTTTCTGAGATCCTTACAACCTCGTCTTCATTACCAATCACATAACCATCATAATTCCAGCTCAGGACCTTTGACTCAACATTGTTAAACCCTTCAAGAGACTTGAATGAACTTGAACCTTTCCCATAGCAGCAATTATTCAATAAAGGACGATCTTTATTAGATAACCCCAGTGACCCAGTTGGGTCATGAACCCTAGAACACAAAATTCTGCGCTTTCTACACAAAGGGATCTTTACTTGCTGTTCTCTACTCGTGCTTTTCTTCACTAATAATCTCCGCTTTAGATTAAAGCATGAAGGGGAATTGTATGAGATGACTTCCATGCTTAGAAGCTTTACACTGATTATCAGCAAAAGCAAACATCTTAGCAAGAACTAAACTTCACCATATGGTTGATTACAGAGGGAAAAAAAACAAAACAATCAAGAACAAGCAAAGAAAATAAACTTTTCTAGAGCCTCGTACGCAATTGATTGATCTTTTCATTCAAAGGATTTATGATAAATTCTTCCATCAAGAAAAACCCATACTTCTTTCATTACGAGCTTAAATTCATGAAAGAAATAACCATAAAACAGAGCAAAAACACAAGCTTTTTCTGGGCAGGATTTCTTTTTAAAGAACAAAAAACTTGAAATTAATCAAAGAGTAGAGCTTGTGAACTTATTAAAAGAAATATAAATGGTTTAGCACAAAATATGAAAGAAAAATAAAAAAATATGAATCAGAAATAGCACTAGATTTGTTTATTCTAAAAAAAAAAGAGGGGGTTGGGGAAGAGAGATTATGGGATGCTTTACCTTTTAATTCTGAAAGACAAGTGTCATTGGCGTTTGCTAGTTTTTTGGGAGGTTGAAAATAGTTTGCAGCCTTTTCCACGAATTTAGCAGAATCCGGCGCAATCTATCGAGAAGCACAGAAACTATGTTGCTTCAAAGCTTCTTCTTCCTATAAAAAGCCAAGTAATAGATGAAGTGTCTTAATTTTTCTTCTTTTTTTTTTCTATAATCTTCTATTTTCAATTAAAACAGAGAATTACCAATTTTTTTTCCATTAATAAAAATCTTTAAAGGGTTTGGTCGAAGAGGAAATTGAAGGAAAGAAAGTGAGAGAAGCAAGAACAACAGAACTAAACTTGTCCTTTTTCCAAGTTTCCAACCAATTGGATGCGAGAAAACATCCCATTAAATCAATTTGCCACCTCTTCATATTCACTCGGCTATGATTCTCTCCGACTATAAAGAAGCTACGACTGCTAGAACTGCTTGCCTTCACCACTCGTTTGCAATGGGATTTCAGAGGGAATTGTGTCGTAAAGGGGCACCTCGTCAATTGCACTAAAAAGAAGATAGTATTGGACGCAGAGAAGCCGAACCAAAAGAGATAATTATCCATAACAGCACTGACCCAAGTACTATCAATCAAATCTATCATGTTTCAACATTGTCCAGACAGGTTTTGGTTTCGGATTCTGGCTTGAGATGTGATAAAAATTCGTTGTCTGTTTCTTTCAAAATACTAGCAACTTTAAAGATACGTATTTTAATAATTTATGGTCGGAGGTGCAGTAGTAGGAGACTACTCATACACCGTCCAATACCATTTAAAACCCCTGCCACAGCATGTCGGTTTAAGAAAAGTTTCTCTGCTTAAAACATAGTGAAAGTTCTCGTTATTAATATTTATTCAACTTACGTTTATATTTTTAATCAATTTTTAATTAATTTTTAATTAATTTAAAATTATTAAATTTTAATCGTAATTCTGATTCAAATTTTTATTATTTTTTAAATAGTAGAGAAGATCATTTTCTGTCTGCTTAAACATTTTCACCTTTAAATTTATTTTATTTCCTTTTACTCTATTAAGTGAAGTTGAAAAAGAAAGAATCAATTGCAATAATAAATCTTAATTATGTTAGGAATTGACATAATCGTTAAATTGAGTTCGACTTGTTGAATACATAGGTAGTTTCTAAATATAGTCATTTGATATTTGAATCAACGCAACTGTGGCCTACGCTACTTCATGACTTCGAGGGATTTGAAACAGATATTGACTAATCTCACCTTTGCAAAGATGAAGATATTGTTTGCCAGGCATCAAAGTCTGGAAAGTTTACACTTCTGTAACACATGAAGCTGGATCAGCATCAAAATCTCTCTATATTAGCTTCTTGTATAAAAATTAGAGGATCATATAGGCAATTACTATAATTTCATTTTTTGATTTGTGGACTGACAACATGTTCTCTTTGTTTCTTTGGATTAATGAAATATCATTTATAAAAAAAAAATATTGTTCAATGAAAATAGTATTAGTACTTTTAATTATAGTATTATGTTAAAAAAAAACAATAAAGTTTTAGTCGCACTTGTGTATTTTGCAAACTCTACTGATTTGGAAAAAAACAAAGTAAAATATTTACACATGTTAAGGTTGAAGTCAACCATAAACCATGAACATGATCTTATTAATTAAAAAAAAATCAAGAAAGATATACGGAACCTCTTTTTTTTTTTTTTTAATACTTTTCTCTTTGTTGAAGTGTTGGGCTAATTGGCTGAGCCTACATCAAAACATTGCTGTTTTCTTGAATGGGCAATTGGGCAAGTGGGGTTAGCCACGTTCAATTACGATCTGTTGGTACTGTTCTGTTCCTTTAACCTAAGGTCTACAACTGCAAAAAAAGTCCCCCGCCTAGTGCCCACCAGGGGCTAGAATTATTATCTTGGGTATCTGGAAGAAAAATCCCAAATATCTGACTTTCTTCAACCTTTGTTTCGTCTAACAATATTGATCAATTCATTGTTTCCTTCTTTACGCACACAACTAGTCGCAATAGAAATATGAACTATTATGAGGCCAGTTATGGAAAGAAAGAAAAAACAGAGTTACTAGCAATTGAACAAGAAACCCAAGAACTGTCGTATCTTTCATGTCTGATAGTAAGTAATCAAAATTGGAAGTGAATTTTTTCTTTTTTTTTTCAGCTCTTAAAAAAGAAAGCAACTGCTCTGATTTGGGATAACAGCCACTTATAACCCAAGTTTTTCAAGGACTTGATACCAGCAATCAGAGAAGAGAAGAAATGGTTGAAACATCGGAGAAAACTATCAAAGGTTCTTTATTAAAAATAGATGTATAAAAGAAAGAATTTTTTTTCATTTCTTCCTGGAATATAATGCAAAAGCAGATTATGCAGAAAAATAACCATTAAATATCTACTATTGTACGTGACTTTAAATTCTGTCAAGCAACAGGAATTTTCTTTTAACGAGCAAGAAGATAATGGCTAGTGACTAGTGAGAACTCGCTTTTACGATCCCAATAAAAACATTATCTGTCATCATTTCTGACCATTTGATCAATAATAACCATCGTCCGATCTTCTATGATTGACAAAAGTTTCCATCGCAGAGTGCGAACTGTTTCCAAACATCTTGAGCTTCTTCGATCCAGTTGGCAGAGTAGCAGATTGCTGCACAACCAAAACAGAAGGTGGTGATTCGAAATCCGTTGATGTTAATGTCTCCCCAAGCGGTCCCAACTCCGGAGAATCACTCCAGTTTGATAGCCCTGCTGTCAAAGGAGATTTTATGCCATTTCCTCTTCCTACTACGTACAAATCAAAATCATTGTAAACAGAAGTTATGGTCGACACAATCTGGTCTCCACCGTTAACTTGTTTTTCGATGTAAGCTATGGATTGATCATGCATTGTCCTGAACCTGAACTCGTTTAAGTAATCATCATCAAGCTGCTTCTGCTTCTCTCTCTCAAACATGGCTGTCAAAATCCCTGACTGATCAAATTCGTCTTCAAAGTTATCGGTCGACTCAGAAACGTCTTTTCCCGGAAGAAATCGCACTACGGTTAGTATTAGGCTTGGAGTGCCTGCCATTCTCCAGGCATAAGCTAATGCCTCTCGGTCATCTGGTCCCTCAACGAACAGCATGGCAATGCGACACTCCCGCATGCCATTTTGTGATTCTTGATTAAAGGTTGAAGTTAAGCCACGATCAACAAGTAAGCCAACGGTACAGGGTGCAGTTGCCAGCAAATTTCGGTTCACTTGTTTATGCTGAAGGTTTTCATCTGTCCATCCGCCAACAGCATTTGGTTGCTTGTGAAATGGGATCAAAATGATATTGGCGAGCTTGTCTAGTGCAAAGTTGCTAACATCCTCGTGCATGGAGGCGTAAGGGGACACTGCTGTTAGAGGCTGAACAGTGACCGCATGGTTGTCATTCTCGAAGGATTCAAAGGCACTGGCAATTTGCTCCGCTTCAGCTTTTTCTCGAGTGGCATTGTTCCCAGAATCGGTGGTCTTACTCTTATCATGGAAAATTATCATTGCAGAAGCGCGTCCAGCAAGCTCAACCAAATGGACAGCAAATACAGTTATCGGGGATTTCCTTGTGGCGTTTGAAAATTGCAAAAGATTAATCAAGCCGGATACATTTCTGGTGGAATGAACGCATGCAAGGACTCGAAGTTGTGCTTCTGGTTTACTTTTCTCTAAGTTACTATGATAGTATTGCTTCATATGTCTTGCTGACTTGTGAGTGAAACTGACTACTGGGCCAATAATGATTGTCATTACCATTAGGGCAGCCATAATACAAGAAAAAGTTTGTTGTTCTAAACCCTGAAATATATACATCATGCGCATATCTTAGTTAGTGTGAGGTATTTGGCTTGGACATATATATACTTTTAGCAACAATTTAAGGATGATATATACATAATGATGAAAAGCGTTTTAAAACCTACCTTCATGTTTCGACCTTCATTAAGAATAATGAGCGCTAGAACGCCTTTGGTGTTCATCAGGATTCCAAGAGCCAAACTATCTCGCTTTGGGCACTTGAAGTAGAGGCAGATAAGAAGCGTGCTTACAATCTTGGCACAGCAAGCCAGAAATACAACTAGCAGCACCAGTCCGACAGAAAAGTCAGCAAAAATATATTCCAAATTGGTTCTAATGCCAGTAATCATGAAAGTAGGGGGCAGCAGAATCCCCACTACGTACTCTTCAATTTTGTCCATGATCGAAATCCCTAGCTCTCCACCGGGTATCATGAGTCCAAGCATAAATGCTCCAAACATGGAATGTGCCCCACATAATTCTGTGATATATCCACAAAGGAGCACCAGTGATAGAATGAAATATACGTGCTTATCCACTGTTGATGATTCTTTGCTTGTTGCAGAAATTTGTTTCAGTGTCCAATAGATAAATGGACGCATCATAAACCAGAAGATTGTCATGCCGAACAGGACTAGGATTGCCACGTACAATTCCTGCTGCCCATTGATTAGAGATACTATTACCACAAGAAGAAACCAACAAGATAGGTCACTAACAACGGCTGCAGTCAAGGCCGTTTTACCAAGATCCGTGTACATGAGCTTGAGGTCTGAAAGTATTCGAGCTAGGTCCGGAAAGCTTGTAACGCTGAGGGCAATCGACCAGAAGAAAGCACCCATCACAGGTGAGCGAATTGTACTTTTTTGTTGTTGCCGCACCAGGGAATGTAACCCCGCTCCTGCAATGCTGGGCAAAATAATACCAGCAATGGAAACGCTCAAGGCCGTTTTTCCTATTTTCCGAATTGGGGTTAAGTCCATCTCCAGACCCACCAGGAACATATAGAAAGTTACACCAAGGTTCGCCATTGTTTCCAGAAGCAAAGTCCCCTCAAAAGGACTTATAATACTTGATATCAAGGCCGATATACCCAGCGCGCTTGGTCCTAGCAGAACGCCAGCCTACATATATATAAACATTTATATATACATATATAATATGATGATGATGATGATGATGATGATGATGATGAACAAACAAGATTAAAAACAACAATTAAGCTTACTACACATGCAATTAACATACAAGAATCTCAGAAAGAAACCGAGGTTGACGAAGAGGTCCGAGGACGAGCATCAAAATACGCGTGAGCGCTATGAGGATGCTTAGTTGCATCATAAAGATAGGAAGGTTTTTCATCAAGGGGTTTACTGCTTGCCAGGAATTGTTGGATATAGGTTTGGTATCATTATAGCATATGGTAAATTCATTGTTCAGGCCAAAGAAAATCCTGTACTTCCCTTTATTTTCGAAATCTGGTCTATGAGCCATTTTGGCACCCCGGTTCTTTCTTCTTGCTTCACCTACCTATCCCAGGGCCTGCCCCAGCAATGAATTAAACTGCTTGTGTCTTGAATATAAGCAAATGCATATGCCTACACCAATATTTAATTTTGGAGAAAAGAAATCAAATTAATAGTCATGCAGCCGATTTTTCAGGAAAACAGGTTGTAATCCTTTCTTATAATTATATCTTGTTGAGGTTTTAGTTAACTTCAAATACAACTAATTGTTATAGTAATCAATTAATTGGTTAGTGGTTTTCATTTCAGCCTACAAATTAATTAATTAATTAATTAATTAATTATTAAATTTGATCACTTAAACGAAACGACTCAATCTTGTCTAGCTAGCTTTCATATTTTGATTCTGGTTTGACATAACAATCTTGCTAATTTTAGTTAATTTCTATATTCTATATGCTGCTATATCACAGTTAATTTAAGTTAGCAGGAGTTAAAATCAGCAAATAATTGTACTCACTGTACAAAAAGTATAAATAAAACTAGCTGATGTGATGCATCATGTTGATAAGAAATTGGCAGGAAATTAAGGAAACATTCTGTTTCGAGACAATTACATATCTACGGCAATAAAGGAGGGTGCAAGCCCTGAAGTTGGCAAATTCTGGTTATGAGCTAACCTAAAATTGGATTTGATTCCTTGTCAATTGTTTTTGAGCCAACAAAATTGGAGGCAATATTCCTCCACCGTTTTTTTAATTTCGTCGACACTTGACAATATATAAAAAGTCAAGAGACTGTAAAAGGAAACTCACACGAATATAACTTAAATGTTTAAAGACTCTTTAAATTATGTTTGATGCATAAAATAATAAATAAAATAATATGATAATTATTTTATATTTATTTAATTTATATTTAATTAAAAAAAATAAAATTATAAAAAAGATTGTTCTGAAAATTCGTATTTAATTTATAAGGTATTATTCATTTTAATACGAAAATTTCACGATTTTATTTTACAAAAAGTACATAACAGATTTGGGTTTAAGCTTTAACATATATATTATAGTAGATCCATAAAGCATCTCGATATAAAATTGAGGTGTCATAAGATGATTCAATCTTCTCAAAGCAAAAAAATATTATTTTTAATTCATGCAATTAAACTTACATATCATTTTATATCTTTAAAAATTATATAAATAATTTAAATAATATAAATTTTGAGGAAAGATAATTTTGATCAATAAATAAATTATCTTATCTTAATCTTTACACATATTAAATATAAAATAAGATGACATTATTTAATCTAATCTTATTTATAATATCATTTTATTTTATCCTATCATAATTTTATATATCAAACATGATCTAAGGTGATCTCATAGTGAATATTGGTGAATATGTAAAATAATTAATTAAATCGTTCATATAAAATTAATTAGCTAGGTACTAGCTACTATATATATTTATATATTTAATAATTTACATATTAAAACATTTTAATGATTTTTTATCTCTTTATATTTATTTTGGAAACGAAGGCATTTGAATATATATATATATATATATATATGCTTTAAAATTTAGTGAAGGATAATGTTACGTAAATGCTAATTTTTATTATCTCATACTTTACACGTAAACATTTGTTTTTTTATTTATTATCACATAATAATTATATATTGAATCTATAATTACATATATTTACTATAAATAACTAATTAAAATTTACATATATATATTTATCGGGAAGATCATATGTATGATGCATATATACCATAACCAATCATAATTAATAATTAATTGAATAAACTTGAGAAGTGAGAATTACATTTTAAAACTCCAAGAAAATCAAAACTTACATGTAAATTTCGTGTAATTAGAAACAAACACAAAGAAATTATAAAAAAGAATAACTACTTGGTGCTTATTTGATAATAATAAAAAAAAAAGAATGTGAAAAAAAAGTTATTACTTAGGAAAAAAAAACTAAAAATCGGGTATAAATTCAAAATTATTTTTTTGTTTACTTCATATATATAAATATATATATATATATATATCTTCGGAAGATAACTTTTAATTAGCATTATACAATATTTTGAACAATTAGAAATAAAAATCATTATCAACATTCAACAATATTAAATTCATAAATTAAAAACATTAAAAACACTTTTTAAAAAATAAATTAACATTTAAAAGAAGAAAAAGAAAACACACAAGTATTAAGTATATAATATAATAAAACCGACTCTCACACTTTTGATAATAATCATAATTAAACTGTTAATAATACAATATTTAAAAAAAAATTAAAAAGAAAAGAAAAACACAAAAATATTAAGTATATAACATAACTAAATCTATTATAGCACTTTTTTTAATTACAAGTTATAGCATTTCTAATAATAATCACAATTAAATCATAAATAAAAATTAAGTAATTAAAACTATTAAACTTAGTACTTTGTTTTAAATTCTTATTAGTATTAATATATGATTTAGATTATAACTTAGTTAAAGCTAACACCTAGTTGAGTTATTAATGAATTATAATACCATTTTTATAAATAGTAAATTAAAAATAATTTAAAATAATAAATGGCATTTTATGTCTATTTTCATCTGTTCAAATAAAAAATTCTCAACATCCGTACTTGTGTATACTAAGAAAATAACTTAGTTTAAATTTGGATCGGATTTTCATGTTGTCAAATTATATTATGAATTTTGTATAATTGTTATGTGTGTATAATTTTTCCCTGTGAAGGTAATATTAGACATACATACATATGAAAATAAAAGCTTGATTTTTGTCATTTCAAATAATTTGATCAGTAATTAATAATCTCATTTTCTATGATTAAAAAATCGTTGAGCAGTTGATTGCCCGCTATTTCCAATTACCCCCTTCTTTGAGGTAGAGCTCATGTTCTTCGATACACTAGGGGTAGGAGCCGATTGTTGCATAACCAGGACTGAGGCTGACGATAAGAAATCCAATGATACTAATGTTTCCCCAATCGCTCCCAACTCCGGGCAATCACTCCATTCTGAAAGCCCTAATGTCAATGGGGATTGCATGCCATATCCTCTACCTACTATGTACAAATCATAATCATTATAAGATGATCTTATGGTTGATACAATCTGGTCTCCACTGTTCACTGGTTTTTCCATGTAAGCAATGGAATGATCATTCATTGTTCTAAATCTGAACTCATTTATGTAATCATCATCAAGTAGTATCTCTTTCTCTTTCTCAAACATGGCAGAGAACACTTCTGAATCACCGTCATCATCATCTGCTACACTGCTCTCTTCCAACTCAAGCAGGTCTTTTCCTGGGATAAATCTTACTACAGTTAGCATTAGGCCTGGATTGCTTGCCATTCTCCATGCATAAGCCAGTGCCTCTCGGTCATCAGTTCCCTGAACAAAGAGCACAGCAGTGCGAAACTTCCGCATACGATCACGTTGTGACTCTAGAGGAAGATGTCGAGTTAGGCCACGATCCACAAGTATGCCAATGGAACAGGGTGCATTTGCTAGCAAATTTTCGCTCACTTGTTGATGCTGACTGTTTACGTCCGTCCATCCCCCAAGGCCATTTGGATTCTTATGAAATGGGAGTAAAATGACAGTGACGCCCTTATCTAGCGCGAAGTTGCTAACGTCTTCATGCATAGTGGCGTAAGGGGACACAGCTGTGAGGGGGTGAACAATGGCTGCATCGTTGTCCTTCTGGAAGGATTCAAAAGCACTGACTATGTGCTCCGCCTCTGCTTTTTCTCGAGTGGGATTAGGTTTGTTCCCAATTATATCTTTTATCTTAATCTTATCATGGAAAATTAGCATTGCAGAAGCGCGTCCTGTGAGCTCAACCAAATGGACGGCAAAGACGGTTATTGGGGATTTTCTTGTCACATTTGAAATATGCAAGAGATTGATTAAGCCAAAAAGGTTTCTGCTGGAATGAAGGCATGCCATGACTCGAAGCTCAGAGTCCAGTTTGCTCCTTTCTAAATTTCTCCTATAGCATTGCTTCAAATACTTTTTGGACTTGTGAGTGAAACTGACAATTGGACCAACCAAACCCGTCATAATTAGTATGGCAAGAACCATCCAAGTAAAAGTCTGTTGGTCAAAATCCTGAGAGAAAGAAATTAACCATGTATGTCTTATAATTAGTATGAGGTATATATTGGCATGGGATCAACTAATTTTAGAACCAATTCGAGGGTTAGTATAATGATATTGTAAAGCAATTTGAAACAAACCTTCAAATTTCGGCCTTCATTAAGAACAATGATGGCAATAACGCCTTTGGTGTTCATAAGGACTCCAAGGGCCAAACTATCTCGAAATGGGCACTTTAAGTAGAGGCAGACAAGAAGAGTGCTCATAATTTTGACAGAGGAAGCCACAAGTATGATTAGGACCACCAGCATAGGAGGAAATCCCGTAGACATATATTTAATGTTGGTTCGCAGCCCAGCAACCAAGAAGACAGGGGGCAGCAGAATCCCAACCACGTATTGTTCAATTTTATCCATGATCTGAGTCCCAAGCTCTCCACTGGGTATCATCAGTCCAAACATAAAGGCTCCGAACATGGAATGTACCCCACATAATTCTGTGATCAAGCCACAAAGGAGCACCCCTGATAGAATGAAACAAACATGCTTATCGCCATATTGACCTTCCATGGACGAATCTTTTCCTGCTTCAATTCGATTAATCATCCATAAAAAGAGTGGACGTATCACAAACCAAGATATTACCATGACAGCCACAGTTGGGACTATCTTGTACAATTGACCCTCCACATTAACTATAGATACTGTTGCCACAAGAAGAAGCCAAGATGCCAGGTCAGTCAGAACGGCTGAAGTCAAGGCCGTTGTTCCAAGATCCGTGTACATGAGCTTGAGCTTTGAAAGCATTCGAGCCAAGTCCGGAAAGCTTGTGACAGTAAGGGCAATCGCCCAGAAGAAGCCACCCTCTTCAGGTGATTCTTTTCGCGCTTTCCACACTAGGTAATATAATACCATTCCTCCACATCCTGGTAAAATAATTCCAGCAATGGCAACGCTACATGCTGGTTTTCCCATTTTCCGGATTGGGGTTAGGTCCATCTCAAGACCCGCTAGGAACATATAAAAAGTGACGCCTAGGTACCCCATCGTCTCCAGCAACAAGGCCCCCTCAAAAGGGTTGATGTACGTTGATATCCATTCAATATCCGACAGTAAACTTGGGCCTAGCACAATGCCTGCCTACATTCACGAGGAACAATCAAATTAAATACTACTTGTTTGCTGGTAACAAAAGAACCCCAGAAATTGAAATCGAATTGTATATACATACAAGAATCTCAGAAACAAAGCGAGGTTGACGAACAGGTTTGAGGATGAACATTAAAGTACGACTGAACAGTATAATGATGCACAGCTGCAACATAAACTTGGGGAGAAATTTGAATAAAGGGTTTGCAGCTTGCCAATAATTGCTGGCGTGGATCCTTTTCTCTTTATAACATACATTGAATTGATTTCCTAAGCCACCGACTATATTGTATTTTCCTTGTAAGTAGCTACCCATTCTAGTAAACGCATCACTGTTCATCTTGATTTAGCTAGCCACAGATAATCCACCCCCTTGCAGCACTTGTTTGGCCCCCAGACAATTCTTAATTAAAAAAATCTCGAATAACAAGTGAGAAAATGCCGAAGGATAGATTTTGGATAACGAAGACCATGGGCAGAGAGCCAAGCCAAGTTCGAAGAAGGGACGGAGGGTGTTTGTTGCAAAAGCTGGCGTATGAGCAAATTTTAGTACATGGTTATCCGCATTTTATGTTTGTTTATTGAGTTGGAAACAACTTCGGCGAAACCGCCCCTCCCCTGCACCAAGAAAGTAAGAAGCTCAAATTGGCTATTGTTTATTGGATGGTTTGTTCGTTTCTTGGAAGCATTTATTTATTGTAAAAGCAGAACTTAACTGTTTGGTCAAAATTTAAAAATTTTGAGTTCTTATAAAAGTTATAAATTAAATTTTGTTTAGAAATACTAATTTTAATAACAAATATTTAATAAAATTTTTTCATTTTATTTTCGTTTTAAATAATTTATAAAATTATAAGGAGGATTATATTATTTTGTTTTATTTTTATTTTGTCCAAATTTTCTATTAATTTCATTGGTTTTTTATTCTAATTAGTAAAAATATCTCTTTATATTATTTATTGTTTTTCACATAAAAAATTGTGATTTAATTTAATAAAATTGATTTTTTTACCTATTAAAAATATAAAAATATTATTAAATTTATTTTTTAACATTCTACGTTTATTAATTAAATTTGTCAATCACTATTTTAATTTTTCTTTATAACAATTTTAGAATAATTCTATTAAAAAAAAAAATTTTTTAAGTTCCAATTTAGCCAAACATACCCTTTGTCGATTAAGTATTGAGTCACGCAAAAAATTGTAATGCATAGCATAAATTCTTCCAACGTGGCTTGATGCCAACCTCATAGTAAGACCATTATTTTGCAAAAATTAATTTTATTTGAATTTATGGTATTAATGTATTAAAAAAATTAGCTCTTTCTGTAGACTATGGTTAGTATTAGAGTGAAATAATATTAGCATATAAATAACATATACCACCTTCCGGTACCTAGCAGCCAATTGGTTTGACTTTGATAGCAGTCTTTTTGGGTTTGTTATTTTTCACAGCAAAAACCATTCTCTTCAATTACCCTCTCAGCTCATCCACTTGGAAAACATGGTGATGGATGTTGTTGGAGAGGCAGTTCTCTCAACTTTTTTGGAGACTTTGTTAGACAGGTTGCTCTCTGTAGAGTTCGTAAACTTTGTACGAGGAGGGGAACTCAACGATTCACTGGAAAAGTTGAAGTTGACATTATCAACTGTGGGTTCAGTTGTTAACGATGCTGAGGAAAAGCAGTTTGAGAAACCCAACATTGAAGCTTGGCTAAAACTGCTCAAAAATGCAGTCTATGATGCAGAGGACGTTTTGGATGAGATTGCAATCAAAGCTCTGGAGCAGCGGTTGAAACCTGAGCCTCAATTCAACCGAAAGGTATGGGATATCTTCTCCAAATATCGTAAGATGATTTCTGACACTCTTCGAAACTTTAAGGAAGGGACAGAGACCAAAATTATGAAAATTATCGATTCATTAGAATACCTTGTGAAACAAAAAGATGCTCTTGGTTTGAGAGATGCTGCTCAACAGAGCTCTTCACGGGTTAGAAAAAGACCAGAGACGACTTCCTTGGTAAATGAAGTTTTTATTTACGGTAGAGATAATGATAGAGAGAAGATCATTCAGTTGTTATTGTCAGATGCAGCAGATAGTGTTAACCGGGTCTCTGTGATACCCATCGTTGGTATGGCTGGTGTTGGCAAGACGACTCTAGCTCAAGTTATATACAATGATAAAAAAGTGAAGGATTATTTTGACCTGAAAACTTGGGTTTATGTCTCTGATCAATTTGATATGAAACAGATAACTAGAACAATAATTGCGTCACTCTGCCAGGAAACTCCCACATCCAATGACTTAAACAACCTTCAAGTAAATTTGCAGGAAAAATTGATAGGCAAAAGGTTTTTACTTGTTCTAGATGATGTATGGAATGAAGATTACAGTCAATGGGTTAGTTTAAGGAAACCTTTAAGGGCTGGAGCAGAAGGTTCTAAGATTTTAATAACAACCAGAAATACAGGCGTCTCATCTATCATGCGCACTGTCCCAGATCACAATCTTGGGCTGTTATCTGATGAAGATTGTTGGGAGTTGTTTAAGCAACATGCCTTTGACGTTTGCGCTAGTGTAAGTCCCAAAATGGAAACCATTGGTAGGGCAATTGTGAAGAAGTGCAAAGGCTTGCCCCTTGCTGCATCAACAGTTGGAGGTCTTGTACGCTGTAAGCATAATGTTGATGAATGGTGTGAACTTTTAAATAGCAGAGTGTGGTATTTGTCAGATGATAGTGGTATTCTTCCAGCTTTAAAATTGAGCTATCATTATCTCCCTATTAATCTAAAGAGATGCTTCGCTTATTGCTCAATCTTCCCCAAAGACTATGAATTTAGGGATGAGGAGCTTATCCTTTTGTGGATGGCAGAAGGCTTTGTGCCACAGCTAAAAGGAATAAGGATGGAGGACTTAGCTAGGAAGTACTTCCATGACTTGCTTTCAAGGTCATTTTTTCAACAAAGGAGTCCTGACAAATCAGTATACGTGATGCATGGTCTTGTACATGATCTAGCAAAAGCTGTTTCTGAAGGAATATGTTTTAGGTTGGAGGATATCTTGGAAGGTGGTAACCAATACAAGATTCCTAAAACTGGTCGTCACTTGTCATACATTCGTGATTACTATGAACCTTTTTCAAAGTTTGAGGTCTTTGATGATGGTGAGATTTCATTGAGGACTTTACTAGCATTGGGCTGTGGAAGAAAGTTTAGCCACTTACCTGGAAAGATCCTACTTGAACTGCTGCCAAAACTCAAGCATTTAAGGGTGTTATCTCTGAACAGTTACCAAATTACTGATTTACCAGAGTCCATTGGAAATTTAAAACACCTGCGGTATTTGGACATATCTTACACTTCAGTGAGAAGGTTACCTGAATCAACAAGTACCCTTTATAACTTGCAATCACTGCTATTGGTTGGTTGTCATTCTCTAATTGAACTGTCCTTTGACATTGGAAACTTAATTAATTTAAAACATCTTGATATGAGTCAAAGCAGCTTGACGAAGATGCCACTTGGAATTGGAAAATTGGTAAGCCTCCAAAGGTTGTCTAGCTTTATTGTGGGAAAGCATGCTGAAACTGGGATAAGGGAGTTGAGGAATTTGGTGCACCTCCAAGGTAGGCTTTCCATTGCAGGGTTGCAAAATGTGCTTGATGTTAGAGATGTTATTGAAGCCAATTTCGAGAATAAGCAGTTTCTCAGTGCCTTGGAGTTAGAATGGAGTAAGGAAATCCATGTTTTGCAACATGAAGAGTCTGCAGAAGATCTGCTAGGTATAATACTGTCAATGACAAAACTGAAAGAACTGACCATCTGTTACTACCACGGAAAAAGGCTTCCAGCTCCAAGATACAATTGTCTGGAGACTCTAATTTTAAGCAACATGCTGAGATTGTTGGAGTGGCCATCCCTTGGAGTTGAAAAGGATGAGTTTTCTTCTCTTCGTCACCTTGAAATTCGAGCTTGTCCTAAGTTAAGGAGAATCTGTCATCGTTTTGCTGCATTAGAGAAATTGATTATTGAATCTTGTGAAGAGCTAGTTGAACTTCAGAAGCTTACACCAACAGGAAAATCAGAAAAGGAAATCTCTTTTCCCAGACTTCTTGAACTTTCCATTGATCACTGTCCCAAGTTGCTAAAATTGCCCACCTGCCTTCTTTCCTTGAAGGAACTCAGAATAATTGGTTGCAAGGAATTAAACATGCTGTTTACAGAGGAAGGAGGAGAGGTTCCACACCTCCGCAAGCTTTCCATACATGAGTGCCCCAAGTTGAGCAAATTGACCCCTCTCCTTCCCTCCTTGGTGCAGCTTCATCTGCGTGGATGTTTACGGTTGCTTGCACTTCCAAGTTCTCCAGTACTTTGCAAATTAAGATTGGAAGAGTGTGATGAGATGCTGCTAAGAAATGCCATTGGTCTCCGTTCACTTACCTCTCTCTACATTTGCAAAATTCAGAGGCTCAGCTGCTTATCAGAATGTTTACTCAAACAGTTAACAACACTCAAAGAATTAGAGATACGTGCTTGTGATATGCTCAAGACGTTATTCATGGATGATGCTGGTTTGCAACATCTTGTTTCTTTACAAAAGTTACTGATTTTCAACTGTCCAAAACTGGAGGAGTTGCCACTCAAAATGCACAAACTCACAGCTCTCAACAAGTTAGAGATTTGGGCATGCCCGCTCCTTCAATCCTCAGCAGAAATGAAGTTCCCATCCAAGCTTCGAGATCTCTGGATTAGCAGTGAAGTAGAGTCCCTGCCCATAGGGATGTTTCAGAATATGTCTCTTGAAAGATTAAGCGTTTGGAATTCTAATTCTCTCACATCGTTTCCTAGATGCAAGTTGCCTGGCAGACTAAGAACCCTTTCCCTCAGTACATGCTCAAAACTGGATTGCTTACCTGAGGAAATGATGCAGTGCAACAATTCTCTTGAATCTTTGTTGATTGAGTCATGTGAATCCCTCTGTTCTCTTGGATTAAGAGCATTCACAGCAACCACCGCCACAAAGCTTAGAGAACTGAAAATTATTGGTTGTGTGAATTTGAAGAATTTCCCCGAGGACATTCACAATCTCACATCACTGTGCTTATTGACTGTCATATCTTGTCCCCGCCTTGTGTCATTCCCAGATGGGGGGTTCCCAACCACTAACCTGAGAAAAATTCATATAAGCAAATGCTATGAACTGAAGTCTCTATCGGTTCATAATGTTACATCACTTCAAGACTTGACAGTAAGAAAATGCCCTAATCTTAAGTCCTTCCCTGAAGGTGCACTGCCCACTAAACTGGAGCGTCTTGTGGTTGATAGTTGTGGATATCTCAAGCCTATGTCAGAATGGGGTTTTGACAGACTTAACGCTCTTAAGAATCTTGGGATCATTGGTGGATATGCTGGTCAGGTGTCATTTCCAGAAAGGATGCTTCCTTCTTCTCTTACTGCTCTTTCTATTAAATACTTGCCAAAGCTCAAGGTTGTGGGACGGGCTCTCCAGCATCTTAACTCCCTTAAATATCTGAGAATTGTAAGATGCCATGGACTCTTAGCCTTACCAGAAGAGAGTTTGCCAGTCAATCTTTGTTTCCTTCAAATAGTGGACTGCCCTCGAGTGAAGGAGCAATATGAAATGAAGAAGAAGATAGGCTTGCATCAATACTCACTGGTATCCTGTTTAAGCTGGGATGACAATTCTTGACAGTAGTTTGAACAAGCTACATTTTGATCCTTCTATTCTCTTTTGTTATCAGCAGACATAGCAGTCAGGTACTTGCGTCTATTAACTTTTTAGGTCAACCTTCTTTAAATGTCACTTTGATTGGTTTTAATCAATGAATTGTGATCCATTCTGACACTAAGCTGCTTTTTTCCTATGAATAGCAGGTGGTTTCTTGACAAATGGAAGTGTTAATGAGACAACCAATTCGACTCTTTTGAGCATCTTATGATCTCAAAAGACAACATGCTTCTATCTAGATTGACTTTGAGTCGGCGTTTTGTTTCTACAGCCGGTGCTCTTTGCCAGAAGTTGTTCAAGTGGCCATAATTCTTTTTCCTCTGTTTTTGGCTTCATGGGATCTAACTGCTTGCTGTCAAATGGTATATTGCCAAAACCTGACTATACTTTGTAGGGTATTCATTGAACTAATGTCATATTCAGCTGTAAACTCACAACCACTTAACTGTTGTCAACTTAATCTTTAAAGTTGAATCTGCTTTTCAATGACTTCATCGATTCTTTTTCTAATAGATTCCGTTGTCTGTTCTTTCTATACAATATATATCAGTCTTCAATGTTGACTTCTAATTCTCGTAAATAGAGAGAGATTGGATTGAATCAAGTAGTGTTTCTGATTTTCCAGCAGAGCCTGGAGACTGCTCGTTTTATCTAATCTAAATATATCACATCCATAATATTATATATTATTGGTTTCTAAACCATACTAAGAGAACAACGGAAAACTGGCCAAACTTGGCTATGTTTCTCTTCTAAAGCCTTGTAAGCTATCATATCCAGTAAAGCTCACAGTTCCTACCCGAACAAATAATTTTTTTTACCTTAATTTTTGACGCCATATTTTCACCCCCATAACCTAATCAATATTATCTCGAACTTGAAGAAGCACTCTTAGCCCAAAAAGAAAACAAAAAAAAAAAAATGCAGTAACCTCTTCTAGGTGTTTTTTGGTTTTTCTTTTTGGCCCAGTACTTTTTGGGTTGTTCCGTTCTACTCTCTAATACAGCCCAAGAGGCCTAAAATATAAATGGATATATTGTTTGGGCTGATATCCATTTGTTTTATACACACAAATCGAACGACCAAAGACCACAAACCTGTGTTAAAGTTGCAGATAGAGGCTAACGTTTGGCAGACAATAGCTTGCTCATTGGGGGATTTGAGACAATCTCCCTCGTCAAACTGAATCTGTCGGTAGGCAATCCATCGTATTTAGAAAACCATCTTATTAGTCAATCAAAAACAATTTTTTTTTTATCAAATATAAAAACAATTGGAACATCATTTAATTAAAGTCAATTGGCAACGCAAGTATCATATGTATTTCTAGTTTTTATTAATCATTCCCCACCGTCATTAATGGAATCAAAGCTTGAAATTAGGGGCTAAAATGTCATACTCATTTATAATATTTGTCAACGGTACTTATTTATTTATTTTTTATGTGTTGGTTAATATTATTAATATAAATTAATTTTGATTATCATATCTACAACCATCTAAGTTAAGCTTAAATTTTTTATTTTTAGTTTGGTTTATTATTTTTTATTTTTGTCTTTTTCTTGTTTATATTTCTCGGTAAACCCCCTTTAATTTTTTGTTCCAAAAGAAAAATTACTTTAATAGTTAACTATAATTTTTTTTAACAAAATTCCAATTAATTACTATAAACAAAAGCGAAAGGCCCTTCTGTTCTTTTTCTTTGTCCTTTTAGAGCTTCCACAGTATCTTCCATGACCCAACAATAACAAACAATCAAGGAAACCTCAGTTTGATGGATTCATTTATTAAATCAAATCATGTCATTTGACGATCTCCTAACAAACATCATGACTTCATATTAAGATAATTTTAATTAAGAAAGTCCTATAATTGATTAAGGTGTTTCTTTGCAGCTTTTCATCATGATATATATAATCAATCATTCAGAAATCATCTCATCATTGGATTACTTATCAGCTACCCAAGCCCATCATAAATCAATCATTTAATCAATTAGTTATTAGTTTCCTAACAATTAAAGTCAATAGTTACTAAAATATTATAGTGATAATAATATGTATTAAAATTTTAAAAATGAATCATAAATATATAGTTCACATTATCAGCATTAACTATGGAGTATGAATTTAAAAATCATATATCTGGAAATTTATATTTTAATTTTACTCTTATTAATCTAATTTTCCCATCTATATTTTTCTCCAAAAAAAAAAAAAAACGTTAGGTCTATTCTCTCTCATAGATAGTTGTTTGCTTATCTTTCTTTTTTATTGCTTCATTGACTGTTGGAATGTTTTGTTTTGTCCTAGTTGATGCATTCCAATAGCTCTCAAACAAAAGAGAGAAACCCATCACCCATGCCTTTAAACAGCAACTCTTTCACGTTCAACTGTGGATAAATCAATGGAGTATAATTTATGAATACATTGAATATATCTACTAAAAGGAGATATACCCACTGTTAAACTTCATTGTTTTCCGGTTTCTTCTGCATTATATCTCGTGCAAAAATTATTTCAAGCACCTAACGAGAAAAGCTATATATGATTATATCAATCGATCAATCAGATAACATAAGTATATACTATTTCAATCACTGAAATGAGAAGTGAGAACGGTAGGACCTGAGGAAAATGAAGAAATGTATCCATAACAAAAACCAGTGGACCTCCTAATCACAACCGTCCAATTTGTGAATAATCGATAAACAGAATTGATTAAGATGGTCAAGTTATATACTTCACTGTAGTTCTTAATTTTAGTAATTAGCTGGGCCATCCACGATCCGGTGCACTGTACACTAGGAGGAAAATTTTTTTTTCTTGTATAAAAGACCCCACAATACCTGCCAACAAATTTAATAATTTAACAATTTAATTCTTTTTAAGTTATTTTTTTACAGTGAAGGTTGTAGGTTGAAATAAAATAAAAATTTATAGATATTAAGAATTAAAATTTAAATTTATTGAATATCTCTTAAATTTATAAAATATAAGGATGATTATATAAATCAATTGGATTAAAATATTCAAATTATTAATTTTTTGCTGAGTAATGTACTGTATTTATTTTAAACAAGTAATGTACCATATTTAATTAGCATGCATGGTTAAACAAATATATATATATATATATATATATAATTAATTGACGGATCCATTAGGTGATTTTTCTTGGGTAATTAATTGCCGGTAATTACTAATTAACAACAATTTGAAACTCTCCGGAAGCAGTTGACATTGTAGACAAAATGCGACGTTTCTTGTTATGTCACCATGAGAAATTTTGTTAAAAAAGTGAGGATAGTAGTAGTATTAGATTAGGCTTGTAGAATAACACGAATTAAAGAATGTTTTGGTGACATAATAATTGTGTACTTTGAACGAGTAAGAAACTTTGCGCTGAGTTTAAAAATGGATGGAAAACGTGACTGAATTCATTTTTTTATATCTTTCTTTATGCTTTTGCTTCCGCTGTTTTATGATCAAACCTAGTTACATACACATGCGAAAAAGAGAACGAGTCTTAATGGCTGCCAATGGATTCTTAGTATTGTATTCTAGTAAATAACACTATTACTTAAGCATATATATATATATATATATATATATATATCCTTGACCTTATCCAGACTTTGGCTGTTTGAGAGGGACACCTTCCTAACTCTGGGATCCTTTCTATGGAAATGATCACCAGGTATTGATTGCAGCTATCATCTGTCGTTAGTTTCCTTTCTTTTCTTTCTTTTCATTTCCATTCCATGCATAATGTATTTAGAACGTCACCATGCAAATCTTCGAAAGTCTCTATGCACTGCATAATATGTTTTTTTTTTTTAGAAGATCATATTCAAGTTGATCACTTTTGTTTTGTAACCAAGCCTTTGAAAAGAAGACTAATTGTCATGAAAAGATAAGCAACGACATTTTTTTTTCCGTAGGAAGCGTCTGTCGAAGCATTTTGACATTTTGAGTCAGAAATCTCTTTTAGTTGTACTCCAATAAAGACTCTAAAGTCATGCACATATATGTATATACCTTCATTGTTCATTGTTTTTGATGTATCAGGAACAGCAATCTTGGTTGCAAGAATACAGTTTTTGTTCCTCTAAAAAATGGTACCTAAAAAGAATGATGTATCTAATCCTGAATCCTGACCCTCGAATGGGTGCAATAGTGGAACAAAACGTAGTGGCTATCTGCCAATTGCCTTTGCACAGCCAACTTACAGGATGGGAGATTATCTGTTGCTGCCTGCCCTAATTCAAATCTAGGAAAGGAATCTCTTTTAATTAGTCAAGTTATGCCAGCGAAAGTGCTTCACAGTGAATCATCGCTTATATGTGTCATTGAAGACAAAGCAGCACTATATAAAAATCTGAGATCCTCATTTGCTTTTTTCTATAATTTATATAAAACAAGAAAAGACCAAGCATGCAGACAATGCTGATTTACTCATCAGGAGAGATCAGATGGAGGATTTCCAAAGAATTAATTATGGACTCACCATTTTGACTTGCTTACTTCGGTGGACAAGATCAATGCTCTTCCTTTCTAAAATTACTAGTGCACTTAAAGAGTGTAAGTTTCAAGAATTAGCCTTTTTAACCTAGTGCAGGCAGAGAGAAAGCACCATATGTTTTCAATTATGAATATCGCCGAAGATATTGACTTAATTCAATTTCTTAATTACAATGATTTCCATATTGACCATCATTTTCTTTTTCTTATTTCTCTGACACTCAAACTAAATTAAGAAAAATGTGAAAGGTTTATCTTTATGTTTCTCAAAAAGCACTTACTCCTCTATGTTGAATCTACTCAAGTTTCTAATAGCAGGCACCAAACAAGGGTACATTAACATAAGACGAATCTGCAGTGTTTACATTTATTGAGTTAGTTGCACAACTATCAAATAACCCAAAAGTGTTATTATTTGATCTTTTTCCTGTTCAGAATTATTAAGATCCATTTGGATGTTAGTTTTACCCTTTTACCGCATCGACAGAGAAGACCTTCAGGAGACGATGATGAACCATGAAACAAGGCAGTAGGATTTTGGTCAACAAGGAGCATGGTTTGGTTACCTAAACACAAACCATGAAACCAAAGGAAGAGATCCTGCGAGCCCAGGTTAAAAGCCCAAGTCTAAAGCCTAGTCCTATTTTACCTCACAGGCCGATAAAAAGTTATTAAAAAAAAGGAAGGAGAGCATGCTCGTAAAAAGCTTACCCCCACTCTTTTCTGCGGCGAGTGCATGGCTTTAGAAACTGACAAGCAGGCGTGAGTTACCTGACTTGCTGGATCCATACCCACATGAGCAGACACCTAACTTTGCCCCTCCTGACTGACGCAACAGCCCACGCGCGCCTCCAACTGAGGTGGGGTCAACACTTTTTTTACAATGGATAAAAATTTCCCAAACTGTTTGTAATTGTATATGTCCACTTGAACACCCAAACGAAGATCCAAAGAAAAATAATAAACGAAGTAAAGAAAGCAAAAGGTCATTCAAAATAAGGCGGAAAAGGCAAGAAACCTTCTGATGAGCAAAATTATGGATGAGCTAATGATTAAGTTCCACCTTAGAAAAAAAGTCAAACAGGATGCTTCCCCAATATACTAAGTAGTAATTTATTATTTTTAAATTTTGATATTTTTGTAAAAAAGTAAATTTGGGTATCCTTGGTATATTTGGTAACAAGACCGTTACCCTACCATAATTCCTTAGAAAGAAGCAAAAGTAAATGCCTTGAAGAACTTGCTTTGGTATACAGGGTGGCCTTATTTTAAACATTGGGGGTCATTGACCCTCTCTTTCCTAAAAAATTTAATGAGATTAACCCAGTACGTTAGCTCTAAAGCACCCAACAAATACTCCCTCTCCCTCTCTCCCTTCTTACATGAAAACTCAAACCCAATATCAACCACTCCGTCTTTCTCTCTCCTCTCTTTTTCTAAGAAGAAGACAAAGCTTCCCCTTTGATTTCTTCATCAGATCTCTTCGTTTTACAGCAACACCCACTAATGCCCCATCCAAAAACAGCCTTCTGAACATTCCTTTTATACAACATTCAAACTATAAGTACATATATTTTTGTAGATAATACTCGCAATATAGGAACACAAATTAGAAGAAAAGCAAAGGGTTTTTTTTTTTTTTTTTTTTCGCGTTTGTGTTTTTTACGAAACAAAGCAAATTTTGTAAGTAAATGAGGTGTAAAAAGCATCTTACCGACCCGAGTAGCAGCGTCGGCGTCTGCGCTGCTTGTCTCCGGGAGCGTCTTCTGGCGCTCATCGCCGCCCAGGCTCAGGCACACGCCCAGGCGCAACATGCTCAAATAGCGCAAGCTGCTGCTGCTGTTGCTGAGGATCGTCGGAGACCTGACCCGCCCCCGCTGATTTTCCCTCGGTCAGTTTCTCCTTACGTCAGTCGACGGAAATCTGACGCCAACAGTGCCATGTGGATCCACCACCAACGATTCTACAGCACTCCTCAGGTGGGCCCTACCTACAGCACTACAACCACCACTGATTTTGAAGCCGCAAGATCTTTCAAAAAGAAAAACAGGTTCTCGCTTTTTTCGAATCTGTTCAGGTCGAGATCAGAGAAATTCAATTCGGATCCTAGGGTTCATTACCATCGGGATTCGTGCGATGAGCCATCCTCGTCATCGTCATCCCCGTCTTGGTTCTCGGCAATATTTGCTGTTCGTCGGAAAAAGTTGCAATCTTCGAGGACATCTCATGTAGAAGAATTCGGCCAATTCGGTCCCGGCGATCGGAGATCATGCAGGATCATAGGTCGGGGAATGTCGCCAGCGGTTGAAGCGGATTCGGGAGACGAGTGTGATAGATCGCCATCGGGAAGCTCGCCGGAGGTTTCACCACGGTGGAGGAGGACACCGACTGCGGCGAGAAGAGCAAGGACCGGACCAAGGAACGTGTCGGGATTAGCGTTTTGCTTGAGCCCGCTAGTGAGGGCGAGTCCGAACCTGCACTGGAACCAGAAGGGCGGATTGCCGCCCGACATGTCGTTTACTGGCGAAGGTAGGCCTCCCCTGGCCACCGCGGCGGGGCTTTCCGCGAATAGGTCCAAGAAGCTTGCTGATTTTGGCAGAGTCAATCATAACCGTTGAGTACGGGTAAACCGTTGACATTTGATCAAAGTGATTCTTACGATACTAAAAGTATTATTTTATCAAACTACGGTTTTGCCATTGCTTTTCTGCGGTTTTACCTCTGTGCTTCGTAAATTATTAGCTTTTTTTTTTTTTTTTTTTTGTAAAATGACAGGGAAAAAAGGTAAAAAGGAAAATTTTATTGTTCCCTGTATACAGATGTTATACTACTAGTATTAAAAAAAAAATGAAAATTTTTTTGTTACTGTACAATTTATTACCTGACAAATCATCGAGTGAGTTGTTTCTATTTTTTTGTCCTTTTTTTTCTTTGATATTTTGTTTTAATTCTTATCCTATGTTTTTTTTTATCATATTTATGTGCTTGTTTTAGGATTTCTAAAACATGGGAGTTTTTTTTTTTGGTGAGTCAAATGGAACTATGGAGGTAGCTATCATTACAATGAAAGAAAGAGATAAAAATTTGGATTTGGCTTTTCAATTTTTCATCATTAGAGAGTAAAAAAAAAAAAAAAAAGTAATTGACTTTTGGATTGTGGTCTAAAGTTCCAGAACGTTGGATGAAGCGGGTGATGCTGAATGAGGATAATGCCTTTTGCTTCCCTTCAAAACCAAACCCAAAGCATGGGGCAAATGGTGGTGGAGGCCAAATTCTTGAAAACACTATCATGTGAAGGTGGTGGGGCCACGTGGACCAACTTAATGAGTTGGTGAAGTTGATTGTGGGCCTAATTAAGAAAAAAAAGGGCCTATATTAATGGCGGAGACTCGAAGACTGAAAAAAGAGCGAGGGCTGAACCTCAGCCTCAGCCACACACACGCACAAATTAATAGGAGTGAGAGTGTTTGACGTACGACGGAACAAATGCGAGTGTCAGTGGCACTGGCGCACCATCACTCTTGCCCTTGGTGTGGTGGGTGCACAAACCCATCGACACCAAAGCCCAAGGTCTTATTTTCGGGACAACCAGTGGGACGCTTTAGGTCCAATCAGATCCCTCCACATAATCTGGCCAACGGTCAGAAAAAGTGGGTCAAATGTGATCTAGCAAAGAGGTTGCTCGGATTCACATTTACTCTCCGATGGTATGTGGGATTCCCTAGAGAATAAAGGAATTGAGTACGGTCCATGTCCTTCTGCCTGTTTTAATCCTTTGATTACATTCCTAGGCTATTATTCCCTTTATTTTTTTTACTCCCACTCCCACCATTTTATTTGAGTTAAAGACACGCAAATTCTCTTTCAAACCAACAGTTTTTTTTCTTTTTCTTTTTTTTTTGACATTTTTTCTCCCTCCAAATTGTGTTAGACTGAGTTCAAAATTGTATTGTGCAAAATATCAATTGGAGAATTGAAAAACTCTAAAAGAATTTTTGAATTTTATGGTTGAAATTTATAATCCAAGAGATTATGAATGTATGATTAAATATTGTCAGACTTTTTCCATGTGCTATTGAATATTGAGACGCTAGAAATTTTCATCCAAATTAATGGCAAACAAAAATAATTAATTAAACATCTGACTTTTTTTATCTTATTTTTTTTTCTTGGCTATTTTATTGCGTTCGCAACAAATTGCAATACATGTTAAGAATTAAATTCTAGCCTCCTACAAGTCAAGTCGTGGTTGTAACTTCAGCTTATAGCCTCAATCCCTATATCACACCAAAATCCAACCTCATTAATACTTATTAATCCCTCGTTAATACTTATTAATCCCTTTGTTTCTATAGAAAACTTCCAAATCCAATGACCAATGATACTGTGTTTAGCAATAAGAATTATGAAAATTAAAAAAAAAAAAATCATTTCTAAGCCCATTATTGGTGGTTGAGCTTATCATAGACATAATTGAGTGAATGCCCTCTCTTCTTTTTTGCTTTTGCAATGGAAATACAAAATAGCCGCGTAGGGAGGTCGGTTTAGTTCAGAAAAAGTGCAGAGTAGGCAGCTTGCAAAAAGTTGACTAGAATACAAAATCTCCCCTATTTTTTTCAGATGCTTCCAAGAAGTCTCCCTCAATTTAACTGAGAAAAATCTTGAATTCGTTTATCTGAGGGCTCTATTCATGGTCCCAGCCAGGTGGCTACATCCAGCCTGTTGCGTTAGGTTGATCTCAAGCCTAAGCCTAGCTGTATTTGTATTGGTTCATATCAGTAGGCAATCATTTTCCTCTTTCCTTAATTTAATTATAACTTTTTGTACAAAATGTATGTTCTTTAGTACTTGTAATTAATCACTAGGCCGAAAGTGCGTCTATAGCTTTAATAGTATATTAGACAAAATCTAAAACAACATTTTTCACTCCCATGAATGAGCCAATAAAAAACAATTGTAGCACCATCTCAAAATATGTAGCTTCAAGGAAATTATGTAAGCAATTTCAATAATGTTTTTTAGAGAAAGAGATTTTATTCTAAATCCATCAACATCAATCTATGGTAGAACATAAGGGTGGGTGGGGAGGTTTTGAGAGTGTGGGACATGAAAATCTTAACGACATGCTAGCAAAAAAAATGTTCAGATTTGAAGCAAACATTTAGGACAAATGACTTCAATAACAAACTTTAACTAAACTTAAAGACATATCCTGACTGTGTTTGCCAGTGTTGGAGGTTAGGTCTGTCCTGTTGGTACTTGGTACGATGCTCAACATGATGCAGTACAATAGGATAATAAAACAAAGGTTTGCACACTGTGCTCTTCCTTTGATTGGGGGGAGGCAAAACCATTTGTCTAATAATTAGGTGAATCCGGGAGACCCCAGATCATCTTTGGGTCTATTGAATATATATATATTTCTTAAGAGAGGAGCGAAAAGTGTGTGTTTCAGTTGATTAAAAAGGAGATCTTGAGTAGTTCTAATTAATAGACAATCTTAAAAGAAAATCATCCTTTGCCCTGCAAATTTGTATTGAATTAGTTACAATCTAATAATTTGTTCCGACCCGACAAACTTTAAGGAGTTGCACACAATGTCTTGGGTGTTTGCATTTGATAGGCAAAGAGAGAGGGTTACTTTCGATCAAAAGAAGTTGCCTAGCAAGTAGTCTAGTCTAATCTCGTGATTGTTTAGCAACATGCGACTAGAAGCACCAGTTCGGAGGCTGTTTCCCTATCCGCTTGTCTCGCGTTCGAGGGAGATTGGAGGGCAATGATACTGAGATTTCTAAGGAAAATTTCCCTTCATACACATTCATTTAATGCTGCCAGATGCGGCTCTATGATATTTATTATGGAGAAGAAGTTGCGGGTCAAATTTGCATGGCTATCAAAATCATCTACGGCTCGAAAAGTCGTAGATTTTGTTGTTCATTTGCCTTCCTTTCAGAAACTGTCTCCTTCATTTTCTTATGACACCGTAGAATATATTCAAAAATAGATAGGAAGAAAAATCTGTGCTCCTTTCCAAAATATGTCTCAATTTGGATAGAAGCAAGAAGCTTTAGCCTTAAATGCTGGGACCAATCTCACATGAGAGTTTCTAGGTTGCTTATGTGCTGCCTATTCAATGGTTGCGTAGTGCTTATTTGTAAATATCTTTCTTTAAAACTACGTAATTCTTTAGAAATCTTAGTACAATTTCTATTCAAACGTAAGTTAAAAGATGAAATAGCCATAAACTGGGCTTTGGAGTACCGGCTCAACCAAAAAATTAAGGAATAATTTCACAATAAAGAACATTAACACGCCGAATAACTGTGTTTAGGATAAGAGGAAAGAGAGATGCAAAGATAAAATTACGGTACAAAAGAAAATTGATAAAAGATTATCCATAGTCAGTTCTATGCATTGTTATCAACTATATTGGCATAGAGTCTAATTATCATTAGCATGAAGACTTATCATGGCTTTCCTGGACATCAGTCTGTGACCTGCTTGCCGTTCTATCATCTAGATAATTTTGATAAATATAAGAGGCAAAACCACAGAGAGCCAGAAGCATAGCAATTACCTTCACACCATTCATCTTGTCATGAAAAACTACCAGAGCAGCTAGAGGAGTAATAGCCAAAGACAGAGTACTGATTACGTTGGAGAAGAGAGAAGACACCAGAAAAATCAAGCCCACAACACCAACTGCACACACTTGCCAAGTTATAGCAGTCCAAACTAAAGTCAGCACATAAGAAGCTCTTCCGCTGTTGAAGCCCTCCATCTCATGGTGCAAACTCTTCCATTCTCCACTTGCAAAGAGACCCACAGTCGAAACACAACTGGCAACAAATGATGTATAAATTTGCATTTCCAGAACCACAGAAAATGTTTCCTTTTTCAGAACCTTCTGAAAAGAAAGTTGCATAAGGGACAGCAAAAGAGAGTAAAGAGCAGAAGCTCCAAGGGTACAGAGGAAGCCAAGGAGAAACTTCCCTTTAGAAACTACTGATGGGCCTTCTGAATCATCATTGACTGCAATTAGAGCAGCAGACAATGAGAGGATGACCACAGAGTTCAGAATTAAAGCAGTGAACTTCTGTGAATTAAGGAAGTAAGAAAAAACTGCATTAAAAGCTAATTGAGTGGCACAAATGAGGGAATAAGTAGAGGCTGAGAGGTACAAGAGCCCAACAGAATACAACATATTGTCACCAGCTACAACTACTCCAAGAACAAAATAGACCAAAGCAAGAGTTTTGATGGATGGTAAGGTGGAAGAAGTTGAAGCTTCCCGAGATGGCTGAAGAAGAAATAAAGGGATGCAAAGGATTGGGAAGCCAGCAGTTTGCACAAGAGTGGCCATCCATTTACTTTTTCCACCCTGATCATAATAAAATCTCCCCAGAAGAACTGCAGCAGCTTGGCCTGCAATGATGAAGAAAATGTTGATTGCCACCAAAAGCCACCATTGCCAGCGCTTGAGTTTAAGAAATGGTGACTGATCCATTAAATTTTTGTCCTTGTTCACAATCGGTTCTTGATTATCTGTAATTGAATGTAATTGGAAGTGTAAACAGTTTTGTCAAATCACTTTTTATAATTGAAAGATAACTATCTTAAAAATTAATGAAACAAATCAATGTTCTAACACCGAGAGGACTATGGCTCATTTAACAAGTTGTTGCTTTTGTCAACAGAAGGACATGAAACAGATTCATCCAATTCCTAGCACTACAAACTTCAAATTTATAGGTTATAACACACTTCCAGCCCAAATATGTTCTACAAAGACAGGAATGAGAGGCTAAATTGTATTTGTGTCTTCTAAAGTTATAAGTATACCTTTTATTTAAAATGCTTCCTCTTATATATAGAAAGCATAGAGAAAAAATCAGGACAATTTGAAGAGCATAGAACAACATGGAAGACTATCCCAAGAAGAAAAAAAGAACAGAATTCAAGAATCTAGGAATCCTCCCTGAATTATATTACCAAACTTCAATAGGGTCCTGGAAAACACAAGTAAGCAAACATGACACTGAAAACCAAAATGTGTATTTCCAGAGAGTAACTGCCTATCAAATAAAAGTCCTCAATTGACCACAATAAACAAGTGGCAAAAGACATTAACTGATTTTTTGGCAATATAAACCATTGTTTGGCTAAAACCAAGCGGAGTTCAGAAAAACAGGCTAAAATTGCTTTAGTTGCCATATTCCAAATTGAATTAAGCAAAACTTAACAGGTAAAGAATCATATCATCACGAATCACTACAGCAAGCCTAGTAATACATCCATGGAGTCTATAATGAAAATCTGAACGGATTATTCAAGATTTATCACTCTTCTTCTTTGTCTAATTAAGAGACAGAACCACCCCCCACCCCCCCCCCCAAAAAAAGAAGAAGAAGAGCATCACTTAAAAAGGGTTCTTATCTGCCTCAGCGCCTGAAAACAAATTCAAACCATTCAATTTCGATTCTGATAAGAAAGTATTTGGAATAAGAATGCAGAAAAAAGGAGAAGGAAAGGGCCTTACCACTCATGCTGCGAAGGTTGGAGCGTTGATTCAAAGCAAGAAGACACAGTGAGACTCCGTGAAAAAACAAAAGAGAAGAACAAAAAACGAAGGAATATCGTCCCCTTTCAATCAATTCGCTTGGGGAAGTGACGAGTTATTTATCGTAAATTGACAAGTGACAACCCCTATTGCCACTAGTAATTTTAGTGGAAGAGGGGAAATAGAAAATCAAATTTTATGATTGCAGTTTATGTTGGAAGGAAAAGGCCAGAGAAAGTCGAAGTTCTATCAATGTGTTCACAGTTGCACGGGGAATTTTCAACTTTCAACCCGACATATGAGGGGAAACTAAAAAGAGTTTAACAAAGGAAACGACAAAAAAAATTGACAGTGATTACTGTGAATCTTTTGGTCGAGGTCGGGTTACCGACAGTGACTGTACAAAACTTAGAAGAAAAAAAAAAAAAAAGAAAGCCACCAATGGGTTTACTTTGCCTGGCAGAGGATGCAACGAAAACATTTGCAGCAAAACTCGTTTTAACAAGAAGTAAGACTAATGTCCAAGAGCATCCATTGGCAACTGCAGTAAAAGAATGGCGTTTTGATTTGGGACAAAAAGAAGTCAACCACCGTATGATTAAGCAAACTTATTTATAGTAACATTGAAAGGTTGGTGTCACTTTCTCAGTTCTCAACCAAACATGGGAGTCATAATGCTGTGGTAATTTGGTACTTTGTTCTTACAGTTTGGTTTTTTTTTTGTTACCCAACATCAGTGAGATGCAAAAAATTAAATGAACTCCTAATCTGAAGCTAATATTCTTTACAAAGTTAAGAGCATTCAATCCACTATTTATTTAACAAAATCCCTTTCAGAAACAAAAAATCAAACTGAATATATGACTAACAGTAAATTTGGCACGATTGTTTGAGATCACAAGAACCGTACACATATAGGACAGGTTAGGACTAGCCCAACTACTACAACAAATCTCCTCTCTCAAGTTATATCCTTAAACATACGACCAAACCCAAGAGCCCAATGCCGCAAAAAAGGGGAGGACAGATTTTTTACAAACATTTTGTAGGATCACGGAAGCATAAGAGTAATGTTGAAAAGTAGAGCTCATATCAATGATGTGCTTATCAGCAAGCACATCCTCCAGACTGTTGCTGTGACTGAGATGCATTTGCATTGGTGGACTTGAGGTTGACATCGACCATGTCTTCTTGCTTTGTTGAAGAAAGTGTTTCCATTCCAGGTAAAGCAGCTGCAATCTTCCGAAATAGAGCCTGTACAGAGATCAAATAAATAGTGAGAGAACTCAATAGATTGCTTGGTAATGCTGGTGACTTAAAAACTCAATAGATTGGTAATGCTGGTGAACTCAAATAAATGCCTTTTTGGTGCTAGTGAAAGAACTCAATAGATTGCTGCAGAAGTGAGGAATAAAAAACTGATCAAACTTTCAGTGATTAGGTGAATGATCTAACTCCAAATTATCATGCCAAAACAAAAAGGCAGGTTGTATTTGACATGGATCTAGACCAATTTTCATCAGCAGCACCTGGCATACAGTCAACATGATATTTCTATAACTATTAATGGTAGATTACCAATGTTTTACCTTGATATTGAAGCCAGCCTTGGCACTAGTTTCAATAAACATAACATTGAGATCACGAGCCTTGGCTTCTCCTTCCTCTATTGAGACTTGCCTGTCAAAATCAGAAAAATCTGCATCAATATGTTCCCTTCTTCAAGTAATGACTACAAAGTAATGCGGAGGCAATTGTAAACTAGAAAGGAAGGCAACCTACCTTCTTCATGACAAAGTCCAATCATGATAATAAATTAGTATTACCTTTTGTCCACAAGATCTGTTTTGTTCCCAACAAGCACAATGATAACATCACTACCCCGTTCAGTCCGCACCTCTTCAATCCACTTTGAAGTATTTAGGAAGGATTGCCTGCCTACAACATCAAAATTAATGTTGGGAAACCGCATCCACTTTTATTAAGCAAATGAACAATCAACAACGTAGGACAAGGAATTCATGAGGTGCAATCTCACAAATTGCCAATGTAATAGCCCATGCAAATATGCATAAAACATAATAACTAAACAAGCAAACATAGGAGATAGGAAGATTACAAAGCAGGGGAACAAAGTGAAACGATAACATACTTGCAACGTCATAGACAATGACAGCCACGGAGGAATCCCTAATGTAACTTGGAATAAGACTCCTGAATCTTTCCTGTCCTGCAGTATCCCTGTAGTAAAGATTAAGCATATATCAAAGATGCCACTCTTGTCAAATTCTTTTGAAAAAAAAAAAAAATCTCTTGCTATCAATGAATAAAGACAACAAACATACAAGAGAAAGAGTTGAATCATCATACCCTATATTCAATCCATAGTAACGGTTTTACTAATAGTATCGTATTCAGACAGCTATAGGATATCATATTTTGACACCAATAGAACCCAGCAAGAAGCTATCCTACTAACAAATGAATCCAAAATGTCCAATCAAAATCTAAACAGTAACGCACCCATAATGAGACAATCTAAAATTTAGGAATACAAGCGATGCAAATACCATGCTGAATATGATTATAGCAAAATGCAATCTCTACCAAGCCATCACTCCAACTACATAACGAAGAAAGGCTTGCAAGATAACTCTAAAAACACATGGAAAAAGAAGCATAATCTGAATTGGGTATAAAATAGCAAGCAAAGGCTTGATAAGCCAATAAACTCCACAATACAGTAGCTTAAAACAAACAATAACAATGCATGCCTTACCAGAGCTGCAATCGAACTGTTCGATCTTCGAGGTACATTGTTTTTGATAGAAAGTCAATACCAATTGTAGCCTGGTTGACAAATTAGAGACAGAAATGACCTTAGAAATCAAGGTTTAAAGGATCTAAAAGAACCAAATAACTTAAGCAAACCATAGAAATCTGAATCACAATCAAATACACATAAAATGAAAAAGGAATCAGATTCAAGCTGTTAAGAAAGTTACGAATCCGGAATCAAATAAAAGTAAAGAGCGAATCGTAAATTGACAAAAAAGAGCATTGAATAGTATAATAATATATAATAAATACCTGGTAGGTGTTATCGAATTTATCGTACATGAAGCGAGTGATTATACTGGTCTTCCCCACAGATTGATCCCCCAAGAAAACCAGCTTGTATTTGGCCAGAGCCGAAACTGGAGCCATGGTTGTTATTCGGATCTAGGTCAGTGAGATATTATGGATCGGGTCGAGATCAGACCCAATGTCGAGATCTCACCGGAAACAGTTGGAGGGTGTCGCCAGAGAGAACGAGTTTAAGATCGAGATCCCTAGCCCCTGCTTTTTTTTTCCTTTTTTTTTTTGGGTGATTATTGTTCCAAATATTTATATTTGCGGAGAGATAGAGACAAAAAGAAAGATGAGAGATGACGTGGAAATTATTTGAATATATTTTCTATCAACAAATTTTTCAATTTTTTCAAAACGTTTGAAATTGAACCACCGATATTGGACGGACCCTTCCCATATTTGTACATTTTATTTTGGCGTGATCATTTTTTTTATATCAAAAGTATAAAGTTTTAATGTAAAAATTTTTTTGATTCGTAATCAAATCTTTAATATTTTTTTAAATATTTTTAATTATTAAATTAAATACTTAAAATTACGTGATCATTTTTTTATCGATTACATGTCATATTTTTAAAATTATATTATTTTTATTTGTGTTTAATAAAATTAAAACACAACAATAAATAATATTAATCTAATTTTATTGTGATTTTATTTGGATTAGTTTTTATCACCTTATAATAATCAGATACTCAAAAGAATTTTTTTGGGTATATTATGATTATAAGATTAAATAAGGTAATTGTAAAAAAAAAAAAAAAACATAAACATTAGGCTTGCATTATGTGATATGTTATATAGTAACTCACTTTTTTACTTGAGCCGAAATTCTGAGTTGGTCGCTGCCGAGTTAACTCATCGTGGAGGCTAAAAGAAGCACGTGCAAAACGCATGATCATTGCCATATTTCTACTAGGCTAAATTCACTGTCTAGCTTCAAACCGAGAGGAAAGAGAAATGGCAATGAGAGCATTCGTACTTCGCCACATTCAGTTACCCGGTCAAACCCTAACGGCCACCGGATCAAAACCTCATCCCCAATGGTATCTCCGCGCTTCTCTCCGGTTATTTTCATCGCACGATGATCACCTTACTAAAGAAGAAGTAATCGACAGAGTCCTCGACGTTGTCAAAAGCTTCCCCAAAGTCGATCCTTCAAAGGTCATTACCTCATATTTCACTTCCATTCTACAATTTCCTCTTAAAGAAATGATTTTGCGGTTATTCTGTTTAGGAATTGATTGATTTTTTACCCGATTTAGGGTTAAGGAATCAGATGTTATTTTTATTTATCTCAATTGTCATTTTTTTTCCTATCAGCTGGTTTTGTTATCCCTTTGATTGTTTGATCTGGTGTCTTTGTTTGGTTCTCTAGAAAAATGCGGGTAATTGAAATAGACTTATAATTCCAAGACTGTTTTATATAATCCATTTAATTGCATTTTATTTGTAGGTATTGCTGCTAATTGGGTTATCCATTTGTGTGATTAAAACTTCAGGTTGATTGTCTCCATATGAAGCAATTTCAGCTGTAGATTAACTTGCTGAAGCTTACATATGCAGCTGATATTGCATTCTAGATTCCATTGAAATTACTCTCTTAGGGTTTTGCTAAAGTTTGGGGTTGATGATGGCCTTATCGAACGGTTTCAAAAACCAATTTGACGGATCATTTGCCTTTTATGCTGGAATAGCCGTAAGATAAACTATTCAATGGAGGTCTTAATTCTTTTCTTGTTTTCTGATTTTTAAAGATGAATTTAGGAGTTGACATAAAAACTTCTGCTTATTTTAGTGTGGGAAGTAAGAATTTATATACAGGTTGTTGGCTTTTGTTGGTTTAAGTTCTTTCACTGCAGGACACATAACCTTGAACCTTGGAAGCTCATGAAATCTTTGAGGGAGGTGTGTTTGGTAATATTAAACGAGTTTATTATTTCCTCTTTACTAAGATAGATTTAAATCTTTTAAATATTCTTTCTCTTTTGTTGATTACGTGATATCTCGACATGTACTGCCGTTATAATATTTGAAGAGGTGACTTGGTTCCCAGGTGACACACAAATGATTGACTATTTTATCACTTTTATTTCATTTTCCTTTTGAATGTCATGAGTAACTTATAAGGTATTGATATTCAGATTATCTGATGCCCCTATGTATATTATAATGGCATCCTTCGTTCGTTATTCCCATGTTTATGCTATTTTCTGCCCTGTATTTATTTCTAAATATTGCTCCTTCTCATTTCCTCTGTGCATTTTGATTTGCTGCTTTTTTTGCATTTTTTTTTTTAAAGTATTAACTCATAGGGTATTGAATCATCTTTCTCAATCACTTGTAGGTGACACCTGATGTTCATTTCCAGAAAGATTTGGGGTTGGATAGTTTGGACAATGTGGAGATTGTAATGGGTTTAGAAGAGGAGTTCAAGCTGGAAATTCCAGACAAGGAGGCTGACAGGATCGACTCATGCAATCTTGCTATTGAGTATATATATAACCATCCAATGGCTGGTTAATCTATGCAAAGTAAGGTTGTATCTTGTTGAATTTCATTCGAAAAGAATAATGGCATCTTCAACTATGTTTCTGTTCAACATTTTAGGGGTTTGTATGGATTTATTCCTCATAATGGGATTAAGACCAACGATTTGAATCTATTTGGTGGGATACTACCTGAACTTCCACACCAAACTGCTGCAGATTTCAACTTGCAATAAGCTTGTTGTATTGCATGGGGACTTTCTTTACCTTTCAAATACTTGTGATTTTTGCTATTGTCCTGACATGTTGTTAGTGTTTATCTTCAACTTCTGGCCTTGGGTAATGCATTGTCATATTTGTTCATTTAAGCCTGGCAGTTGCTCCTTGTCTTCTTCTCCTTTCTTCCACTGCCAGGCTATAAATATTGAAATAAGTAGTACCTTCAGAAAACCATAAATGGAGTAATACTTGCAAAAAAACTTGTTTCTTTAAAGCATTTGATTTCCAGATTCAGTGATCGTATAATTTATGGTTCTGTTGAAATTAAATTAATGGTACTGTTTCCATGGAAGCCAGTAAAAAGCAGAGAGAAATTGGCTGATCAAGTTGTTTCATTGCAGTAGAGTGACTTGTAATTTATCTTTGTCTCGCAGTATAAATTAATAAAAAAAAATTATTATTACTTAAAGCTTCTTGATATAATCTAACTGTTGATCAAATCATTCCAAAGAATAAAAGGAATTAGCCTGCATTTATTTGTGCTTTTATTCAACTCAAAATCATTGTAACAAACACCTTCTTTTTCCTTGAACCCATCTTCACAAGTTGTAGAGGCATCCATGACGGAACCTACATCAATATAAGCATCATAATATTATTGCGTACTCTTGAAATCTTCGATGGCCTTTTTGGTAGTAGGGATAGCATCAGAATAAAGATCAAAGCAATGATGCAAGCATGATCTTATGAAAGGGTCCAGCTTTTTGTTCTTCTAGAGCTCCTTAATGTGAGACCTTGAATTTGTTAAGTTACGGAGAAGTAGCTTGATGGATATCATTCCAAGTTCACGAAGATCTATCATCTAAGCAGTACGGATGAGATTATCATTGGCGGCCGATTATGCCAATGGGATAAGTCAAGCTAGTAAAAAAAAAATTTATCTTTTTGTAAGATTTTTACCCTTGTAAGAGCAATAAAAATTCTTATAGAAAAGAGAACAGGAAAATTATTTGTCAGATTATCATCGTGTGTTATAGTTTCCCCTTTTATCACATTTGTTAGAACACTGAAAAAGAAAACATTTCTTGAACATTTAGGTGTTCCTATAATACATGAATACCATTTCATATTTTTGCTCAAATGAAATTTAATTTCCACGTGGCAAGCTTGACCAATGCACCCATGCCATCATACATGGGATGGGCCACTGGAATCATCTTCACTGAAATGCCACTAAAAACAAGCGAAGAGTCATAGACGCCCCAAGGCTTAAAGCCTTAAACCCTCTCACCTTGAAAACGTAACCCTCTAACCGAACCCCCATCAAAGGCCAAAGAAGACCGAAACCCTTTTCTCTCATCATCTCAAAGTGCTACAAAAACAGCTCAGATAAGGAAAAACCTAAACCTCAAACCCACCAAGTACTCTACTCAAGGTCAGGGGCAAAGTGTAGCCAAAATGGCGAACTTGAAGTCGGCAATGGACTCTGCATTTTGGGATCAGAACATATCCACCCCACAGACTTTGGAAGGCTCGGCGAAGTCAGTTCCAGGGGAGCCGTTTCCGTTGGATGGAGCTCGAGCCAGCAAAGCCCTTAGAATTCAGCAGCTTTCATTTCTAAGAAATGTGTTTCCTTTGGGTATCATTCCTTCTTTATCTCCTTCTTCACAGAAAGAGTTGGGTTCTTTCTCTTTTCAGTCTCTCTTGCTCAGACCCTCCACTTCTAACTGGTATTGCACCATTCTTCACTTTCTCTCTCTTGGGTTTTTACCCTTATTTCTATTTTATCTAAAAAGACAAAAGATTTTTTATGTGGTTGGTGCAAAATGCAGGAAATTGGATAATATGAAATTTTGAACTGTAGTTTTTTATTGAATATGTTTGTCATTTAGTTTGTCACTGCAAAGAAGAAGATAAGACAGTTAACATCGATTGAGTTGCATAAAGTTGTTCTATCAAGCGAGAAAGTTGTCCATTTTAGTTCTCAAATGCTATGTATGCTTCAGAAAAATGCTTTTTGCTCATATAGGTGGCTTGGAATTATTGGTCAGTTTAGGCCAAAGAAACTTATTTCTGCTATTAAAACGAAGCTTCAGAGTGCTGATGAGTTGAAGCTTTCTGATTTCCGAAATGCACCCAAGCATTTTCTTGACAAGTCACTGTATTCAATTGCATTAGCTACACAGCTTTCCTTGTCTCCTTCTTTATCCTTAATTTGGAGCACAGAGAAGCAGGGGGAGAGGAAAGGTTATCGCAACAAGTTCAAGCTTTATCATCAGGCATGTATTCTATTCCATTCATCTTTATTATGTTCCACGAAAACATATTGCACGCATTTATCTTTCTATTTTTTATCTTTATAACCAGTAGTTGCAATACTTATAGGCGATAATGGGTACTAAAGGTGAACTCTAATAAGTTTAAAGCTTCAGAAGTTTGCTGACAACAATTCCATAGGGATATCAGTTAAATGATAAAGAATAAAGATTGTTGCGCTGGAGGCATACTTCTATAGTTCTATATCTACATCATGCATCTTAAAGAATTGGTTTAATTTTTTTTTGTTCATTTGGTTTTTCACTTTTACTTAGGTGAATTTAAGTGCAATATAGCTAGTATGATGAGCAAGTATTTAAGAAGTATTAGTGCCTAGATGTGAGCCCTTTGAGTGCAAAGTAAGAAGTCTAGCAGATTGAATTCTTAAGCCTGCCTGTTATTCAGAAGCATAAAGTTTGATGTTGATTACATTGATAATTCCAGAGAGAGCTGTGGTACTTTTAACTATTTTGCCTCATAATGCCAGTCTTTCTGGTTCCAAGATGGTGAATGAGAGTTTTTTAAACTATGTTTATTGTACCACTTGTGTGTATTTACAGCTTCCTAATCATGATATCACTCTGGATGCTGCATGGCCTGAGCTTTTTATGGACCATAAAGGAAAATATTGGGAGGTTCCAGAATCAATATCCTTAGACATGTCTTCACTTCCTTCTGATTCGGGGTTGCTATATCATTTTGGTATACATAAAAACAGTGGTCATCCCCACGATTTCAATGCAGCAGATGGTGAGGCGCCTACTTCTTTAATGCCAGGATTATGTGCAAAGGCCGCATTTTCTTATGAGAAGAGCAAGGATATTTGGAGGCAAAACGAGATAGAAGAGGATCGCATCGTAGAGACAGACGAAGGTTCATTTTTGGTACCATCATATGATATTCGTCTTGAAGAACCACATGCAGCAATATCTGGAATTATAGGTATATCTTCTATATTGCAGGGGAATTTTTACTTGTCTACCTCTTGGCTTTTCCCTAATTTGCCCCTATGGTAACCTTGTTAATTTTTGCACTCAATATGTTGAGATTGGTAGTACTACCATTTTATGGTACCCTCTTATATTACTTTAGTTCATGCTATTATTTTAGATGATGCTATCAGACCAGAGCCTTGAAGGAAATTGCTATTCCTTTTATGTTGCTTGCTTGTGGGAAGGGTTAACAATACTGAGGAAACAAGTTCCTCTGGATAATTTCTTCAAAGTAGTTGTGATGTCCAAAAGTTTCTTTTTTTTTTTTTTTTTTTTTGCTTCTTTTGCTTTGTTTTGGTTTCCTTTTCAAGTTCTTGTTTTCTTGCTTCTTAATCACATTTTAGGAGGCACATGTGCGGCCTGGTTTGGGAAAGACTCCACAAGTGCTGAATTACGGAGAGAGGGTAACTTTCCCACAACCAATAAGAAGAGAAGTCCTTTGAACGCGGATTTATTTGCCTCAGCTTGCTACACTTTTCAGTATGGGCAGTTTTGGAGGCAATACGGTGATCTAACCCGAGTAGATGCCCGTTTGGACATATGTTCACTTTCATCACTTGCCAAAAGAGTTTTCAAGAGTTCTCCTAGTGCAGACAATTCACTATCATCTCCCAGACTTAATTTGATCTTTCAACAGCAGGTAATTTTATCCATACCCTTGCTTGAGTGTCTTTTTTGTTTAAAAAATGGGAAAAAATCACACTGATGGTTTATGAATTTTATTAGCTGTTCTTAGTCACAAGGCTTCTGCATACTGTATGGAGTTCTTGTTGAAAAATCTTTAGAACAGGAGAAAACACATTAACCATTTTTGTTTCAATTGAGAGATACTTTTGAAATGGCATTTATAGAGGGACTTCTAAAATGTGATGGGAGGGTAATTGAAATGATGATTCAGAAACAAGTTTGCTGGGAAACTATTGAAGCCAAAATTAAATTATGTTTATTAACGCATTCATATCTCACATGGGAAAGCCCTGGGATATAATTTGCTGTCTCGCTTTGGCGTGCAGGTTGCAGGGCCAATTGTCTTTCGAGTAGATTCAAAGTTGTTGCTTGATTCTAAATCAGGGAAACGAGGCCCTCATATTGATGATATCATATACAGCCTGAGCTACTCCTTGAGGCTTCTGCAATCTGGAAAAGTTGTTGCTTGGTATTCTCCAAAAAGAAAAGAAGGGATGATAGAATTGCGCCTTTTTGAATTCTAACTCATGTTCTTTTGTCATATCTATGATTACTTTGTTTAGAACACTAGCCTTCTTGTGGGGGGAATTATTAACCCAAAATATTTAAGTTTCTTCCTCTAATCATTATAATTAATCCAAACCCGTTTGGACATGGTTGAATTACCAACTTTATTGTGTTCGGTTCCCATGTTTTGACACATACATGATACATTTGCCAAAAGAAACTGGGTTAAAAAAAAATGTTCTGCTCTACTTCTCTGATCTCTCTAATCGCCCGTTACGGGTAAGTAAAGCCATGGGGTTGGCTCCTCTCGTGCTTTGCAAGAATCGAGTTGGAAATGAAAAGTGATCATACACTGTTGAATTCATTTCTTTTTCTAAAAAATAAAACATAGAATATTCGTGAATTATTATCATCTCCAACAAGTTACTGACATAAATGTAGCAGAGCATGCCTTACAAAGTGACGAGCTATAAAAACGCAACAAGAACTGCTCAATTCTGAAATACATTCTAAAGTTAGGCACAAGGCAAAAATTTACTGCATAAGTGCCAACGTCAAAGACCAGAAACTTCAATCGACTTCAGCTAACAAGTCAATCTCTTTACAGAAGACGTGCCTGGTATCCGTTCCCAAATCGACCTATAAGCAAGAAGAGCATTGACAATACGGTCATTTGCAGAGTCTTCAGCAATAGCTAAAGCAGTGAAGACATGACTATCCTGGATTGAGATAGGTCTTTCTTTGTCCACCCAGAATTAAAAAAAAATGAGAAAAGAAATAACACAAAAAGATCTTTTCAACTAAAAAGAGATGTTAACTGACCTCATAAGCATTTATGTCAGAGAAAAGAACCTGCAAAAAACAAAGGCATTCTTTTTAAACGGTATTAGGAAAATAACGGCATAAGAAAATTGCAGTATTTTGACAAAGGCCCAAAAATGGCATCACTTATCATGAGAAAAAATGAATTGCTCAGAAAATTGAAATTGCAAGGACTGGAATTTATTTACCTTCTTTCCAGGCTCCACTTGTCCAACTTCGGTACCAATAGAAACTATCTGAAGCGGAAATATGATAGAATTAATAAACGAAATCCCAAGCATTCATTTTAAAAGAGGGAAAAGGTATAGAAGGATTCTTATCTACCTCTCCCATCAGGTATCTCTCAAACGTGACAGCTGATTTGGGCAACAAAACTCCGCCATCTGATTTCTGTGGTATAAAATGGGCAATTCATTAGCTTGACAATTTACAATAAAGGAGAAAAAAATAAATAAAAGCAAGACATTCGTCACTCAAGATTACCAGACAGAAAATAGATACTTCATTTGAGAGGGCCTAATGATTTACAAATTTATCCATAAATAAGATAGTTCCACTTTCCTTGGCCACTCCCCACCATCACATGTAATCATCAATTGCATTTGTCTAATAGATCAATAAGAATAGCCAACATATGCCACTCAAATCTCATTTCTTAGAATTCAGAAAACAGGAACACAAACAAGTCTCACAATTGCATTTAAAGGAACAAGATTGAGACAAAAGAAACCCATATTTTGGCACAAACACTTGAACAGATTTTGAATAACCCAGCAAGCTAATTAGAACAAGCAATAGACTCGGGTAGTTAAAGAAATGGACAAAATGAGACGCAGGAAAGAGTTAGCAAACCTCGGGTAACTCTTGGAGACGGATAAGAACCCTGTCAGCTTGTGGAACAACCTGTAAAACCAAATGCTACCCGTTTATAAATACCCAAAAATTGTCTTTGTCTAACTCGGATTATGAAATTAAACGAAAATACCTTGGTGGGTTCCCATTTACTTGCAACCGCATTGATTCTTATAGAAGTTCTTCGAGACCCTGCAGAGAGGGAACCCACAATCAAAAAGAGAAACTGATTAAAAGCAAGTAGAAAATAACAAGCAGATATTGTGGTAGAAAAGAGGGGCTAAAGCAAACTAACCAAGAAGTTTGTGGGTGGGAAGAGAAGGGAGGGTAGGCTTGTTTAGAGTAAAGGTTTTTGGTACTGGGAGAAATGTAGACGCCATGGATAAGATGCTTCTATGAATTGTTCGTGGGTAGAATCAAGGGAGCGTTTGCCAAAACAAAGTAACCAAAGCCCTCATTTGCCTCTCAGTATTTTTGTAGTCCCACGTGTCACTTTTCGTGACATCATCAATGTGTCTCACCGGAGTTGTGGAGACTTCCTCATATTTTTCCTTTAACCAATAAATACGAGGAGCAACAATTATAAAAAATATATATTATTAATTTAAATTTTATAATTATAAGTTAAAGCAATAATATTCTAAAAATTTATTTTATATATTTTAAATAAGTTAGTAATGCGCTATAATAATTTTGTTGTGGTATTACTCTATCATGCAAAATCTACCAACTACTGCTACTTACGAACTTTGTCGTTTGCAGGCAACGTTAAAGAGGTATCCAAAGTGGGCAGTGAAAATTCTATTGAAGCAGAAAATATCAGAACCAGACGCCCTTCCATTATTCTAATTATCACCACCATTGCCATTGGTGGGTCCATTTTAATTCTCCCGCTTTTGAAAATCTCCAGGCAAAGACACACCTCTAATTTGTATATTTTGAATCATCGGCTACTAGGGACCACCATTCCCATCATCTGCAATTTCTATGCACTTTATCCCCTACTTTTTCCCGGAAAATTTTCTTGCCCTTTACCATTCACGCTTAACTACTTGGTACTAACAATTTATTTTGTTGGCGAAAAGAGCAGACCCTTCATCTGGAACTAGGGTTTCCATTTTCTTCTGTCCTGTTTTCTTTTTTTTTTTTTCTCTTTTAATCTTTGCAAACAAAGCTCTATCTGGCTTCTTGGTGACAATGGTGATGAAGAAGCTTTGTTTCTGTGAGTGGATTCTACTATGTCATCTGCTGCTGGCAACTATTGTTTGTTCCAAGCACCATGGTAAGATTCTTTGTGCATCGCCTCTCTCTTTTTGTTTTGTTTTTGGAGTTTTGCTGTTATTATTACATTAACTATTCCTTGATTTTTGAACACTAACTATAGAAGGTTTATGTCTTTTATTGAACCATTGGGTGTCTGAACACTTCATATTACACCTCTTTCTTTGTCTTTTCCCCCCTTTTTATCGGAAATGCATCATAAGAAACTTGCAAAAGATTTTGAAAAGGTGGTAACTTGATAGGACATACAAAGTGGGTCTAGTCATTTTATTTTTGGCGGATGGGTTTGAGAAAGTGAAGAGAATGTTCTATTCAGTTCGAATCTCAGATAAACAAGACTATAATTCCTTACTAAGAACTCAGGACTAAGAAAACTTTCACTCCATTGAGACGATTACCATTATTGGACATTGTTTAGAACTGTAGTATGGTTCTCCTTTCACATTCCCTAGATTTCTTAGTAACCAATTGTAGAGCAAATGAAAGTGTTATCTGTCCTGACAATCTCTTATCTGGATGATTCCTCCAACTATCCGGATCATTGTCCATATAGGTTCAATTACGACTTGTCTTAAATTTCATGAGCAAAGTTTGGTGGCTGAGACTTTGTGCTTTGATCTAGTTGTCCTGATTGCTTGGGTGAGATTTTTTAGGAGCTTCTCTAGCCGGCATTTTCAAATCTTTAAGCGGTTAAGAGTGTACCAATCTTGGTGCAATGAGTTCCATGGTCAGTAGATAAACCTCCATTCTTTGCAACATTGTTCTGTTTTAGAGAAAATGGCTAAGTGTTTTGCACTAATAATTCATAGGCCAGAACAGCTCAATTAAATGGTATAGTAGCTAAATTTGGCTACTTGAATAAAGATATTTTAAGCTCATCTTATTGAAAGTTTCTAAGAAGCACGAGAAACGACCGAGCGAGAGTTAGAATAAGAGGTGACATGATCATAGACATCCTTTTCTCTCCTTTTGATGTGTTATTTGACTTGAGACATCTCTAGGTTAAGCATTTCTACGACATCAGTTATTTTTGTAACTTGTGGAGGTATTTTATTTTAATCCTTTCTTCATCCATGTTCACCGACAGCCTTGAATTCTTAGATCATCTACTAGAGTAGTACCTTCTCTATGAGTTTCTTTCATTCTCACCAATCTATGTCCAAATTGTTAATAGGCAATTTATCATCATCTTCCCTCCCAAATCTAGATTGTTCTCCATCTTCAATCTTTTTAAATAGAAGGCGAAACTAAAGCATCCATTTATTTTACCAAAGACCTATGTTCTTAAAGATTGAAGCACGTTGCTTAATTGAGATACTAGAAGTTCTTCCATCTGGTTGTTCAACTTTTAGTTGCTATCTGCATCCATTGATTTGACTACCTTGAGCCAATAGTAAGGGCTGTATTATCCGGTATCAAAACATTAGTAGTTGGATTCAACAGGTCACACTTCAGTGACTTGCTTTCAATAGGATATATAACTTCGATCTTCATCTGTCCTTTATATTGCACTTTCAAAAATTTTTAACCGCTCTCTCTGATTCATGTCAAAGAGAAGAAATTTGAACCATAATTGCTCACCTCTCTGTAACATTTCATCTGTCAACTCTTTGGTATGCAAGGCTACATTGGTTTTAAGTGATTCTGGTTACATAAAGTTACTCATGTTTGGGCGACTAGATATACCAGGCTGTTTGTTCCTGTGATTCCATGTGCTACATAGGACATTAGTTTATAGAGTCTTCTGTCTCCCTAAATATGAAACACGCCCATTATTTAAAGGTGAGACATGTTGTAATAGCATAACCCCATGTATTTATTTTGCAATTATATATATTACCAACTCACTGGAAATAATCTTCTTTGGCAAGTTGAACTTTTCTCTAACTGGCCTGTATTTGCTACTTGTCCATCAGGAAACCCTGCAAATGATCTTGTTGAGTTCATTAACCAAAATAGAACTGCTCAAAAACTTCCACAACTAAGTGACAGCCCAGGACTTGGGTGCATGGCCCTCCAGTATGTTGAATTATGCAAGGGAAACTGCAGTGGCAACAGCGCTGTAAACTGCAAACCACCAGATGATGACTTCACTGAAGTTTTTGCTCCTAATTGTGGAGTGGAGCTGCCCACTATTGGCACCATTACTGGCCACATTGTGGGTTGTCAATCCAAATATACAGAGCCATCACTAGCTTTTTCAAACGTTCTTGTTAAAGACCGGAAGACCTTATCTCTTCTGAGAAATAAATCGCATAGTGCGGTGGGAGTTGGTTTGGTTGGGTTCCATAAAGGTCCCTTCTTTTGGTGTGTTCTATTTAGTAATGGTCGGACAAATTCTACGTTTGTTCTTGAAGATCGCGGTCAAGGGATTAAGCAGAAGAAAGGATGTTATAGTGGAAGTTCATTTCCTTGCAATGCTGGACAGAGAAATGCCATGTTTTTAAACTATATTATTACTATAAGTTATTTATTTGTTTCTCTGTTAAACCACTTTTGATTCATATCATAAATTTCTTGCTTAATGAGACGATGCCTGGAGATATTGTAACAAAAAACTATCCTTAAGAATGTAATTTTCCCATATTTATTCCCACTTTCCTCTTTTCTTTAGTGTATACGTACTGCCTGAGATCTTGAATGAATTTTTGATATTGCAACAGCCTGTTGTTTTGCTTTAATGAATTAGGGTTCTGGGCTGGGTTGGACTCAACACTTATGTCTTGGGCCTCTCAGGAACTTCATTTCAAACCCTCAATTGACAAACAAAATTGAAATTTCAGTAAAATTACAAACACGAGTTGAACTTAATTTCTTTTTGAAGGTAGTAGATGGAGGTTAAAAACAAAGAACAAACACGTACAAAACTACTTAATACACCCGCCAAAATATTTCAGTAAGAACAAAAAAAAAAAAAAAAATTAAAGCTGAAAGCAAAATGTCACCTATGTAATTATGTATGATGAGGATAAAATCCAAGTGAATTTTGTTTTCTCTCTCTTGTATTATCAACAATGGCGAGTGAGAGAGAGAGAGAGAGAGAGATGATGCATATATTAAGTAGTTATTCAATGGAGCAAATCCTAAATGGAAATAAAGCAGCTGCACCTTAACCACTTAGCAGTTACAGTGGGCACCACTTTTTTGAATAATCTCGTCTTGTTTGTGTTTGTGTCTGTGTTTGTGTTTGTGGACATGTGCTCATAACAAAACCTCTTTTCAGTGTGGTCTATGACACTTTTGTCTTCAACTTATTTTGCTTATGACATTGAATGTTGCTTAAACCAAAAAAAAAAAAAAAAAGAATGGTTTTTTCAATTCAAGGGAGAGAAGAAATCGACTTATCTAAGATAAAAAAATGAATTTCCCTGCGTAACTAACTTCTAAATATGAAACAATCCTTTTTCTCATTCGTAAATATATGTATATATATATAAAGCATAGTAATTCTATCATATGACTATCTAAATTCAACTGAAAGAATAAAACCTCATCTCCCGACCTGATACTTGCTAAGCTAACCTATCAAACGTAGCTGTCTAAAACAAAACCCAAAATTTTTCTCCTTCAAGTATTCCTTGTCTTTCAATGACTCCGTTAAAATAGGAGATGTCAAAAATTTATGTTTCTAGATCTCACCCTTCTACCTAAAGGCATGAACAAACAGTTTAATTAGCCTTGGTTGGAGCAATTAAACCAAATCCAGAACGTCCTTGATACATGCTAGTTATTGCGTGCCCATTAATATCACGAGTGGTTTATGTAAAGTTGTTAACTGTATAAATAAATATAAATTCTAAATTTAATTCATTAATTATATAATTATTTTTAAAAAACATACACGGTTGTTTTTGGTACAACAAAATTGTATACTACTAGCAAGTAGTTATAACTTCAAAAGAATAATGGGTGCATCTGACTGTACTGGTACTGATGCATTAGATCTCATCAAATGTTTATAGCATTACACTTTTTTTCCAATAAATGTCGGGTGAGATATTTAATACTATCTTCACCAAAACCCATCAATCACAAATATTCATACCATATTTTTTACTATATATGAACTATGGTAATTACTACCAAAAATATTATACTCCATTATATAATCCCTAAGATTTCCATGGTCAAATGTGAGCCGTCGGATCATTAAAAGCAATTTATCGCTGTAATGTAAATTTCACCGGGGATTATAAATGCGTCTTTTTTTTTTTTTTACCCTACTTTATCTACTGCGGATAAAATGGTAAACAAAGAGTTAGCTTTACCTGCACTCAAAATTTTGCTATGTCCACTCCATTTCTCCACTTCTGCTTTCCATCGTTCGATTCTCCGATCCATCAGGAATAGAGTGGAATGGGCAAAATATAGAGTGAACTAATCGAAGCGCAAAATGCAGAAATACCCATACGTCAAACCCCGTATTTACCACTCATACCCCTGAGAACCAACGAAACATTTCACTGATCTCCACGCCGATGCGATTGGCTTCCACGTCATAATCTCCAGCGGCGCCGGAGATATCGCTTCGGCGACTGCTCCCGGTGAAGAACCTTCCTGAGCTACGCAATGACAACGCACGAGACGATAACGAAAAGGAGAGCCTATCCACGTAGTCCTTAAGCCAACTCCTTCCAGTAGCAACTTCCGCTGCGAGGCTCACTTCGGCAGCTGCCTCAGGTCCTCCAACCTCTTCCTTCTCGGAAACGTTTCTCCGGTGCGTTTGATTCCTAGTCACCTCTGATTCTTCCTCGACAACATAGTCGAACGAGCCAATGGAATAAGACCTTCTTTGCTCACTGGAGTCGGAGCCTGGTTGACGACGACTGATAGAGCCAATCTCGAGCCGGAAACTGTCGCTGCCGCCACTTCTAATCGCACCGGCTGCGTTAGAAGACTTGAGCAAAACCTTCATGAGATCGGACTCGGAAGCGAAGGGAGGAGAGCGACATAGCGGACAAGTTTGGTTTGAAGTGAGCCAAGTATCAATGCAATTAGCGTGGAACGCGTGGCAACAGAGGGGAAGAAGCCTGAGTTGATCCTGCGGTTCAAATTTCGACAAACAAACAGCGCAATCCCCGGGAACCGTTGAATCGTTGTTGGAGCGGCGAGTAATAGAAGAGAAGGTAAAGACCGGAAGAGAATCAAGCAGCGAAGTCGTCGGTGATTGTTCGGGGCTGACACGGTGGCTGGCTGCGACATCGATAGTGGAGGTAGATGAGCGAGAGAAGTGACGCAAGCAACGGCGGTTGAGTTGGCGGAGGAGGAGACAAAGAGAGACAGAAACAAGCACAGTTATGGAAAGGATCAAAATTATTATTATTATACTCGGCTTGATATTCTCCGTAGAAGAAGAAGAATGGAGGAGTTCACTGCTGTTGTTTTCGGCGGCTGTGACAGTTCCTCCCATAACGCCAAACAAAAACCGTGGCGCCGAAGCAATTGACGACATCGACGACTTCTTTTTTTTTTTGTACTTGACTTCCTGTTTTTGGTCCACGTTTTATGAGTAGATATTTACTGCATTAGCTTACAAAAAAGAAGAAAAGGAACGGAGGATGTTTTTTAAAGTGGAAAGAGGATCACGTGCATGTCACGTGTAGGGAACAGAATTATACGGATTGAGACTGAGGGGTGAGATGGATTTGGGCGTTAGGAGAGAGATGAGAGATGGGAGAAGTGGTTGTTGGGGATATAATGAGAGGGAGAGAACATTTAATTGACTGCCAAATGAAGGATTAAGGAAAGGTGGGAAGTAAATACCGTGGCGCAGATTTTAAAGAGGCAGACAGCGCTGCGTCGTCGACTCCAGCCGCAGCACAAAAGGCAACTTAACTCAAATTAAAGACGCTTGAACAAACAGCTGGCCCATCTAACCGCAACTTCAATGTTGTTTGGTTGTGTTCGAAAGAATAAATTTAATCTTTGTCTTTGATTATGTGGAAATTCTCATGTAATTTTTTATCATGTTTGGAAATGGTCAACTTATCTTCATGCAGTATCATTAATAATTCATTATTTTTTTGTTTCTGTTGTTATTTTCGTTTACTTTTTTTTGGCCTTTTTCTTTTCCCCTTTCTTTATATTTTATTTTTGGGATGGATTAATGAATCCAATAACCATAAGATCAAGAAATCTAAATTTATATTATTTGTTAATTGTATATATAATTCTTAAATGTTGCATGATAATTTAAGTGTAAGGTATTTATTTTTGCACTCTTTTTTATAATTTTAAGCAAACAAAGTCACTTATATATATATATATATATGTTATCCAAAAAAGTTTCAAAATTTGTAAGCATGAGATAGAGCTATTAATTAGAAAAATTGTGATGTGATCTGAGCCGTTAAATTAGTTGATTATATCTTATTCAAAAAATTAGTTGACTTTGATGGCAATGACGAATGGAGTAGTTCTCCAAAAAAAAAGATTACAAGTACAAATGATTTTATGATTGCAGGAATAATAGATTAATTGCTATATATGTGGTACATAGACGGACAGCCATGCAGCAGAGGAAACCAGTAACTGCGGCAAACCATTCATAATTATTCCAAAACATTATAAAATAAAAGCATGACCCTCTCACTATCATTCTAAAATTATGTATTATCACTCTATCATTACTTGCATAATATATATAATCTTCTAATTACTCTTATGAACCCGGTTCTTTCGCCTGTGCCGTTGCTTCAGCCTTCAAGGACGTTGCAGGCAAAGGGTTTTCATTTTTCAATTAATATATTCTTCTAGTTGAAACATAAGAACAGAACATTGCAGAGGGGATTGTGCGGGCAGGATCAGTACTTCCAGCTTTTATATGATTATCAGAAACATATTTCTTTATATACTAGTACTGTAAAACAACATTTTTTATCAGTTGGAAGAGCCATGAAAGGAATGTTGGTGGTGTGCATGCAGGTAATTAAGATGTGGTCAGAATTATTGGAAACCAAGCTCGACCAACAGATCGACATTTCCCTTTTTCTTACCTAATTCTAGCTAGTCATAGAAGTCTAACCAAGATTCATACAGCCATGGGTTGATTTTAGCTGACCTACAACAGCAAGGTTTTTGATGATTTAACAACCAGTCTTTGGCAAATGACATTGATCCAAATACGCGTATGAAAAGTACTTAAACAGTACGTTTGAGGAATTAATGCTGCAATTAGTGGTTAGATAAACCAAGTCTGTTTTTCTTTATTTATTTCGCCATCTCAACTGATCTCAAATTCCAGGCAGGTTAGTTAGTGTGCTGTTTAGGAGTTTGCAGCAAAGTCAAGTTTCCATGGTTTTATTTTTTATTTTTTTTTAAAGGTGAAGGGAAAAGGCAAAGTAAGTTCCTACATGTGTACTGTATTGAAGCCTTCGACCTATCTCATTTAAGTCTCTGACGACCAATATTGAAAGGAAAGCAAAAGAAAAAAATAATAAAAAGTTGAACCAATATTGCGACAATAAACTTTAACCTTCTCTCACTCTCTCATCACTTTGCTTCATTTGCACTCCAGGCATGTTCATTGACCCCATCTAATGCTTAACGTTTAGTCCCTTTGTGTTGATTTACAGCTCTTACTCTCTTTGATTTCTCAGTAAGTTCTCATATGGCCCCTCAGGGACATTCCACGCATAACCCAAGACGTCAAAGATAGTGTGAAAATTAATGCAATTGGCTAGTCGGATCAGGAATGTCGGTTCTATAGTTTCAGGGTGCAGAATAGAATTATTCTCAGGAATGCTGATATGGGATGACTGCCCTGGACCGGACAATTTCCTTGTGTTTAATGCAGGAAAGAACAAAAGGGTCTAATTTCAATCAGACACGCTTTGATGTAATACCTTGTAAAGATGTAGTAATTGTTTAGGCAAATCCGATAAACCAAGAAATTTCTGCTTGTGGATTCATTTCCCTTGTCCTATGGAGCAAGAGTCCACTTCTTACATTTATTAATCCTTTGTCATTTTATAATTTTTATATCCCTTTCTTCTTGTTTGGATAATTACATTACATTCCTAACTCCTTGTCCTTTCATATGTTCTCCAACTTGATTAATTTGACTATCTTTCTATTCAAATAAAGCCAATTCGGCCGATTTAGTATTCAGAGTATAATATAAAAAAGGCCAATGGCGCAGGCAATAACTAGGGAGGGGGGGGGGTTGGCTTCGGTAAACTGTCCTTTCATGGGTTTTGTTTGATTTGGATGACTTTGTAAGAGTGAAGTCAATCTCAATATTGTGAATCACGTATCTAAAATTTTCTAATCTAATTCGCTTTGAATCAAAGTCAAGGAATCTATAGACGATAATCAATGAGTTGGATTATCCAACGGTAAGAAATTTTCACCAAAAATTAAAGACGTATACAAACTACCTTGAGCTTCCTTTTTGTTTCTCACCGGTCACCACGGAGCCTTGTGGATTAGTTTAATTGGTGGGCCAGCGCCCAGCAAAAAGGCTTGAATTCGAATCCCATTCTTCCATGGAAAATATTCTATCGTTGCCAACTAGTTTGCTTTCTCCTCTGCTGGACGACGACCTTTGGGTTGGAATGCGGCAAAATCCCGTTGGTTGGAGAAAGAGAAAAAGGGTGTAATTCCCAGATTCCACCTTTTGCACATAACTTACATTAAATTTGGATTTAAGTGAGTAAAGGAAAAGAAGATTAGTATAATTTTTATTGGAAAGTGGCCCCATATGACGTTCGTTTTAATCTCTTTGGCCTCTACCAGCAGCAAAACGGTCGAGGGCGCCAGATCAGATAACAAGAGAAAAGAAGTCAGCTTTGGGCTCTTTACCAGATTCTCACTCCTTTTCTGTCAAAGGGAGAAGAGGACCATAGGCAGTAACTATGTTTTCTTGAATAAACAAACAATGCAACTCCTCAAGGATTGGGGACAAAGAAATCTTACCAAAAGGAGGCATTGCAAAGGAGAAGGCAGTCGGTTGGAGCAGCAATTACTGACTCATTATGTCAAGCCCCATATTTTCAAATTCCCAGTTGGAGAGACATGAGGTCCATATTGGACTGTTTATTTGGCATGCAAGCAACATATGGAATAAAATGGAGAGACTACCGGCATACAGAATTGGCTCTTGCAGCCTAGCCTCCGGCAGAAATACCGGGCATTCATAGATGCAACTACCGACTAGAGATACTTCTAAATCAATGAGAGAAGGGATAGGCAAACAACTTCTAGCAAATACCATACGAATTTCACAAACCATGCTGCAACTTGCTAAAAGCAATCAAAGATGAACACAAGATTTTATGTTTTCTACTCAAAAGAATTGACATTAAAACACAATTTGAAAAAGTAACACTTAGTAGATCCTCAAAATTGTAATAATGGAGATTTCCAGCCCAACAAATGTTTCCATCAACATAAACAACTGAAGCAAAATCAACCAAAGTTCATGTAGTGAATACATCTGGACACCGACACTACAATTTTGCATTTCAAAAGTACATCTCTCACATGGCTGTAAAAGCCTTCTTCCCACCTCCAGAAGACCCAGCTGGAATAACCTTTAAGACATTGAACCTCACTGTCTTTGACAAAGGCCTACAAAATTAATAGACAAATTAATATGGTAGTTAGTAAAAACCTCCATGCCATTCCTCTTTCTCCCCAGCCATCCGTTTTATTATTTGTTCTTTAGGTGGGTGGGTCTGTGGGAAGTGGTGGTGGGGAGGTTAGGGAACAGTTGAGACAATAAATATTTAAATGGTAAAATGTAAGTAAACTATGAACCTGCATTGCCCGATTATAACATGATCTCCTTCTTTAACACGAAAGCAGGGGGAAATATGAGCTGGGATGTTAGAGTGCCTCTTTTCATATCTGACAAAATTTTGATACCAGATTAAAATAACATACATGAGATTTTTTCATAAATGTGCATTACATTCTCTTACAATAATATAAATCAATGTATCTAGCAAATATAAAATGATACTGAGGAGGTTAAAAAAGGAATGAATCTATAAAGGGAAAACATCTTGCCTTTGGTATTTCTTGATGTAGTGAAGATAGTTCCTTCGTACAATAATGGTCCTCATCATTTTTGCACTGTGGCAAGTGCCAGCAAGGATACGGCCTCTGATAGAAACGGTGCCAGTAAATGGGCATTTTTTATCAATATATGTTCCTGAGCAAAGGTGCAACCTCCAACATAAGTGTCAACAAAATCATGTGCAGAGGGGGTGGAGAAATGGACATGAAATAGAAACAATGAAACAGTAGCAACATGAAATTTTATCAGGGCAAAATCTAGACATCCATAAAATTAATATGGATGCCCCATGGGGGATATAATGCATGCATAATAAGACATGACAATGTAATTTGATTTCCTGACAAAGACATGCACAGGTCAAACCAAAAGATACCCTTTCAGAACCATATTAAACCAAGACATGGTTTACACATTGTATCCAAGGAATGCTAGCCAATCGACAAAATCACACTTGCTAAAGGAAAGTCCAAACATGAAAGATTCCAATCTATTTGTTAACTTCTTACTTCTTATTTCATAAAAGCCCCCTTTCATTTAACAATTTCAAGTCTGAAAACATAATAACAAATGATAAAAGTACGTAGTTTTCAAATCTCTAAAACCAACAAGCAAATAAAACCATTTAGGTTTAATTATCAATAACCTAGCAGAGAACAATTAGTTCCCACCCCACATATTCAGTGACAAACACAAGAGAGCAAGCAAAGACTAAGAACTATATCAATTTTCAAAATGAAATAAAATTACAAAAAAACTTAATCCTAATTTAACAGGAAAAGTCTTAACAAAGAGGAAAAGTGGAAGAGAGCAAAGCAAACCTTCAATTGCCTCTCTGGGTGTCTTAAAGCCCAACCCAATGCTCTTCCAGAAGCGATTCCCGCCCTTTCCAGGCCTCTTACCTTTTCCAGTTTTCTTAGAGCTAAGGGAGGAATACTATAATCTATTAGAATTATTCCAAGATGATAATTTGCAAGTAGTAGTAAATAACAAAAGAGGAAGTTAATTTACCTTAGAAACACCTTTGGCTGCTTCAAAAATGCCTTCTCCGTCTAATATACAAAGTTAATAAAAAAAAAAAAAAAAGATCAGATCAGATCAGATTAGAGCAGTATCAACACAGAAGAATAATAAAGGGAAGCATTTCCAAATGCCTCGTTAGTATTTATTGAGAGAGACAGAGATCTGAACCTGTTCAGCCATGGTTGAGGAACGAGGGGCTACCCGATTATGCAATGACGAGAGAGGTTTACAGAGCAAAAACCCTAATACAGGCGGCAACGCCACTGTCCATTATATATGGGCTTTCATTTGGAAAATTGCCGTTTTCCCCTTACGGGCTATTAATAGACCCCAGTTACGTTGGGTCGCCCTCGGCCCACATAGGCATACATGTAAGCCCAACCTAGCCTTTTGCGTTTATATATGTCTCGATTATGGGAAGATTTTAAATTAGTGGAATTTGAAACTCAAACAAGCTTTTAAGTGCATGAATCAATAAAATTAAATCTCATATTTGCTTATTCATTTCTTTTCAATAGCAATGAAGTTGTTTATTTTATAACAAAAAAACAATTATTGATTTAGCATTTGCATTAATTGATTCTCTGAATACGAGTATAAAGTGTGATATGTAGCCCAAATCGAACACCTGAGGCCCAAAAATGAAGCCCATAACCTAATAAGTCCAAAGACAAGGTAACAAAGACAAGTTGAGATCCTTTCACAAACACAACAGTAAACACAGGTACCAAAAAGAGAGTGAAAGACCCCTTTCTGATACTCTCCTTCTCTCCGTCTCCGACCTAGCGAGAGCCGAGCGACCACCACCAGGCCCCTCCGAGAATGTTGCGTCGAGCTTCGGGGCTGTTGGCCCGACCCATTTTAGCGGCAAGGGCTCGACCCTTCTCCACTGATTTGCCGGCGGCTCAGACTGCGGATGCCACGTTCGTGGAGGCGTGGAAGAAAGTGATCCCTAATATGGACCCTCCTAAGACTCCTCTCTCTTTCATGCAGCCTCGTCCCCCAACTCCTTCCTCCATTCCTTCCAAGCTCACTGTCAATTTCGTTCTTCCTTATGCTTCTGAATTGGCCACCAAAGAGGTAACATTTGGGCTTTTCGTCGTTTTAATTTCTGTTGAGGAAATTTTGAATTTTTTTTCAATGCTGCTATCTGGGATTAGTAATGTGGGAAATAAACAAGGAGGTAACAAAGGCCAAACCTTTATTTTTTATGAAATTTTGTTAGTAATTCTTTTGATAGAATGCAATGCCTTTTATTTGTTTTTGCAGTTTGTAATGGTGATAATCTGAATGCGTCTCTAATTGTCCCGCATTACCGCCAATTTTGATCATTTGCCCTATAAAACTCCTACGGTACATTTTACTGATGATGATACCATGTAATGTACCTTTACATTGGGTTACAGATTCTGCACCCAAATTAAATCCCGAGAAGATAACACAATTGTAGTATTGCTGTGCAATTTAGAGTGTATTCTCTAATTTTGTAACTTTGAGGGCTTCTTCACGTTGCCTTTGCTGATGTATACTAGGCTTTCCAGAAAGTCATTATATGATATCTTTCAAACAGTTCCCATTTGTCCCACAGAAATATATTTTACAAGACTTTTTTAGTAATTGTTGTTTCTTGCTTGTCCATGCCAGTTCTACTACTCCTTTTAGGGCAAGAAGTGACTTCATTGCAAATATGGTATTTAGAAGTGTTTTGACATTGATAACTAAAGTCCTTGAGCCCTTGAGAAAACAAAAAGAGAGTGAGGGTTTGTATTTTGTTTGGCATTTGCAGTGTAGTTTACCAAGTGCATTTTCCCACTTTAGACCTTTCTAGGCATTCCCTCATATATCTGTCACATCTGTGTTTGGAAAGCCAGATTTACATTTAGTCAGATAGTGGTAAGTAATTCAGAGACAATAGTAACAAACAATTTCAATTTCTAGTACAGTGTGTTATGATAAAGCCTATTCGTTCACGTTTTAGTTCCATCATATCTGTTATTATGTAAAAATGTTTTTGTTTTTAGTTTAATTTTGAAAAGCATTTGCCTTGCTGTGGTATTTGGCCAGTGAATGAAACCTCTCATAAGTTGCACAAAGATTTCATCCTTATGAATATAGATTGGTCTTGTTGAGGTCTGCAATTCAAAAAATTGCACCCTAAGTACCAAATCAGCTGTGAATCTATTACTTATTTTTGTTCCTTCAAAGATGGTGACAATGCTGATACTCGATCAAGTTTGCAAACCTTGCTGTGATTGGAATTTCAGATTTCAAACATTTTTCTTCCTTTTCCATCTTTATTTCTCTCCAAAGATTCAAACATTAAAGTCCATTAAGGGAATCTCTTCATTATTTTCAGAAACTAAATGTGACCATATCTATGTCTTCTATTTAACGTGGATGATTCAAGCAAGGTTTACTGTTTAAAGAGTTTGTTTATACATTTTCCACTTGTTCATGCATATGGCATCCAAATATTATTTTGTTTTCTATCTTCTTCCCCAAACCCCAACCATTCGATGAAGAATAAATTAGGTGACTAATTTTTGTTGCTGTTTTACTAAGTTTGAGCAATGGCGAACATAGTGAAGTAACCATACAGTAGTGTATTGTCCCTGTCCCACAGGACCAATTGAGAGATAACTAAATGGAAACAATTTGAGAGAGAGAGAGACAGGTAGGTGTTATGTATGTTTTATTCTTTCTTGTTTTTGGCGTGGGTTCGACAGCCAGCAAGGTAGGTTGTTTAATGAATGTGAAGCCTATGTAAATTGAAACAAGAATGCAACTTCTCGTGTTGTAAGTATTACCGTAAGTATGATCTAATACTTGAGCAAGAAAAAAGTTGAAGTGGTTGAAGGAAAGGTAATAATAATAATGGCTAAAATCATAGACTATATGTTGTAAATTAACTGGATTCTATGTCTCCTAACTTCTCTGTTTTCAGGTTGACATGGTTATAGTGCCAGCAACAACTGGACAGATGGGTATTCTTCCAGGACATGTAGCAACAATTGCAGAATTGAAACCTGGAGTCTTATCAGTGCATGAAGGAAGTGACGTTACAAAGTATTTCATCAGCAGTGGTTTTGTTTTTATCCATGCCAACTCTTTTGCAGATATAATTGCTGTTGAGGCCATGCCACTTGATCAAATTGATGCAAGTCTTGTTCAGAAAGGGCTTGCAGATTTCACTCAGAAGCTGAGCTCAGCCACAACTGACTTGGAGAAAGCTGAAGGCCAAATCGGAATTGATGTGCATAGTGCACTCAACTCAGCTCTGACAGGCTAGTGTTGTTTGTCATTATGTTCCTTGGTTAGTCATTTGTCCGTTTTCTCTATCTTAAACCTTCCTTATTGACACTTAGATTTATCTCATGGATCCATATATTGTTCTGAACACGTTGTTCTTTTCTTCTATTTCAAACGTTGAACGGGGAACCAACATAAATAATCTTTAATGAATTCTTCCTGGTTTGCAAAAGGAAGAAACTTTAAGAAACAACAAATTGTGTTGAATCACCATGTATTTCAATTCTCCCCTTAATTTTGGGTTGAACCCTCCCTCCCATTCATGTTAAAAATTCGTGGCTGCAACGCGTGGATTTGAAATCACATTATTGAAAAGGCAGGTTTATTGATTGCAGAACCTGAATTATTGAAAGGCAGGTTTACTGATTGCAGAACCTGAATCTTACTTTTGAGTGGGGCATTTTGTGCTTAGGGCATGCTTTTGGTATGGGAGTATCTCACATGAGATAGGACTTATATATATACATATATATATTTAAAAGCAAACTTGGGATTTTGATTTGAAAGATAATCAAATACACTGTTATATAAATTCCAGGTAGGAAAGCAACAGGTGCTAATGCCTTGAGTTTGTGGTTTAATGGGGGCATAATAAGATGACTTCATCTTACCATTATGCAGAGAAGTATGTGGAGTTAATATATACAGGTGTAGCAGGAAGGATTATTTTCACACTGCGGCCTATTGTGGTCCAGTGATCACGCAACCCAACTTGAACAAATTCCCTCAACTTGCCTTTCAGCATACTTGGTGAGAAAATTATATGACAAGGAGAGGTGGCTCAAGCGCAGTCTTTTTAGTGCGTTATTGAGTTGTTATGGAGATGATTAACTATGATTTATGGGAGAAATACTGGGAACTATATGAAGTGGCGAATAAAAATTAATATTTTTTTAGAATGAAAAAAGTCACAATCTTATCGTAGATCTACCCCAAGCATCATTGATGCATAAATAATATACTAGTATACATCACCCAAATGAGGACCCATACTGAGATTTTTTTTTTTTTTTTTTACATTTATAATAATCAACTTAAAGCAACTGAACCCAAAGAATTCATTATTTTCAAATTAAAATGCAATATTATTTTATATGTGCATATATATATATATATATATATGTATTTTGTTTATGATTTTTTGGTGTTCAATAATTATTTTGAATCTTGATTAATTCGAAATTAAATTAAGTCAAATCTCATAAAAATGTCAAATTCTCTCAAATTTATTTTTTTCATTCATAAAATTCAAAATTAAAATCTTACTTAAAAAAATCAAATTTTTTATAAAGTAACTATATTACAATCATGCTTTCACATTCTACTAGTAGTATCTTTTTTTCCCTTGTTTTATAAAAAAAAGTCCACCTGTATTGCGTGGGTTTCGAATAATTTACTTATTGACAACATGTCAAAATATTAACAAAACCTTCTCATTTTTACTTATAATTTTATTATTTATTAATAATAAAAAATTATATAAAAATTTATTATTTATAAATTTTGATGATGTTTATATTACTTTAAATTATAATTAATTATATTATATTATAATTATTATAAATTATATGTTCTTTTGGATAATTGTGAAAAGTGTTATTGTTTTTTTTTTTTTTCAAAATTTTCAAGCTCATGTAATTTGATATTCATAAATGATTCTTGTATTTATATTATATAATTTTTTTAAATTTATATATTTGTATTATTAAAATATAAAATTTTAGATTTTTATTTATAAAAAATTACATAATTTAATTGATATTAACATAAAATATTTTTTTAATTTTTATTAATTTATATATAAATTATTATTAAAATTTTTAATTATATCATTTTTATTTTTTTAAAATTATACTTATATTATAAAACTCACTCGATCATATAAAACTCGTCCCTTATTTTTAAGCACTTGACACGCTCGTACTCCAAACGTGTGGGGGAACAAGCATGTGGTAGCGGTCCCCACCCCCTCAATAATTGAGTCCCTTCTCGACGGGTCCAGCGTGGCACGAGATCAGCCGTTGAGCTATGTGACTTAGAAAATCTGACCACTCCAAGAACCCGGAATCTTTTTCCACATAGCTCCAGCAAATTCTTCTATGGTGCTGCGCTGGTGATCCCATCGAAACGCACGTGTTCCGGGCAATTAGAAGGTTAATGTTGGGAGGCTCTGCCCGGGGGACAAGGGCAACATCCGTGGGCCCGGGAGACAAGGACCTAGGAAAAAGGGCCAGCAGGATATTTCGTCAGGTGGGCCTCAGTGTTCGATGGTTTTGTTGGGTTGTGTTTGTTGGTGGGGCCTACGTCTACTCAGCTCCAAGTTCGTGTCACTTGTTTTTTATTTTTTTTTCACAAGTTGTGGGCCCTACAAATACTCAACTCCTAGTTGGAGAAAAAAGGGAAAAAAATAAAAAAACCTGACCAAGTGGTCCTCCTCCTCTAGAGAAATCATGAGGCGCCCACAAAATTTCCCATGATATAACAAGGAAAAGGGTAAATCAAATCATGAGTTCTGTTTGCTGTTATTGTCCCATTCTCTTCCATAATTACTAAAGAACCCCTCAATGATTTAAATAATTCCATTGGGGCCCGTCATTGCACACAAACTTACAGCCATGATTATCATGGCATTTTCTTTTTTAATTTTTGAATCATCATGAGAATTTATCTTATTGGGAATTTTGTTGAAGAAAAAAGTACGTACGAGAAAAATACATCAAACATGGTTTTTTTAATACACCTCATTTATGTTGTTGTTTACCGAAATTTTTTTTTTCAAAATTAAGGTCATTCTAAATTACCATAAATAAAAAGTTTCTTTTCAAATTGTTTTAATAATTTTATAACAATTGTTTTAATGGAATATAAGCATGCAATAATAAATATAATACTTGTATTTTAAGTGCTATGAAAATGAGAATTTATTTTCTAATGTGAAAATATGTGAAACTAATGAATTCATTTAGATATTTTAACTAATTATTAGGGGTTCACACTCTATCAAACGATTATGCAAACAAATAAACTCGATTAGTATAAAAATTGCGGTGTAACTTATGAACCAACATGCATAAACGTGGAACAAATCTTTTTCATTATTTTAAAAAATAGTAAAAACTTTTATTATTTTATTAAAAGATAAATAATGCATATTTATTTAATTTTATAATTAAAATTTTAATAATTTTAAATTAAGTATAAAATCAAATATAATTTAATTAAAAAATAAATATAATTTAAACAAATATGAATCTCAAATTTAGATTGTTTGTTATATGTTCCATTGATTATAAACACATGTTACTAAATACATGAAACGCAAAGAGAGTGTTATCAACAAAGAAGACGACTTGAAATTCGACAATTAGTATTTACGAGAGTTGAGTTCATTCAAGCACAATAAATATTATTATTAATTTATTTAAGAATCTTTTGATGATTCAAAAATAAAAATAATATTCATCGGTTACTTAAAAGCACCGATTAACTAATTTTGAAACAGTAATTACTTGATTGAAAAAGAACAAGAAATCAGATACTTTTTCTCTATGGGTAAAGTAGGATTTACATATACTTTTTCGGATTGGCATGTGTCCAAGTGAAGATTATCCAAAGGAACAAGAAATCAAATACCCAACACACAGGGACTGAATTGAAAAAAAAGAAAAAAAAGAGTATCACATTTATTTTTTTTATAATCATAAAAAGAGAAAGAAAAGCGCCACTTTAATTATTTAAAAAAAAAAAAAAAAAAAGAGGCTTTTGAGGAGAATGAGCATCAATTATCAAGCATTCTATAATTTAGCAGCCAATGGATTTAACCGCCTTGAATTGGAATACCGCCCTTGGATTTGCAAGTAGGGGCCGCATCCTGAACCACTTTGGCTTACAACATATCCAATAAAATTATAACACCTGTCATTAACAATGGGCTTTAGTATTATACAATAGGCCGTGTAGTACTTGATTCCCATCCTCAACCACTTCGCTAACAACATGTCCAATAAAATTATAACACCTGTCATTAACAAATGGGTTTTAGTATTATACAATAGGTCGTGTAGTACTTGATTGCCCCAAGTCAAAGCCTTCCCCTTTTAAAGTCTCTATGCTCCATTTGCTTTGTATATATCTACCAAGCTTGAATCGCCTTCCTCCCCCAACTCAGCGCTCTTCCTCAGCCTTTTCCTGCCCCTTCTTAGCAAATTAGCAGCAAGAGTCGCCGCCTTTGGCTATTCCTTTTGTTGTAAATCAATAGCATTCATGTCGGCTTATTATTACTCTGGGTGTTCAGATCACTACGAGGCTCACTATCTCGATGCCTGCTCTCTTTGCCGCAAATCGCTTCATAATTCCGATATTTTCATGTACAGGTTAGTTGTCTATTATCGCTTTCGATTTTGAATCGTGTTCAATCATGAACGTGAATACGTTGGTTGGTATTGATTTAGAAACGAAAGATGGGGAATTTTTTAGTGTTTCTGATGGACATCGTTTGAGATTTTGCAGAGGGAACACACCGTTTTGCAGCAAAGAGTGTAGACAAGAACAGATGGAGATTGATGAAGCAAGAGAAAAGAACTGGAAATCTGGTAGATCTCTTAGAAAATCAGATGCCAAGAACTCTGCTTCTAATAAAACTGTACGGACGGGCACAGTTGCTGTGGCCTAATCACATCTTTGCTTTTGTAGTAGAGTGACGATATATCAATTTTCGAGGGACTTTTGAAATTTGCCGTTTTTTAATTTTTGTTTTTTGGGGGATTGACGGTTGCGGCGTGTGGATGTTTATAAAGGATGGATCATCGGATTGTGCAGTTTTCATCAATGAAAAATGTTCAAAGATTTAGCATTTTCTCGTAATACTGAAATTCCGAGGCAATGAAGTTTCAAAGAGACTTCTTTTGGTATCTCTGTCTGTTTTCTTTTCTAAGCAAATTCACAAAATTATTAAAAAAATATATATAAAAGACAATAATTTCCCCTAAATAAGGAGTCCAGGGACCAGGGTTAGAACCTGAAAGCACTCGTTTTGTCCGATTGAAGGGACCCTCGCATTCCACTTGCTGAATCATCAATTTCGATTTTGTCATGTTGTTTTTGGAGGAACCTTAACTCTATAGAACAAATGGAAAAGGAGTCGAGTAGGTATGAAACCTGACACGGCAGATCCGTGTTTGCCATGGTTTTTGTATGAGAATGGTGCCAAGGAGGCTCATGTCGCCACTGCCGTGTCTCCTGGTAAATTTTGGTCAGGACTCAGGAGTCAACTCATAAGCACGACCACCAATCAATTATTTGCATTAGCAATCACTGACACTGCTATTCGGCCCAACCAAATTCAGCTCATTCACATCTTTTTCTTACCTTAAAAAAAATCCATTTGATAACAAATTTAATTCAATTAATTTATATAATTATTTTTATAAAATAATATTTAATAAATTTAAATTTTGAATTTTAATATTTACATATATATTTTTATTTTTAGATTTGGTTCTTCTATGTACCTAGAAAAATAATCTATATATTTAAAAAGAAATTAGCCACCAGTTTTAAAAAAATGTTATCATACACGTGGGTAATTTTGTGAAAAATAAAACATAAGTGCGTCTAATTACATTTTATTATTTTTATTTTAATTTTGATTTGTATGTAAATTTACAATTGAGTTGGTGTCTCTTTTAACTTGTGACACCAACTGAGTCAGTCACTTTCAAGTAAATTTACTTAGCCCTAAAAGAACTTTTTAAGATTAATTAATATACTTAATAAAAACTTTGTATTGCATGTAATAGGTGATAATTTTATTCATGATTTTTAATCCTTGAGAGAAGTTATTAATACTATTTACCTAAGTTGAAATTGATAACTGCTCCAGAAAATGGTTAAAATATCTTCACTATGTATTGAATATCTCAAGTATCCATCCAAAATAATAACTTTTACAAAATTTGAAAGGTTTTTATTTCACAATACAAATAAAATCCCCTTGCATTATTGTATCAATCATACTCTTATTGTTAGGCCTATTTTATGATATATAAGTATTCATAAATCATGTCAATTATTTTTTGAATTAATTAGTATATTATTAGAGTTAATATTTAATAATTATAAATTTAAAAAAATTTAAATGCGTATATTTTTTTAACAAAATATGCAGTAAAATAACAAATTTCATGATATATTAGAAACATATCAATAACTCTGGATTGAAGCACATAAACGGATTCAGCAAAAAATGGCCCTAGTGCACCATGTTTGGCCCACTAAAATAAAATAAAATTTTTAAAAAACACGGGAAAAAACCAGCATAGGGTTGGATTTGCCCACAGATCTTTACGAATCTTTCCCCACCATTCCCTAATGCACCGCCACCTTTCCTGAGCCATCCGAGTATTGGATCCGCGGTTCGATCGCGGAAAACTTATCTTTGAAGACGAACGAGGCTCTGCATGTCGGTTAAAGTGCGCTATGTGCGCGGTACTTTCCAGGTTTATGACTCCCCTCTCTTTCTCTCTTCTGTACCAAAACGACGAGCTTATGCTCACTCCTCACAAACCCTAATTTCGTTCGATCTTATTCATTTCCCCAAAACTCCAAACCCCCAAACTCGACATTCCTCTTCTTTTTCTTCAAGTTCATCAGACTTTGATTGCTTGAATCAGTTTTCCCCATTTTGTAACTCTAATAAAGCAGCTGCCAACGATTCTTTGAACTTTGTTAATTCGAACGAACGCCGTAGAATCATTGTTGGCCTATCAAAGATAATCAAGTTGAAACATGGATATTTATTGCGGGGTTTTTCTGACAAGTTTTGTCCATTTTTCATGGTAAGAATCATGAACCTTTTCGGAACCAGAAAGACCGCTTTTGCATTCTTTAAATTTGCATTTAGGGATGATTCTGAGAGTACTGTTAGATCTTCTTGCATTGTTGCGCATATTTTAGCTGCTCAGAACCTCAAGTTTCTTGCTCAAGATGTGGTTTCCTGGGTGATTAGGAGAATTGGGGAAAGTAGGAGTCAGGATTTGGTGGAGTTTATGTGGGCAGGTCATCATAAATATGAGTCGGATTTCTCTGTTCTTGATACGCTTATGCGGGCTTTTTTGATTGTAGACATGGGTTCACGGGCGTTGGACATTTTGAGTAGGATGAGGGAGGTAGGCGTGGTGCCAAGTTTATCTGCAATGACAATACTTTTTAAGTTTTTGCTTAGAGTTGGTGATTATGGTAGCGTGTGGAAGCTGTTTAGGGATATGATTCGTGAAGGACCTTGTCCTTCTAATTATACTTTCAATGCAATGATTCATGGCTTTTGCAGAAAGGGTCATCTTAGGATTGGAGAGAGTTTGCTTAATGTGATGGAGAAGTTTAAATGCAATCCTGATGTTTATGCATATAATATTCTGATTAATGCTAATTGCATTAGTGGACGGACTTCGAATGCACTTGCTTGGGTCCATTTGATGATAGAGAGGGGTTGTAAGCCAAGCATTTTTACATTTAATACAATTGTTAATGCCTTGTGTTCCGAGGGAAATGTGATGGAAGCAAGAAAGGTTTTTAATGAGATTCAAGAGCTGGGTCTTTCTCCTAATGTTGGAATTTATAATTCCATGATCAATGGGTATGTTAAGGCAAGGGATGTTGGTCAGGCAAACATGCTTTACGAAGAAATGAGATCAAAGGGTATAATTCCTGATGCCGTAACTTTTAATATTTTGGTTGCAGGGCATTTCAAGTATGGCCAGGAGGATGACGGAGATAGGTTGTTGAGAGAATTATCGACAATGGATATGCTTCCAGATCATTCATTGTGTGATATTTCAGTTGCTGGGTTATGTTGGGCAGGTCGTTTGGATGAAGCCATGGAATTTTTACAGAATCTGCTTGAGAAAGGGATGACACCAAGTGTTGTTGCTTTTAACTCTGTTATTGCAGCATATAGTAGGGCAGGCTTAGAAGATGATGCCTACAAAGTCTACAAACTTATGCTGAGATTCAGCCTGGCCCCCTCATCTTCCACATGTAGTTCTTTGCTCATGGGTTTGTCCAAGAAGGGGAGGCTGCAGGAAGCAAGGGAGCTTTTGTATAAGATGATGGAGAAGGGTTTTCCCATCAATAGAGTGGCTTTTACTGTGCTTTTGGATGGCTACCTCAAGAAGGGAGATTTAGCAGGGGCTCTAGATCTTTGGAATGAAATGCAATGTAGAGCGATATCTCCTGATGCTGTTGCATTCTCAGCCTTTATCAATGGACTTTCCAAAGCTGGTCGAATGGAGGAGGCATATGGTTTGTTTCTTGAAATGTCAAACAAAGGATTAATGCCAAATAATTTTGTATATAACTCCTTGATTGGTGGGTTTTGTAACCATGGAAAGATACATGAAGCGCTGAAATTGGAAAGAGAAATGAGGCAAAAGGGTCTTCTTCCCGATATTTTTACGTCCAATATCATTATTAATGGATTTTGTAAACATGCCAGGATGAAGTCAGCATTTGATGCATTTATGGTCATTGATCGGGCAGGGTTGGTCCCAGATATTGTAACATACAACACTCTGATTGGTGGGTATTGTGAAGCATTTGACATGGTTAAAGTGGATCAGTTTATGAATAACATGTATGCTAATGGGTGGGAACCAGACATCACAACCTATAACATACGAATTCATGGTTTCTGTAGTAGTCGAAAGATGAGTAGAGCTGTAATGCTGCTGGATGAACTTCTTTCAGCAGGTATTGTTCCAAACACTGTGACATACAACACTATGATGAATGGTGTTTGTAAAGACATACTGGATCGTGCTATGATCATAACTGCAAAATTGCTTAAGATGGCGTTTATTCCAAATGTCATTACTACTAATGTATTATTGTCCCATTTTTGCAAGCAGGGGATGCCTCAAAGGGCACTACTGTGGTGTCAGAAGCTAAGTGAGATTTCCTTTGAATTTGATGAGGTTTCTTCTAAAATAATGGATCAAGCTTACCGAGACATACAAGAAGATGTTGAGTTTTTTAGAGTAACATCTGGAAAAGGCCTTCTCCTAGAATTTCTCATGTGCGTTACGTATGATTATTTCTCTAGAAGCAGGCATAAGCAGAAAACGAGTCCAGAGTCTCTTAAATTGATTGTGTGATCCGAAGTGGCATTTTAGTAATTTAATAACTACAGGAGCACTCTACATCTGGCATTAATTGAACATAAAAAGTGGGAACAGTTGGTAAGGATGTGAATGATGGTTGAGATGATTGCAGCGGTCTATCTGAGTTGCTTGCTGCACTTGCAACAAAATGTGTTAAACTGAAAACACCAGAAGGAGAAAGTAGAAGCAAAGAACAGAGGTATGGAAGACATGCTGCCCTTGGGACTGATTTACAATTGCCGCCACTGAAACGTAAAATGCTTTTTTTTTTTTTTTAAGAAAATTTTGAAATAATATTAATGTAATTATTACAATTACAAGAAAATTTTAATTTTGTTTTCATTGAAATTTAATTAGTATTTTACTTTAAATTTTAAAGCTATAATGTCATAATGTATTAGTTACTGTACATGGAGGCCAATGTAAACCACGATTTGATAATTTCATAATATGCACTCTGCTGCAAATTGACCCTTTACAAAAAAGTTTCATATTTTACAGTGATAATCATTTGTGCTTTAAAGAAATCACCAGAGTAAGACTACAATCAGAAAACGAAAAGGGGAGGAAAAGAAAAAAGAGAGAAGTAGTCAAGGCACTCCGGCCCTTTGCAACATCATCAATCTCCTTCTACTTGCACCTTCTGCATGCTCACCCAATTTTGCAAGGTGTGCCATCCGCCTCTTCCATGATTCCGAGACATTGACTTGATTTGAAGTCTTTTCTGTTTCTGCCGGCTCAATATCAGACACCTCAGGACTCTCAATTTCCTGAGCATTTTCTTCGTCTGAAACTTGGATTATCTGCTTCAATCTCTCCACCACCTGACTCATCTTGGGCCGATCCTTTGGACTGTTTAACAAACAAGTGTCTGCTAACTTGGCAATTTCTCGAGCTGCACGGATCGAAAACTGGTTTTGCAGTCGAGGATCCATTATTGAGCTGAACATTTTACCATCAGCAGGAAACAGTTTTACCCAATCCAAGAGTTTCTGCTCTGCTTTTGGACGGCCTCTTTCTAATGACCGCCTACCTGTAAGAATCTCATATACTACCACACCAAAACTCCATACGTCACTCTTATCCGTTAAATGACCTGTCTGAACATAATCGGGAGCAGCATAACCATAAGTCCCGACTACCTGTAAGAAAAAAAAAAAAAAAAAAAAAACGTTGTTACATTATCAGCCTGTAATTGGATCATCTTACTGAATTACCCCAAAGGAAAGTACCGAGAATACTAACAGCTGTTGAAACATGTGAACGACCATCCATGGGCCCCTCCCTTGCAAGCCCAAAGTCTGAAAGCTTTGGATTGAAGTTCTCATCCAATAATACATTGGAGGCTTTGAAATCTCGATATATCACCTTGCATTAGAATGAAGCCAAAGATTGAGCACAAAGAACCATACATTTAAATCCTAAAGATAACATGTACACAACCAGAAGCTTATAGCAAGACAAACTCCAGCTCTTATTCATCAGCAAAACAAAGAGAATGTTTTATCTTCAAAATGCGGTGGTTCTATTGTAAGTAAGAAAAAAACAAAAGAAATGTATAGTTAGTGTTTTAGAAAGGAACCTGAACTTCTAATCCCTCGTGTAGATAAGCTAATCCTTCTGCTGCTTCAAGTATTATCTGTAATCTTGTTTTCCAAGGAAGAGGTGGGAATACCCGACGGAAAAGATGATCTTCTAAACTCTTATTTTGCATAAACTCATATACAAGAAGACGCTGGATCCCTCTTTCTCCATCCACAGCACAGTATCCTATGAGTTTGACAAGATTGGGGTGATCAACAACACCAAGGAATTGAACTTCCGCCACCCATTGTTTATGTCCCTACATGGATTAAACATAACTACGAATGAAACAACAGTCGTTACAACAAAAACAGTTTATTCTCTCTGTTAACAAGGGTAACATCAACAAGTTTCTTGTCGACAGGAAAAAGTAATCTAGTTGGTGGGGGAAGGGATGATTGATCAAGTCTTGCAAGTTGCAATGCACAATTTACTTTTTCCTATTTTTTTCCTCGTCATCTTATGCCATAATTGACTACTAAGCAACATCAATTGACAGAAAATTCATTTTTCCTTATTGGTCAAAGTAGAAGTATTAAGTTTACAATAACTAGCGGCTTCCATGAAATAAAGATGAAAATCCCAATGCAAGGCAGAATAAGTTAGGTTATTAGAATTATAGACCAGTATCCCAAAAGAGGAAACCCCCTCAAGTGGACCCAAATCAGTGTTATATTTTTAAAAGATGGAAGCACAAGGAAGTGAGAAGAAAGAAATTGATACTCATGATATTGCCGATTTGATTTGAATTAAGTATTAGTCTTGCAGGAAACTAGTCAGTCCTTCCTTGATGATCAAATACAAAAGACAAGAAAGTTTGGTGGAAAGAGTTTTCTCTTCCTTTCCCATCTTCAGCAACCAGAACCTTAAGAGTTAAGAATGCTTGACAACTCAGAAACTTGGCAAATTGTATCACATAATATATGGTTGTACCATACTTCTTAATTGCTATTACATGAAACGCAAACCCACTAATGGCTTTAGTAAGAAATGTACTGATTAATGATACAACTATCAAGCATTCTTACAGAACCTCTAGCAAATCTCACAAGTAAGCATGAACATAGAAAGAGACCAGCATTTGTAGTCAAGTCAATACAATTATATTCCAATCAATGTTATGATAAAGTACATAGAAATAGAAGGCGTAGGAGCCAGCCAAGTTCAAACACAGAATCCCCAGAATACATCATAACGAAGTTGGAGATTTAGTAATAATCAAAGAAAGGCAACTATGATAAATTGCCATCTGCCCAAGCAATTGCTGAAGTTATCATTACTACTTTTATAAGAACTAAACGAAAAGGAGAAAACTTTGAGAAACAACTTTAATTCAAGTCTATTGCTAGCCTACATAAGGAAGGTCATAAACCGCAGCATGAGCAAGAGAAAAATAAAGGAGAAAAACCTTTTCTGGGCTTCCAAACAGAGCAAGAGGACATACCTGCAGGCCATGCTTGTCAAGCTTTTTAATAGCAACCACCACAGGTTCACCCTTCCCATCAAAAGGCTTGATTGAACCTTTATAGACACTCCCAAAGCCACCTTCGCCAATCTTAAGTAACAAATTGAAATCATGAGTTGCTTGTCTAAGCTCTGAGAAAGAGAAGACCCGCAAATTGTGAGCTTTTTCTTCGTATAACTCCGGTATGCTACGCGGAGAAGCTGCTGAGCATGATGACTTTGTAATCCGATCAGGCCCTGAATATTCCTCTGATTTCCTTTCTTCTTTCAACTCTGGGGCTGATCTTTGTCCCTTGCTTCTAGACTTGTCCTTGAAATAGTGAAAACACTTCATTGCATGAAATTTAAAAAGCTTAAAGCAAATTTCTTTTGGAATGTGATTCTTGGGCATTGGCTGGCTCCCACTACAAAAATCTACAAGAGAACGGTAAGTGAATCAATAAACTTAAATGAGAAAAAGAGAGAGAGAAAGAAGTTGACGGGCTGGAGAAGGGTGACTAAAAATAGGAATTCGATTAAGAGATTCAAAAATGGCAGCAATGAAAAGACCGTCAACCATATAGAGAAAGGAAAGATACAAAGCAAGAGGCCAAGAAAGTTAAAGATGAGTAAATTTAAGCAAAACCCAATTGAGGAAACAAGTCGTCAACGGTGAAAAACCAAATGAAAAATAACTGTGTATAGAATACAGCAGAAGTAAATGTAGAAATGGAAGTTCGAAAACCCAATTTTGAAGGTGGTAGAGACTAGAGAGATATAATAAGAGACGAAAATTAAGCAAAGCTAATGGCTTACCTCATCCTTCACCTGATTATTCTTTTAAGTAATACTCAAGCAAACTGCTTTCGTTTCTCTACAAGGGTTTGATTTGGGAGAGTTCCATGGAAATTTTCATTTTGTTTCTTGCAAAGCTTCGCTTTATGTTTGTCCTCCGAAAATCTGATAGTTTTGATACTGGATGGGCGTGGACTGCTTTTTTGACAACTCCATTTTGATTGAAGAATTCAACGAGTTGAAATTCAGATCTGTCAGCTTTCCAAGCTGACAGGCAAATTAAATACTTTATAAAACAAAGCTTTCTGAAAACAAAGCTTTCTACTTCCCAACCGTATCTAGGGACTCTGTTTGACTTTTTCTACAGTCCTGTGTTGATTGGACAGCCTCTCTGTCACACGGATTTTATAACCACAAAACCAAAAGAAAGGGTCCCTCACTTAAAATGACAAAGTGTCAACCCTTCTTTTCCATCTACTTCATGAAACATTTTTCAGTTCTGTTCTTTCATTAATGGCAATTGCTTGCCAAGTAGGAAACTTCATCTCTCAATTTAATTATACCAGCAGTTGGTCCCTGCCTGCCCTTTAAAATTCTCATCTTTCTTTGATGTTAACTTTCTTTTTTGCATCCCCATGTGATTTTACAAATGAAGAGATAAACCTTGAAAGGAACAAAGTTTGAAAAATTAAAAAGATCATATCTACCAAATCTCCATTGATGGATGGCAGTGAGCACATACAGCATTTAAGTTCATAATCCCTAAACTTCCCTTTGGAGGATCCGAGAAGTTAACGTTACTTTGTAAACTTGAAGGATTTATTGAAGTAATACAAAAGTGTTGGATTATGGTTTCCACGTTCCATAGTTTAAAAAGTGAAAAGTGACACGTTTAAAATTCAACTCTGAAGTCTGAATTTATGCCCCCTTTAGAGTCTGAAGGGTTGATTTTGATATCTCACAATTCTCAGTTTGGGTATTCCCAAAATTTGAACTTCCCTGTACTGGCTATAATTAAAACGCGTTGAAGGAGAGAGAGAGAAAAAAAAAAAAAAAAACGATTTCAATCTGTTTTTTGCAACAACACCAAAATGGCTAGAAAAACAGAGGAGACTCCAAATTTGACCGTTCTTTCCTCCTCTTTTGCGTTTTTTGTTTGTTTCTTGACAGAAAAAGAGTGTTCCGTTTTGAGACATAAATCCCTTCACCATTTAAAATAATAAAGCAAAACCTGGTGCACGGATCGACATGGATGGAAGCGACGTGACATGTCTTAACAAGACACACGAGCGGTTGACACGAGGGAATGAGTAGGGCCCACTTGAGATTTTGGCATTACCGTATTTTGTTGAGCTTGCAAAATCTGACTTGAGATTTTGCGACTTCACCTGCACTGATTGCAATGTTAAACATGTTCCAATTAATTGACTCAAAATATAAAAAAGCACTATCACGTACTAATAATCAACAACTTTAGTTATGCATCTAAAAAATAAAAGCGAATTGGCTGTTGAATCATGCATTTAATTGGATCATGTAAGCATATAGAAAAAGTCCTTGTTGAAGTAAGTTATTAATAAGAATCTAAGTTCAGCAAACCAAGTTTTATACTAATTCCCACTCCATTTTCAATGCTCTAGTTCGTTGAACCACACACCGCCAAGAATCTCCCCCCTTTTTTTTTCCTGCTATTTCGGAATCCCAAACCTCTAAAATCATATGTTGTTGTTGTTGTTGTTGTCTCGTTTGTCCAGGTCAGAGGATATGCAGTAACTTAACTTGTGGAGCAAAGTTGGAAGAAGAAGCCCAGCCTGGGAAAGTCCCTCTTAAATGGGTGGAGAATAATCGGGGCCTTGCCCCTCAGGCCCTAGGTTTATTGTGCTTTCCTTCAATGTCTAGGCATTCGGATAGTGGGTTAACTGAGCCATGTGGTCTAATATGCTTATTCTGGCCCAGCTCTTTGGACCCACTTTTTACTTTAACATCAAAAACCCCAAATCTAGCCCATTTTTACTTAACAGATACGGGCCTTCTCCCCTCTGAAATTGTCTTTTGATGCATTGGTGCTCGAGTCATTGTCTCTGGTGTCTGGTACTATTTTATTTGCGAGCTGTGGCAGGAGTTTAAGAAACTGACACTTGACCTTCCTATCTTATTCAATTGAATTCATCAAGGCTCTTCCTTGTTGTTGTTTTGTTTGTCACATAATCACTCTTGCAGTTTCTGAAGATAAAATCTTGGACGAAATGGTGCGCAATGACAAGCTCAAAGACATGTTTGAGATTTGAGAAGATCATCAACCAGCCAATTCCAAGAGAGTCAACGCTTATTGGAAAGCTTCTATTGTTTGTCACCATATGATGAAAAGGATTTGATTTCCATTTACTCCATATGGATCAATTGAAACATGGATAAGTGCCATAGACAGTTCAGTATGGATAAAAGCAAGAAGAGGGACACTGACAAGAATCAATATGCTGAATGTTTTGACATCCAAGACAACCCTGCAAATCCTGCATGATACTCAATTTCAACCAGCCGGGCCTATAAATCTAACTAAAAAGGCTATTGAACTTGCTAAGTTTGCCATTTGCCCATGTCATAGATTTCCCCCCCCCCCCCACAAAGGTGCACGGAGACGCAGCTTCTGTGACGGGTGGACACTGGAATGGCTAATACAAGAAACTGCCCATATTTGTGGCATTTAATGCGCCTGGCAAGTAAGAGTTTCAACAGCTTTAAGGTCCTTTTTTCCGCATGAACGTCTTACATTTCAAGGGTCAGCTATTATTTGATTAAAGAAATACTTAGTATTAAGGTTCATGTATGCATAAAGAAAAATTCATTTCTTCACATAAATTAAAGGGTTAATTTGTTTATCTTTCCTTCTTCTTAGCAAAAAAAAAAAAAAAAAAAAAGAGAAATATACGATCAACTTCTTCGTATTGTGAAACTTTTAGTTGTATTAAATTAGAGAATGGTGTCTTATTAACAGTTATGGTTAAAAGGAAAATCTACAGTTTGAATCTGGCTTCTGCTACTGAAAAGGACTTTTTTATTATTTATTTATTTTTGGTTGAAATGATGAGATTGTGGGAAGTAAATGACTTGGAGAGATTGCTGGTGGACCGATGTATTTGAACTTACCAAAAAAAGTTAAATACGAAGAAATTCTAACTCTGCTGAGTACTGAGAGAAAGAGAGGAATTGTTAAAGTTGGGTAAAGTTATCTGCATCAATTTAGTCAGCTTTTCCTATTAAAAGTCAAATAACAAGAGATTTATGTGAATATTTTATATGGAATTTCAATCTTAGAATAATGAGGTGCAATTTCTTTTAATCAATTTGAATTACTACTCAAAACAGATTGTCAGCTCTTTTTTTTTTGTAAATAAAATAAATACTAAATGGTACAAAGTAATGAAAATAAATATATTTTACATCCAATTTTTATTTTTTGGCTTAGAAAAATTGGCATACAGCTATTAATTCATAACATAAAATAATTTCTATTTAGATTTATCATGCATTATCTTGTCATATGAAAATCTTAGAAGTGAAAAAAAAAAAAAAAAGGAAAAGGAAAGTACCATTTTATAATTTTTGTTGTGTCCTTTGACTTTGATGATATGATAATCTATATCTATATTTATCTCTATTCTATAATATATATGAAAATTTCATTTACAACATTCATGGTTAAATTTTGTTCTTAACATTTATTTATAAATTGATTTTAGATTTTGAGCTTGTTTCAATAATTATTATTTTCACATTTTTTTATGAAATAATTTTTTTATCAATAAGTTTAAGAAAAACAAAACAAATAAATGTAAAACATTCATACTTTTATTTATTTTTCATTAAAATACTAAAAAGTCTTTAAATTATTTTATTTTTTAAAATAAATTTTTATATTTTTATTATAGATAAATAAATTATTATCTTTTGATTTGTATCATAGTAAATTTTTATTTTAAATAACATATTTATTTATATTAATGATTTATTTAAATACAAATTAAAAATTTATTTAGATATGAATTAAAAGTTAAAAATTTATTTGCATGTAAATTAAAATTTAAAAATTTATTTAAATACAAATTAAAAGTTAAAAATTTATTTACATGTAAATTAAAATTTAAAAGTTTATTCATAATATTATTAATTAATTTTTGAAATAAAATTATAATCATATTAGATTTTTACTATTTTTAAACAAAGCATTGATGATTGAACATCGCCTAATCTATCTAAAATCCGTCTTTATAACCAAAACCACTAATTACTAATTACTTTCCAAAGCTCTCCTTTTCAAAAGCAACTTTTCCGACTTCCAACCCACCATTTTCCACAACCATCCCGGCGGCGCGTGAAAAAGGATTAATATAAGAGAAAAGAAAGGTAAAAATAAAAGAAACAAAGTCGGTGGAAAAAAAAAAAAAAAGAGGAAAAGTGGGGCGCTAAAAAAACAAAGATCGGAGATTTCTCTCACTTGACTCAAATGAGCCACGACTCGAGCGATGTTTCGATCTCCTAAAAAACCTACCTTTTGACCAACTTGCTCGACAGTTTGTTACCAAATTTACTATGTCTTTCTCTTACCATTAACTCTCTCCCGTTTTCTTATTATTATTATTTTTTTATTTCTGGTTTTTTACTTTTTTTTTTTTTTGGCTTTTCTTTCACTCTTTCCTCTTTCTATATTTCTTTCAAAACAAAGTTTTAATTTTAATTTTTCTGCTTTTGCTTCTGCTTCTGCTGCTCCGATATTCGACATGACTACGCAATAAAAAACCTAATTTTCTCTCTCTTTCTCTTTCTCTCTGTACACTCTTTTGAGTTCACAGGTACACACTTCGGCTGATCGCACCCTACGTCTTCATTCCTCATTGCGGTCTTGGTAGAATGTTACGATTTTTCTTTAAATTTCTTTTGGATTTTTTTGGATCTGTGCAGAGATAAAAAGTAGAAAAAAAGAGGGAAACAAGAGGAGGAATCAAGGGTGGGATATATGTCCTTCAATCAATCAAGGTCCGATAAAAGCGAGCAACAATACCGAAAATACGGGCGATCTGCCAGCTCTAATCAGCAGCGGACCTCCTCAGGCGCTTACGGTAAGGGTGCTGGCGGCGGGCCCGCCCCTTCACCGTCTTTTTCTTCCTCTTCTTCTTTATCGTCGAATCGAAGGTGAGACAACTACTCATCATGCATTAGACGTTAGGGTTTTCTTTGTTGTTATTCTGTTCGTTTGATTGCTAGTTTGTTTAGGGTTTTTATAGGATTAGGGTTTTCTATGCAATTTCATGAATTGATTATTTTTTTTGGTTGGTTGGTTCTCACATGATAGTTTAAAGAAGTCTAACAATGCACAAGGAGGGCAATCTCGGGTAAGTTCACCAGCTGTGAATTCTTCGGAGTCTAGTAATGCTTCTGCTGCACGAAACATAGAAAATGGTGCACATGTACAGCCCCAGTTACAGGGTATGATTTAAAAGTCTTAAGCTTTTTTTTTTCTTTTTAAATTTATAATTGAAGAAAATACGATTATCTTGATTTTATTTGCATTCGTGTTTATTTTTTTCTGGTAGGAGCATCTGATGCGCCAGTTGGAAGCGGTGCTGCCAAGCCGGTTGAATCACCTGCCACTCAGAGAAGTGCTCGAGCTGTTCCGAAGGCTCCAACTTCTCAACCTGCCACCATGAGTTCTGACAGTAGTTTCCCTACAACCCCTGCAAAGGGTATGTTTCTGTTGTGTTTGGTGTTCTAAGCTTATAGGATCAAAGTTACTTCAATTATGGGAAGCACGCGGTTCTTCATTTTATTAGTAGTTATAATGATGGGAAGCTGATGCAACTACTTTTGTGCTTTTTATTGTTTCTGATGGATTAACAACAGGAGATGCATCCAAAGCATTCTCTTTACAATTTGGGTCCATAAGTCCCGGTTTCATGAACGGAATGCAGGTATCTTACTATTCTCATGTAGATGTTCCATCATTCTCCCACTGAAAACATTGTTTCTAACAGCAGATGTTATGTCCTCATTTGTATCAGATTCCAGCTCGAACTAGCTCAGCACCTCCAAATTTGGATGAGCAGAAACGTGATCAGGTTTGTCTCTTATCATAAACCACAATTTGTGTGATATATGTTTCTGCACCTCATCCTTTTTTTTTTCTTTTAATATAAAGATAAAGAGAGTAGTGGATCTCTAAATCTATTGGTTGTCCTTCATGTAGTTTAATTTTCAAGAACCATGAATTTTAGACCACACAAAACTAAAAGATTGCTTCCTTCTGCTCACCATGGTAACATTTTCAAATATTAAGAACAGAACACCTTGTAGAACCTAAGTAAAATATGAATATGACATGTTTGGGCCTATCTTAATCACCGGTCTCTTATGTTCATGAACTTTATTCTTTTAACTGATATAGTTTTGGAGTTTTAGGAATTCACTTATATTTATATGACATTTTACCCTGCAGGCATGGCATGATTCTTCTTTTAAACCTGTGCCGAATGTGCCCACCCCCATTCCTAAACAGAAGCTACCAAGAAAGGATTCAGTTGCAACTGACCAACCTAATTCTGGGGAGGCTCATCCGGTGACCAAGGTCAAAAAAGATGCACAAGCCTCTGTGGCACCCCCTTTGAACCAGACACAGAAGCCATCTCTTCTTAATATGCCCATGACTTCTATGCAGATGCCGTTTCATCACCAGCCCCAGGTTTCCATGCAATTTGGGGGGCCTAATCCACAGATTCAGTCTCAGAGTGTTACTGCTACTTCAATTCAAATGCCAATGCGTATGCCATTAGCCATGGGAAATGCACCTCAGGTGCAGCAGCAAGTCTTTGTTCCAGGTCTTCAGGCTCATCCATTGCCACCTCAAGGAATTATGCATCAGGGTCAGGGCATGAGTTTCACGCCACCCATAGGTGGTCAGCTTGCACCGCCATTGGGTAACCTGGGAATTGGCATTGCCCCTCAGTATTCTCAACAGCAGGGAGGGAAGTTTGGTGTTCCTCGTAAAACCACTCCAGTCAAGATTACTCACCCTGACACTCATGAAGAATTAAGGCTTGATAAACGAACAGATACATGTTCTGATGGTGGGTCATCAGGTCCAAGGTCTCATCCCAATGTGCCTTCTCAATCCCAGCCAATTCCACCATTTGCTCCTTCTCATTCAATCAACTATTTTTCCAATTCTTATAATACCAATTCCATGTTTTATCCACCACCAAGGTCTCTGCCATTGGCTAGTAGCCAGATAGCTCCCAATGTCCAAGGGCCGAGATTTAACTATCCTGTTAGCCAGGGTCATCAAAACATTTCTTTCATGAATTCATCGGCAGCTCATGGTTCACTGCCAGTTAATAAATCCATAAATTTTGCACACCCTTCAGAATCACCTAATGTGGAACCTGTACGTGATGCACACAATGTTACATCATCAGCTCCCTCAGGTTCAACACAGGTGACAGTTAAGTCAGCTACTGTTTCTGTTGGAGGAAAGGTAGCAGATTCCTCCTTTTCAAATAGCTTTCCTGCTGTTGAAAAGGTTGGGTCATTAAAACTTTCAATGCCAGCTAGCGAGGTTAGCTCATCTCAGGCTCAACGGGATTTGGATACTTATAAGGAGAACTCTGTGCAGCTTCCAAAACCTGGAAGTGAATCTTTAACATCCAAGTTGTTACCAGCTGCAGCTAAACATTCTGGTGGAGTTCCTGCAACTAACTTGGATGAGAGCCTGCCATCTAATTCTGTATCTTCTGCTCCAGCTGCTACATCTGAGGAGTCTATGCCTGTTGTTTCCAGTAATGAAGGCAGAAGGAGGGAGAGTGTGAGTAGGTCAAACTCTATAAAAGATTGTCAGAAGAAACCTGGCAAGAAAGCACATATTCAGCCACCAATTCAGGTATTTTCCTTTTTTTTTTTTTTTTGCACTTGTTATGTTTCTTTTGCATGTATTTATCCAGTCTTTCACTCATTGGTGGACAGTCTACGTCAACATCCAACTTGGCTTCCCACGCTGCAGAGCATGCTATTTCCTCAGACAGTGCAGTTTCTGATAGTCTAGAGGCTAAAACAGCTCTAACATCATCAGCAGCTGCTGATGTTTTGTCACAATCTACTAGGGAATTACCAACAATTATTGATGTTTCACCTTCTTCCTTAGAACTAAAGTCAGAGAGCAAGAGAGAAGGCTTAACCTTTGTTTCATCTGAAGTTTCTGTTACTGATGGTAATGTTGACAGCTTTGACATGGTTCGGCATGCTAAGATGGTTGGTTCTTCCAAGCTGGATGAGCAACCAAAACCTGAAATTAGTGGAATCAAGGATGAAGAGGAAAAAAAATTACCTGAAGAGCAAGACAATGCTAGTTCTGAGATTTCTCTTCAACCGATTCCCCTGAAATCTATGGAGCTTAAATCTGGTAAGGAATCTGTTTTGAAGGCTGCAGCTACCTGCAACGATGTTCCAACCTCAGGAACTGCAGAGAGGGTGCTCGATGAAGATGTGGGGGGTAGCATAGAAAATGAGAGAGTCACTGATAGTAGGGATGTCTCTACCTCTAGAATTGCTAACTCTACAGATATTGAAGGTTCTCACATTGGTATGACCTTTGGTTCGGATGCTTCTAGTGCCACTGATAGCAATGAGATCACTGTTACTAAAACTGGTGCATCAGACCAGCCGTCTGCTCTCGTCACAAGTCCAAATCTCTCAGAATCAACTTCAAAATACGAAGGGGAAGGTGTTCTGTTACCTAGTCCCAAGGACAAACCTGTGCCAGAACTCAGTAGGACAAAGAGTACTATAGCTAGAGGGAAGAAAAAAAGAAAAGAAATTCTTCAGAAAGCTGATGCTGCTGGGACAACATCTGATCTCTATATGGCATATAAAGGTCCTGAGGAAAAGAAAGAGACTGTCATACCTTCGGCAAGTGCAGAAAGCAATTCCATTGGTGCAAATTTGAAGCAGGCATCTCATGAGGCCCTTCAGGTGGATGCTGTGGAAAGTGAGAAAATTGCACAAAATAAAGCTGAACTGGTTGATTGGGAAGATGCAGCTGACATCTCTACACCGAAATTAGAAACTTCAGATTATGGCGAAAAGACTCATGGAGGGTTAGTAAATCATGAGAACGATGGAGGTGGGAATATAGCAAAGAAGTATTCCAGAGATTTCCTCCTTAAGTTTGCAGAACAGTGCACTGATCTTCCAGAGGGATTTGCTTCCGATATTGCAGAGGCCTTAATGGCTGCCAACGTCAATGTGTCTCACTTTGTTGATCGTGATTCATACCTTAGTCCTGGAAGAATAATAGATAGGCAATCTAGTGGATCGCGATTAGATCGCCGTGCTGGTGGAATGGTTGATGATGACAGATGGATTAGACCACCTGCTTCTTTTGGCTCTGGAAGGGATTTGCGTCTTGATCTTGGTTATGGTGCTGCTGCAGGTTTTCGGCCTGGCCAAGGAGGTAACTTTGGTGTTCTAAGGCACCCACGTTCACAAACACCTCTGCCATATGTTGGAGGGATCCTTGCTGGACCAATGCAACCTATGGGTCCACAAGGAGGGATGCCACGCAGTAGTCCTGATGCTGAAAGGTGGCAGCGTGCTGCTAACTATCAGCAAAAGGGGTTGATTCCTTCTCCACAAACTCCATTACAGATGATGCACAAAGCTGAAAGGAAGTATGAAGTGGGTAAAGTGGCTGATGAGGAAGAAGCCAAGCAAAGGCAACTGAAAGCCATTTTGAACAAGCTAACTCCCCAAAATTTTGAGAAACTCTTTGAGCAAGTAAAAGCAGTAAACATTGACAATGCAGGTACACTCACTGGTGTCATCTCACAGATCTTTGACAAAGCTTTGATGGAGCCTACTTTTTGTGAAATGTATGCAAACTTCTGTTATCATCTAGCAGGAGAGTTGCCTGATTTTAGTGAAGACAATAAAAAGATAACTTTCAAAAGATTGCTGCTTGACAAGTGCCAGGAGGAATTTGAGAGAGGGGAGAGGGAGCAAGAAGAAGCAAATAAAGTTGAGGAAGAGGGTGAGGCTAAGCAGTCTGAGGAGGAAAGAGAGGGGAAGAGAATCAAGGCACGGAGACAAATGTTAGGTAACATTAGACTTATTGGGGAGTTGTACAAGAAGAAAATGTTAACTGAGAGAATAATGCATGAATGCATCAAGAAATTACTCGGTGACTATGAGAATCCTGATGAGGAAGATGTTGAGGCTTTGTGCAAATTAATGAGTACGATTGGAGAGATGATTGACCATCCAAAAACAAAGTTTTATATGGATGCTTATTTTGATAGGATGGCAAAGTTGTCGAACAATATGAAACTATCTTCTAGGGTCAGGTTCATGTTGAAGGATGCTATTGATCTGAGAAAGAATAATTGGCAGCAGAGGAGGAAAGTTGAAGGGCCTAAAAAGATTGAGGAAGTGCACAGAGATGCTGCTCAAGAGCGACAAGCACAAGCCAGTAGGCTTGCTCGTGGTCCTGGCATCAATTCTGCTTCAAGAAGGACACCCATGGATTTTAGTCCACGAGGGTCTATGTTATCTTCCCCAGGTGCTCAGATGGGTAGTTTTCGGGGGCTCCCCGCCCAACTCCGTGGTTTTGGGGCTCAGGATGTTCGCATGGATGACAGACAGTCCTTTGAGGCTAGGACTTTGTCAGTTCCCTTGCCTCAAAGACCAATTGGTGATGATTCTATTACTTTGGGCCCCCAGGGTGGTCTTGCTAGAGGAATGTCTTTTAGAGGACCACCTTTAATGGCCGGTGCTCCCTTAGCTGATATTTCTCCGACTTCAGGAGATTCAAGAAGAATGGCTGCTGGTTCAAATGGTTTTAGTTCTCTATCAGAGCGAACTACTTATGGTTCTAGAGATGATCTCATGCCAAGATATGTGACAGATAGACTTGCAGCATCTGCTGCTGCTTATGACCAGTTGAGTTCCCAGGAACGTGGCATGAATTTTGGTAATAGGGACTTGAGGACCCCAGATCGTAGTTTTGATAGGCCTCTTGCAGTTTCACCACCTGCACGTGGTCAATCATCAGGTTTCACTCAAAATATTCCTCCAGAAAAGGGCTGGCCTGTGGAGCGCCTGCGTGATATGTCTATGGCGGCAATTAAAGAATTTTACAGGTATCCTGTTGGCTCAAGTGTGGTTTTGGAGTCCCTTATTCTAACCTTGTCTCCCATAACATATATGTATGTACATGCTCATTCACGTATACCTTGCATAAGGACTTTGCATAAGGACGAATATGTGCACTCTACTTTTACTCATCAGCAGATAATTGAAATGTAGAAGTGCTCCGGAAAAGGGTTGTTGACTGATGGTTGGCTTCAGGGTCTCAAATATCAAATTTACCAGGGTTGGTAGTTTAGTATTCCGATGACAATGAACATGCCCAAATTCTGTCTTGTAATTTAATCAGATTTGGAAGCAAAAATTCTTTAGAGTTTTAGTCCTATAACTTAGAGGACAATGAGATTAGAAGGTTGTTTTACTCGAAAGTATGGTTAAAATATATCCTACCTGATTTTGATATTGACACTGATGGCTTGATTTAAGGTTAAGTAGTGACTGTTGATGGGAAATTTAAGAGTTATAGTGCATATCTATACTGCTGTCCTTATTATATTTACAGCTCTTGATGTTTTTACCTGATTAGTTTTATCAAGTGCTTAGCATTTTTATCTTTTAATTCTTACAGTGCTAGAGATGACAAAGAGGTTGCTTTGTGCATCAAAGAGTTGAATTCTACAAGCTTCCATCCCACAATGATTGCGCTTTGGGTGACAGACTGTTTTGAGAGAAAAGACGTGGAACGGGATCTTTTGGCCAAGCTACTTGTCAGTCTGACAAGGTCGCATGATGGTGTGTTGAGCCAAGTTCATCTTGTTAAAGGGTATGAGAATCATTTAATAACAATATCTACCGATTGATTATAACTTTTGAAGTCATTATATTTATATGTTTTTGTTTTATGGTTCAGGTTTGAATCTGTTCTCAGTACATTGGAGGATGCTGTGAATGACGCTCCAAAGGCTGCAGAATTTCTTGGTCGTATTTTTGCCAAGGTCATTATAGAAAATGTGATCCCCCTGAGGGAAATTGGGCGTTTACTATATGATGGTGGAGAGGAGCCAGGGCGTCTTCGAGAAAGTGGACTCGCAGGTGATGTTCTTGGAAGCACCTTGGGGATGATTAAAACAGAGAAAGGAGAAAGTGTCCTAAATGAAATTCGAGCAAGCTCAAATTTGCGGTTGGAGGACTTCGGCCTCCAGATCCTAACAGATCAAGGATGTTAGAAAATTTTATTTAGAGGATAGTGATGATGCTCATATTTTGTTAGGAAGAAAATCATGTCTAGTGCTCGAGTCTTAGGGTACTTTTATCAATTCCCAAAATTAATTTTCCCTTACATATATGGGTTTCTTATTTGGCCATGTTTTTAATATTTTTTGTCACAGCAATTATGAAAGATCAAATTGAGCTGCATCCATGCAAAGTAATTTCTCTGCAGCAACTTGGGCTTTGCCTCTTCTCTTGTTGTGGAGATTCCCATAATTTTTAACTTACGAAAATTTCCTGTCGCGTATGCATCTAAACAATTACATTTGTTATTTTACCTAAACTTTCCGTAATGATGAGACCTTTTGCCAAATATCCCTCAACCACGAGAAGGAAAAAAAATTATTTTGCCTGATAATCCAATTACTTGTGGGAAGTGAGGGTCTGTTGATCTTTATTACTTCACCCTCAATTGTAAAAACCGTATTTATAGATTCATTTTTCATTCGGTTAAGGGGTTGTTTATATTCACCTCGAAATGAAGATTATCCAACGAAGGCATTAACTTTAAAATATTGTTCTACGAACAAAAACAAAGGGTTATTACTTAGAATTTATGTTAAATTGTACACTTCACCCTAACATTGAGCCCTCAAGGCCTCTGAGCATCCTTCGTGCAAAAGCCTCACGAGGCTTCCCAGTTTGAGACAAAAATTGAGCATGACTTCACCAGTTTGTTTTAAGCAATCTCTGATTCACTCTTTAATTGGAATTTCCAATATTGAGACAAAATAACAAAATTTCACAAATAAAGAAACATGTATCAATGTTAACGATAAAAGCTGCTTGTGACATGCAAGGAACCGAGGAAATTCTTGTTCAGCCAATATATTTATTATTTTGGAACAAAAATGAAATCCATCCCCTAATTTAGAAATATATATATATATATATATATATATATATATATAAAACAATCTACAACCAGCATACATAAAAAATAAAAATAAAAAAAGATCAAAGTGAGAAAGGTTTTGTATACACGTCAAATGGCTCGCAGGCTGTCAGTTGGGGCTCCTGTGAACCAATAAAAACAAAAATAAAAAAGTCAGAAACTCCTCAAACGAAAAATCTTAAAATTTTTTATAAATTAGAGGACTTGATGTTGGTAGCTTCTCCTTATTTATCCCAGTCCAGGTTCTAAAACTAACAACAAAATAAGTCTTTTCTCACAATTTCAAATTCCAGATTCTAATATGAAATTATCTTGCAAGACTTGAAATTATAAACTGTACAAAGGCTATCTGATTACATTTTGGGTTATTTTGACAACAAAGATTTTAGCAAAGTTTGCTGCAATCTCAAATGTTACTCAAATCATTGGCAAAATATGTTGCTTCCACATGCATCTGCACAATAATTTTTATGCATACACAAACCCTTCTAAACATGCACACTTTGTCCGTGTATGGTATGTTTTGAGACGCTGGACCACATGCCTAACACCAAGTAATCAAAGCTAGGACTGCCCTTGTATATGATCAATCAAAAGCACTTTTTTTTTTTTTGAGGAAGAGAAATTAAATTTATAAGTAGAAGAAACTGAAAGATATCAATTAATTAATCACCGAAATCACCTGTCTTAGCCCGCTGCCAAGTCCAACACTACCTCCTGTCAAAAGCATGGTGATGAGGGATGTAACAGCACCACCAACAAGGTCACCGCCACCACCCCCCACACTTCGAATTGCATTGCGCATTGCAGTGAGAATGTTCCCATATGTCGTCCCATGCCCACGCTCAATGGCTTGGATGAAGCAGAATGTCATGGCACCAGTAGATGTAATCCTTGATAGGGCCTGCTCCCCAAAGCATTAAAACACTTTTCAGTCTTTGAGATCTAAAATGCCCTCAGGACTAAAATTTCAAGACATCTAATCGGTTTTCCTGAAACTTACAGAAGTATCAGCAGAGGTTTGATCATCATCACAACCACTAAAGGAGATTACTTCTCCACCACTTGTTCCCTTCCATAAACCTGATGCAGGACGATGGTCCTCCCATACATACTGTCCAGCCCTGTGTCCAAGATAAGGCATCAACTTCCAGAGCATACAAAACAGCATAGTTAACCAATAAAATAAAAGGCAAAAGGGTAAGAAAAATTTATAGATCAACCCTCCCAAGTCTCACATCAGATGGACCATATATAGGTCCTTTCCAGTTCTTTGTTCTCTCTTCATCTAACATATAAATTTAGAATTAAATACTCTCTTCTCAACATGCAAAATAAATTTCTTAAGTATAGAGATTCCTCATCTAACAAAATTAGTGGGGAACCTCAATTATGAATAAATTGTACATAAGCATGTTCAATAGCAACTAACCTGTTCATTCTACAAAGGAATGGTAAATCCAATACGGTTCCACTATGGCAAGCATCAACTATGGCATGAAGCTTAACCCCACGAGGTAGAGGTCTAACAATAGTTGCATTGATCTCATCATCAACAATCATCCCCTGGGTTTCGAAATCCAAAGGACAAAGAGTCTCATCATACCCATCAACTTCATCACCATTGTAATTCCGTTGCCGCGAACCATGACCAGAATAGTGAAACAACAGAGAATCACCAGGTTGACAACCTTGTACTAGCCAATATAATGCCATTCTCATATTTTGCTTCGTTGGAAGTCTGTGCGGATCAGTTTCCTCCTCTGCATTTAAAAACAAAAACTTAACACCCCTAATCAACACTTAATCCCCATTCACATAAAAAATCGAGCAAAGTTGATTAAACACCTTAACATAAACGCATTAGACGGCGATGTAAGATTCTCTAAGGTAGCTATCACCATTATAGTGAATTTGATTGGTCAAAATTCTATCTTTATAGAAATCATTGTCGAATCAAATCAATCTCAATAGAAAGGAATCAATTCAAAGAAAAGATACGAAGTTGAATAGAAAAAGATTACCAGTAAGCATGAGAATGGAATCTTCAGGAAACTTAAACTTGTTGATTAAAAGGTAACGCATGCACTTGGCGTCATTGATGCAACCTTTGAGCTCGTGCCTCGAGTATCTATACGATATCCCACAAATCACCGCCCTTTTCCGTCCGTATGCGTGGGGAGGGGCTCCAGGAGGCGCGTGGTTATAGGGGGACGGAGAAGAAGGTGGGGGAGGAGCGTGGGTGGAAGGAGCCGGCGGTTGAGATGAGGGAGGTACGGATCGAGGGTCGGCGATGTTGGTAACGGCTTGACAGATGGCGCAACGGATAGATCGGGCACCGGGTGGAAGCTGTAAAGGGGTCCGGCAGTTGGAACAGTTTACCAGCATTGGCGGAGGGTAATTGTAGTACATGCCTGGCCCTGGCGGATACATGGTTGAAACTCTCAAACGTTAAATTCTATGAAATATTTACTACTTTTTATAGTATTCGATTTGGGGAAAGCGAAAGGAGAAAGAGGAATCAAACACAACGAAGCAGAACAAAAAGAAAAAAAACAGAGGGGCTGGAATTTTGCTTTGGGTTTGCGTTGATTGGTTAGATGATGGCGTCAGAAATTATCAAAGCCCGTGTTTTTTTTATTAAAAAATAAATTAAAATCGCGTTTTCCTTGACACCTTGTGGCTTTCATTATTTTGTTTCTTTTGAGGCAGCTTCCAATATGCAACAGCATTTTGTGATAATGTTTTCGTATAATTTTAAAACATAATTACTTTTTTTGTAATTTTATTGGATAAAAACTTAAAAAGAAAGAAAAAAAAAAAGAAAATTTCATTTTATTATATCCATGGATTTCGGCTGGATCATGTCTTCGGTCCAGGTTGGTTCAAAACCCTCAATGGGCCGCTTACCGATGAAGTTGGGAGTTGGGTCGGGTTTTAGGGCAAATAATTTTGAGCTCTCTATTTAATTGGCCACGCAGCCGAACGAGTGTGATTTTCTAGGGTTTTTGCTCCGTTCTTCTCTAGCATCTCCAAAGCCTTAAAAAATGGTACGCTCTTTTTCCCCGAATTTTGTTCCCTTCTCCTTTTAAATCTACCACAAAGTTCGGATTTTTAACGTCAATTAATTACTATTAATTATGTTTAGATCTTATTTTTCACTATTGATGTTGCCATAGTCATCTTAAATGTTCTGGAATAAGGATTGAAACATGTAAAAGAACTTTAGCTTTTTTTATTTCCTGGAAATTACATTAGCTGATATTATTATTTGTTTTGTTTTGATCAAAGTTAGTTTTTCTTTTCTTTCATATGTTAAAGTTGGTAGCTGATGTTAGCTCTGCACATCTTTAATTTTATACAGACAAAGAGAACCAAGAAGGCTGGTATTGTTGGGAAGTATGGTGCGTGCTCTGTTTAGATTTTATGAACTTTGGTCGTTTTCAATTTGGCACGTTTCATGAGAAATGAACCATAATGTGAACTTTTATGTTGTATCATTGAAGTGCAACCAGGTTTCTAGAATGAGGGATCTTATATTGTTAATAGCAGTTGAATATCTTGTTTGATTTCCGAATATTACGTGCATGATGCATGCAGTTTGTTGTTGTATGAGCGGCCTTTGGTGTGGCTCAACACTGGATTTTTAGATGTTGTGCGACTTTAGGCCCCGCAGCCTGCCTGATTCTTTTATGTACTTTGGAATGTTTGCGCCTGTGTATAACAGCTGGTAAATTTCAGGTACCCGATATGGTGCTAGTCTGCGTAAGCAGATTAAAAAGATGGAGGTTAGTCAGCACAGCAAGTACTTCTGCGAATTCTGTGGCAAGGTAGTTTTCCTACTTGCTTGAGAGTTGAGAGATGATTTGATTTGTTTGATAGTTGCATGATTAATCTTTAACATATTACTGGCAATTGCAGTATGCAGTGAAGAGGAAAGCTGTGGGAATTTGGGGATGCAAAGACTGTGGCAAGGTGAAAGCTGGAGGTGCTTACACTTTGAAGTAAGATTCTGTTAACCATCGCTTGTAATTTTATGTGCTTGTCGTGGTATTGCTCTTTCTAATTACTTCCTTTTTTTGTCTGTGGCAGCACTGCAAGTGCTGTGACTGTCAGGAGCACCATTCGAAGGCTGAGGGAGCAGACTGAGAGTTAATTTGATTGATGATATAGTTTATTGTGTGTTTTCTGTTTTGATATATGGAACTGACTGCAGTGCCTCGTGCAAGTGTTTTTAATGGTATTTTCCTTTTGGGATATTTTGAACTGTTCAATCACCATTGGGAAAGAGAAAGGTGGTTGATCTTGTAGCGTTTGCATTGAGTTGATAAAATGACACCAGGAGAGCAAAATCATATACCACCGGTACGTTGCAAATTTACTGGTAAAAAAGTGAAGCAATTGAAACTTGACTGTTACCAGCTGCCAAAGCAATTTAACTTGACATTCAAACGCTAACCAACTCCTATGAAACTAGTATAAAAAAATAACTCAAGACATGCGTGATTTCTTCATTGCAAAAACCAATCAAAGTTGATATACAACATAGACTGGATGAGGTTTCACCTGCCCACCAGCACTTTGTATTACATCTAAAGCTCATCTTTACAAAACTGTACCAAGATAGGAAAGCTAAAATTAATTTCAAATTAATTAGAAAATGGGTGCCATCACCATCATCAAATCTCCCTCTTTCTCCACCCCTCTTCTATGCCGGGAATTTCTTCCCAGCATGTAAACTTGCATTTTATGTTAAAAGGATTGAATATTCTCTCAGCCGTCCTCCATTTCAGGCATCGAATATGCAGGCAGGTTAAATAACAGCCTCTTGATGAAAGAACGAGGACTGTAAAAAGATGACACTATGTTTAATATTTGAAAAGAAAGTCACATAAGCCATCATCCTCCTGCCACTTTCTCATGTATTTTCAAAGGATTATGAGCCGTTGTCAGAAGTCCACAATGGGAATAGGAATGTTGTCATTGTTATTGTGATGCATTTGCTTTTGGACTGCTTTAACTGCTATTACTCTTGCTGCATTGGCTGCTCTATTAGCTGCAGCTACTGCTTTTTTCACTCTCTCATCTACCTTGGCCACATCATAAGCTTTCTCTGCTGCCCTTCGAGCCTCCTGCTCAACACAAAAAATTCAGACATGATCAGTTTTCACACTGTTACATTCTTTGTGACGTGATAGAAAAGATGAAGACTGCAAATATGGCGAACTGAGTTGCATAGCAGAGCACAATTCTGTCATGAGCCTTAACCAAAAAAGAAACCATAAAAATTTTGCACTGTCAAGTCTGAAGAATATTAGGCCTCTCTTCTATACATTTTGTATGATATGTTTGTGATACTTGGTATCCCTCTCATGACTTTTGAATTGCTAAAAGAGGCCCATTAATATGTAATTCTAGATTTACACCCTGATATTTCACGTTAGAGAAATGCATTTTAAATACAAATCACAAGGGTCAGCAACCAGGCCAAACAATTATTTTTCCTGCCATGCCAAATTAAATACCTGGGAGTGCAAGACGGGACCATCCAAATTTATGATGGGTAAAGTAGAAAAATTATTACCTACGCTACCAAATACCTCTTCAGTCTTCATTGACATTTAAAAAGGAGCACTAGTAAAAGTTAAAAGTAGAAAACTCTAAGTACCTGCACCGCATTTAGTACTTTAGAATGATAAACAGCTACAGGAGATACAGGATATGTAATGTTCTGTGTGCTTGGGACATCAAGAATTCCATTTTGCCAATGACCTGATTGTGTTTCTCCATTTCTAAACGTATACATTCCAAGTCCTTCTCGTCTACCCTCATGCCAAGCACCCTCATACCGTTGGCCATTTGCAAATTGATAGACACCAAATCCATGCATCTTGTCTGCAAAATATTCCCCAGCATATGTATCTCCATTCCTAAATATGAAAATCAAAAGATTCACGTCCAGAATGAGTTGGTCAAATATAAAACTATGCTCATGAAGTGGATAACTAGTAATTTCTTTTGAATAAGACGGCAATCCTCACATTGCAAAGCTTCATTTAAACATAAATCTAAACTTTCCCTACATTGCTTGAGTTTCATTTAAAGACACCTATCTACAATTCAAGCTAATCATGTAAAAAAACAGGGTGAAAAGTGAACAAGGTTCTCAATCAGATCCTACAATATAGGGTGATAATGCAACAAAATCATCGGCTATGGGTTCTGACAAGTAATAACCATACTTGCATTTATTTTTAAACACCGAGCAATCAGTGGGAACACCAATTTCTAATCCTTACCCCTTATGCTACTTCTTAACAAATAATAGTAAAATAAAGCCATGAAGCAAAAATAATTCATCCAAAACCAACAACAAAACTCAAAATAAGAAACGGAGAACCTTGGGAAAATAAGAATGAGATCTCAAAACCAATAACAGTATTATCTACTGACAGTTAAAGCAGCAATCAGAAACTCAAATATTATTCATAGCATAAACAAACCAAGAAAACCAATCTTGATATTACCTAAAATGATAATGTCCAAGTCCATGCTTGACTCCCCATTTGAATTCCCCAACATATCGACTTCCATCCTCACAGGTATGAATTCCACAGCCATGACCCTGCCCATTAGACCACTCCCCTGCATAAACATCCCCAGTATAGAACCTATAAACCCCAAATCCATGCCTAAGACCCTGCCTATACTGGCCACGATACCGGCTTCCTCTTGCCCAAGTTTCCACCCCATAGCCATCATACTTCCCATCCACCCAATCCCCCTCGTATCGTCCACTCATATAATAGTAATAAACGCCGCTCCCTGAACACTTCCCTTTATGAAATTCCCCTTCATAAACGTCTCCGTTGCTATAAACTTGAACCCAACAGCCCGAATTCGTTCTATTTTCCGATTTCGGCCAAGACCCAATTGACCAAAACACAGGTAAATGCGACCTTGACAGTGAAGATGATGACTTGAGATTAATTGGAAACGAACGGGCTAAGAACAAGCGAATAGAAGGGAGGCGAGGGACGGCGAGATTAAGGGAAAAAAGAAGGGCAGCAGAGAAAGCAAAAGCGGAGAGGAAATCGAGCAAAAAGGAGTGGCTTGGATGTGAAACTAAGAAGTAGAAAAAAGGGAGAGATAAAAGGAGGATTAAACGCAGGTGAACTCGGAGACGACGCAGGTGCTTGAAACGGCGGAGAATTCGATAAACGGAGGATTTAGCAGCAACGGAAAAGGAAAACAAGGAAGTGGTGTTTTGGGAATTGAAATGAGGGGGAGTGGTAAAACGGTACAAAGTTGGGGATTTGGTCAGAGAACGCGTTTGGGTCAAAAGGGGTCTCTTGTAAGGCGTCGGAGAAGAAGAAGACGGAGGAGTATGCGCAACTGCGTCATTTTCAGGAGGGTTCTGGGTAATTATCTGAGGGAAAACAGAAAGCGGCGTCGTCCTCGTAGCAGTTGTGGTCGTTACCGCCGCTGCCGTTGTATCAGATTGCTGTTGTAAACGATGATGGTAATTAAAATGTTGTTGGTGATGATGAAGTGGCAGATGTTGATGATGAAGAACAGTGGACGGTTTGGGATTAAAATCGGAAGAGACGCCGCTACTTTCTTTTCCGATCTGAACTTCCGATTTCTTCTGATGCATTACATACGTGAAAATCAATTGCTCCAAACTCACCCTTTCTCTTTTTGCTTTGAATCGAACGGAAATTTCTCAATTCTCCTTTTTTTTTTTCCCTTCCTTTTTCTTTTGTGTATAGGAGTGATTTTCTCTTTTTCAATAGCTTTTATTGGGGAAAATGTTTTTCATTGTGTATAATATATAAATGCTGAGACGGGAGAGACGAGAATTTCTAGTTGTGAAAGAAGAAATCATTTTAAACAGCCGTGCTTGCGTGGAATTTTTTAATTTCTAATTTAGATTTATTTTTTTGGTCTTTAAATTCATTTGATTAAAATAAACATTAAAAATATGATTTTATTCGAATTCATCTTTTAAAAATATCAATATGATTTAATTATTTTTAAATTCATAATTTTAAAAATCTACCGTATAAACTAAAACTCCTAAACTATTAATTTTAAATCAATTTACTTTTTTTTTTATTATTGCCCTTTGAATTTGAATCTTTTACACAAACTGCCACTCTATTTTCAAGTTTTTTCTTATTAGTAATTTTATATAGGGTGCAAACCGCCTTTGAATTATTGAATTCTTAAATTATTATTCTATTTATTTATTTATTGTTTTGCTCATATTGACTAAATCAGAAAAAAAAAAAAGAAAAATGAATTAAAAAACAAGACTACTTCGTGTTTAACGATTGATTTTATTTCTTTTAAATATTAGTAATATTGTATGTTAAACGAAGATAATTTATTTGGCTGGACGGATGGATGGAGATGAGTGGGCTGGCTTCTTTGATTGATATTATTGCTTCTTCTTCCAATCCCATTTGGCGGATGCCTCACTTCACTTACGGACTCCTTCAATGTTCAAACTGCCAATAAGATGCATCCGCGTGGCATCGCATGATTCGGTACCTTTGGCCGCTTGACAAAGATCGAAATATCAGCGCCATTTCTCCACGTTTAATTTACCTTCACGCCACTCCAATTTCCCTTCTTTTTTTATTTTTTTTAAATTAGAAAAAGGGCCTTTGACGTAATAAAAAAAATAAAAAAATATTTTATTATTCATATATAAAATAATTGCATTTTTATTTCATTTTTTAATAAGAAAATACCAAAAAACAGAAAAATTCAAGGCCCTTAAAAAAATCAAGTAAATACCCCCAAAAATTTGCTGTTAGGCCTCAATAACTATTCCAATTAGGGAGTTACTGCTTAGACCTTCAATTGAGCCACTCAGTTAAAAAAACACTACTTTTATTTATAGTATAGATGATTGAATAAATAAAATAAAAAAACTTATATTATATTATCATTTACCTTTTCAAATAATTTTTTTTATTTTGCAATTTTTATTAAATTTTTTAGACATGCTCTTTTCCTTTTTTTTCGGATGTCGCACTTGTAGGATATATGAATATATAAGCAACTTAATATCTCGATAAATTTTCCATACTCTTTGGCCCAAAAAAAAAAAAAAGATAAATTTATGAAAATTAAAACTGCTTTTTAATTAAAAATTTAATGACATTAAATAAATGAATGATGCCAAAAGTTGGAACACTTAAAAGGAAGAAGACCCATTCTTTCGTTATTATCAATTCTCTTAAGGAAATGTCATTATTATCACATTAAAATTTGGATGGTTTGAAGCAGTCAAAAAGTCTGATTTCTCAAAAGTGAGGTCCAAGGAACTTCGAAAATATAAAAATAAATAAATAAAGGATACTTCGTTAGGACTCCTTTGATTTTGGCATGCCTGCAACTAATGTAATAGCTCTTTTCTTTCTCCGAGGCTATTATGTAAATGAAAATAGTTCATTTTTACATGGTTATCAAAAAGGTCATCCCACAGCCTTTAAGGAAAAAAATATGAAAAATCTTTGCTGAATTCGAAATAAGTTTACAGGGAAAAGGATATGAAATAATGGTATAACTAGGGCAAACATAGATGATTTGTAGGACGAGGTACCCACTTGGAGAGATGTGATGTAAAAGTATGTGTCCTGTTCCTTTCTTCTAGTTATTATTTGATGAAAATGTTGGATAATTTTGTCCAAAGATTATGTTATGATAACAACTACACCGAAAATGCTGTCTCTCTCACTGGTTACTCATGTCAATCTACACGCTGCTGCTTCTGCATGCTTTGCCTAAAGTTGATTTACTTAGCTACTTTGACTTGAGAGGCAGAAGGAAACTTTTTATCTCTTAAGGCTAACCCCACTTTTTTTTTTAATCTACAAACTAGCAATGACACGATGAAGGGCAGAAGAAATCCTTCTCCTAAATGGCAACTTTGACTACGAATCAATATTTTCTCAAGAGGAGATCATATCTAGTTTATATATGGTTTTTCCTTCGTTTATGCTTTCTTGTGAACGGAAATCCATGAATGGGTGAAAGAAAAGGAAAAAAAAAAACAGAGCAGACTTTACATCCAACTAAACCATATATTTTTTTATTATAAATCGTGAATGATTTCAAACCAAAATTCGAGCACGTTGCATCCAAATTATAATGTCCTGACACACATATGATTCTGATATTGTACTTATATCTTTTTGTGTGTGTCCCACGCTATCATAGCCCCTTTTGATTTTGATTTTGATTTTACGGGCTGTTGCCATATTTGCTGAAGATGGTGACTTACGCCGCATTGCAGGGACAACATGACATGTTAGATTCTGGCTCTCTCTCTCTCTCTTATTTTGGATAGGGATGGGGGGATGGGGATTAAGTTTGGGTTCGACAGAACTTACCAGAAAGCAGAAAGCAACGCCGAAGTTCAGCAAAGATCGATTGTCCACACGGTTAAGAAACCAAACACATTACTAGGATACAGTCAGTAAGCAACGACAGAAAAGAGTTGAAACTTGAAATATTGCCATGTCAGTAATTCCAAGGGTGCCATTATCATCACTGCAAAAGAATAAATGCCAGAATACAGAACTAGATAAAAGAAAAAAGACACAAACTCGCAAAAGTATTACCCTTTCTAATTTCGTTCTTTACCCAGATTCAGTGTTGCTTAGACAAGAAAACACGCGGATTTCATAATTTTACATCCATGGATGAGTACAGACTGAAGAAAAGATGGCTAGGATTGTATCGATAGAGCTATCGTTGGAGAATGGAATGGTGATGTGTACACAGGTCAATAAACGAGGGACGAAAATCAGCTAACTACAACAAAAAGCACTTCAAACAATCCTCAACTCACGATAAAAAATATATATATGCTTACAAATACAAACGTTATGTTAAATTCATGAATAAATTCTAGATATTTCGTGCTCCACTAACAGGCCATATTTCGTTGGCATATCAATCTTAAAAATCCGTCCTCTTTTGGGAACTCCACTTCACATTGCATGGAATGGGGCATCCACTGCATTGAAAGAAGCACCCGGCTAAGCGAATATCGCCACCCTTGGACAATTGGAGATCTCAACACAACTTACAGCTTGCAACTCTTGTATCACATCAGCGCTTGTGGATCTTGAAGCCAAAAACTCTTGGGGTGTAGTTTTGCGTTGGCTTTTGTGGCTTTAGGTGCCCATATGTCATCAGAAATAGATGTGGAAATGTTGTTCCAAAATAAGCTCCATCAATATCTTGTTAAAGTCAAGAAAGTAAAGCTGTAAAAAAAGTAATACAACCATGATCCGGTAACAGGAAATAGGAAGAACTAAAAAGTCATAAAAATGTTTGATCACCTATCCAGGACACAAAATAAGACACCTCATACATGCCCAAAGACATCGTGAATGGGCATTTGGGAACAAAAATTAACTTCTCCCCATAAATTGAAGGCAGGAAGATATGAGATTATCGAGCATGAGCACTCTAGCACCTGCTAACTTCATAATGTTGTTCATCACAAAATTTTTTTAAAAGTTTAAGATTCTACAAAATCCTACTGATAGCATAATCTTTGGGATGGAAGGGGGGAATATATTCACAATGCATAGACAAATGAAAAGTATAGGTTGTCTCCCACTAAAGTAGGTGCAAAGATGACCCACCAAACCCAGCATCATGTATAAGGGGAAGAATGTGATAGAAAAAGACAGACTGATTGAGGAAAGAATGTAAGGAAATATATACATCCAAATAACGCCAATTCTCATTGTCATGATAAAATTAGCAAAAAGAACACATTAAGCTCCCAGGATAATATCAAGGTGAGGTCATATATGATCTAAGAAATCCTATTATCTGTTCAAAGAATAAGTAATTTCATATGCCATCATATGCAAGGACAAGGGGGGTAGTCCAGAATACAAGTATGATTCATTTCATGCATCTTACCAAAGAAACAAATTGTTTAATCTCAGTAGGAAGTGTGTCAGATGTCACAAGCATAATATAGTAGAGAAACCAAACTATACGCATTTTAGCTCTCAAAACAAGTAAAATTAGTAATTCTCCAAAATTAAAGAAAAACACAGTAAAATCTTAGATGAAATAGAGAGGATACTGCCTTGATACTTGGATCGGGGATAATAAATATCTTCACATTTAGGACAGTAGATTTTCACAGTACTTGAACGAGGAATATCTGACTGACCAACAGGAAGACAAGGTTGTCCACAGCAGTAAACTCTTGGGCATCTCCCAAAGTCATAGTTTTTGTATTTCTCCAACTTAATTAGAAGTTGTAAGTCAACACAATATGACAAAGTCAACAAATTATAAAAAGAAAAAAAGGGATAAATGACAGCAATTTTACCATAGCAGACATTCCCTTGCTAGTTAATATGTAACGGACATGCATAAGACCATACAACATCTCTGCTGCCGATTCAACCAATTCATTCTGTTCTTCGGTGAACATATCACCTATAAAACCCAAAAGATATCAACTTAATAGCAAGAACGAATGTGCATTGATGGCTGTTGAGTTGATAGATAAGAATGTAAGAGCCATACTTTAAAATAGTACAAAAAAAATTGGTATTTAAAGCACACAGATATGATGCAAAGCAACATTAAAAACAAGAAAGAAGTGGGTAAATGTAGATAGCAACATTATGACTGCAGACCATATCGTCAGAAATGCTATGAAACACCAGCTTTAAAACAATTGCAACAACATAATTCCTCAATTCACTAAGAGCAACATTTCTGATGTTAACTGTCTCCAGCAATTCAAAAATTCAAAAGTAAAATAAAAAAGCTTTTCAAAAACTAAGCATTTGAAACCCTACCACATACTAAACAAGTTCCAATCACTAGAAGAGGAAGGCGCATAACCAATTTAGTAACAGCATATAATCAGATTAACATCCAGTGAGTTATAGAGTCAGTCAAGAGCCATCTTATGTGGGGGTTCATATAAATCAACCAAAATTTATATACAGCAATTCAAGTCAATGAAGTGCTTACCATGAGAAGATTCGACGTCCAATATTAAATCAAGCGCATAGTCATAATATGGAACTTGACTGCTCAACCCACAAAGATTAAAGTCATCTTGGATGTATTCATCATCAACTTCACAGAAAAACTCATTGCCTCGCAAATTGCAAAACCACGAGATCCAAGATGTGTCATCTCCGTCAGAACCACTCACATCTGATTCTTCACTGTCTGTTTCAGATTCCTCTGCAATCAATGACAGTATTACCAGGTAATTGAGAAGAACCTCAAATTTAATTACTTCGTGATTGATGATCTGAATAGTTTCTGTTGTGTTTCTTAGATAAAAACATGACAAGAAGGGTAACAAAAGCTAGGAATTATAACTAGCTAAAACATGCTAATACTAAGATCTATCATTTAAGTTAAAAACCCAATGCTAGCTTACAAGGACATGGCCGAAAACTAGAAATTTATGGTATCAAATAAAGAAACAAATGCATCAAATTTCTAAAATTTACTTCGACAAATCAGACAATGCATCGAATTTCCAAACTTTCAAATATGGAGACACAAGTACATTTAAAAAAAAAAAAACTACCATCATCCTATTTTCAGTAAGCCAAATCCCAAGAATTTGGCTTTAACAGTGCACTTTGTAAAGCGAAAAGATTAAGTACAAAATTCTGCAAATAACCGTATTTAATACTGTAATTAGTAGTTAAACACTTTTCACATACAAATACACAAACACATCAGCTCAGTTCGGACAAAAACTCTTCAAAATCCAGATCCTACCAAATCAAATTAACTTGAAAACAAGTCAATGCACTCGAAGCAAACACAAGATTCGCCACAAATTAATCGAGGAAAAAAAATAAAAACAGAAAATCAAAGAAAGAAAGTGATTGGCAAGTAACTAACCATCAGAACATTTGGCTTTGGAGAGAGCTGCAGAGCGCGAATCGCGATGATCAAGCTGGGATTTACCAGTGGAAGTTGAAGGAACGGAGGATCTTTCTTTGTCTTTGCTGTTCAAGCCTCTCGAAGTGGAAGGGGACAACTTCTCTAGTTGCTTGTCCAGCGCCTCGTTTATGCGCTTCCGATCTAACGGTCCTCCCACTAGCTCCGATTTCGATGATCCTCCTCCTCGATCTCTATGACTATACATATCTTTTCCTTTTCACCACCCAATTTCGAAAAGCTCCGAACTTTTTCAATATTAATGGAAGGACAAAAAATTTAAGATTTTTGGAGATGTATGGCGTTGTGTGAGAGAGTAATAGCGCGAAGAAACCTTAGATTTGAGAAATTTGGGGTTTTGCAGGGTGGAAGGATTAAACGGCGGCGTTTTATTGGAGAATTGAAAAGGAGATCTATATTGAAGGAAGTGGATTTCGGGACAGAGAGGAAAAGGGGGGTAGGGGTTGAAGAGGGATAGAGAGAGACGGTGAAAACTAGGGTTTTCGGAATAAGAAAGAGAGGATACTCGAGCTCCTCAAAGTGCTGTCTGTCTTTCTTGTTTTCTTGCACTCGGTGGTGGCTTGGTGCTTCTCTTCATTTCCCTTTTTTTTTTTCCATTTGTCAATTCGTTTCTTGTCAGATTTTTTTTTATCGGCCTTTAAAAAAAATATTTCTTGGATTCCAATGGGCAGTGACCTAAGCCCATACTCAGGCCCATGGAAAATCGAGCTTTAGTGCTTTACCTAAATTAAATAAATAAATAAATTATACGTATTAATATATGACATAATTTTTTTACTACTATATCTTTTTGGAAAAAAAAAAAAGAAATTTAACTAGTCACGTGGAGATTCAATCCAATGTATTAACAAATGAAGAGCTTTGCAAGTAGTAATTAATTAAAGCCTTAAAGGGTCATTTTCAAGCCTCGCAAAATATTAACAGTGATTTTGTCGTTGCTGATCAAGCAGGTAGTATATATAATGGTAGAGTAGTTTTATCAATTGTGATAGGTGGATTACTAGGAATGAAAGAATACTAAGAAACAGGGGAAGAGAAAAAGAAGGAGTAAAAGGAAATGGAAGGAAAGCTAGATCTGATGGTTAAGTTGATTTTATCAATTGTGTTGGGTGCATTTGTGGGGTTGCTTTTTCATCTTTGCAATGGTGTGTTTGTGAAGCCAAAAAAGCTGAGATTGAAGCTTCAAAACCAAGGAATCAAAGGTCCATACCCTTCTTTTTTATATGGGAACATCCATGAAATGAGAAGGATCCAACTTCAAGCACTGTCTGCTGCAAACTCCACCCAGAAAGATCAAAAAGCTGCTATTGCTCATGACTGGTTTCCTACTCTCTTTCCCTACTTAGACAAGTGGAGAAATGAATATGGTAGGTGCTCTCTTATCAATCTGCTTTTGGATCCAACCATCAATAATCGCCATTTCTTCCCTTTGCGATGAAAGAACTTGGGGTTTTGTAGTCATCTAGAGCTTTGTTATGAAAAAATTTATGAGTTTGGGAATGTAAGATATGATTTTTCTGGCAATTTTGATCTTTTTGTTTGCTTAATGCTTAGCAGCTATTCTGGAATTGTAGGTTCAAGACTTATAACCTCTTACAATAGCTTTTAGATTCTCATTTGCCCATAATCTCTGTTCTCCATGGTTTTCTTTCTCTCTTTATTAGTTGAGAAATGTACTTTCCAAGGACTAACAAACAAAATCATCCGTAGTCATTTGTCGGTACTAGCCTGCGGAATCTTTGTATTTTAATATGTTTCCCACTTTGTCTCTCCCTTTTTGGCTAATAATAACAAGCATGCTTCTACCAACACTTGTGCTTCTTCAACTAAGTGGCACGGCTTAGTTTCAGGTATGACAAACGAAAAGACCCCTAGTTTCGACCTCTTCCTCCCTCAATCTCTTTTTTATTTTTAATTTTGTTTCGTTTATAGATTACAGTCGGCTGCCTTCACCAAGATTTCTGATGGCAGGGTCTGTGTTCTTGTATTCAACCGGAAACATACAGCTACTCTGCACAACAGATATGGAAATGGTGAAGGAAATAGGCCTACACAAGTCTTTAAGCTTAGGGAAGCCGTCCTATCTAACTAAGGATCGGGGGCCTCTTCTGGGAGAAGGTATTCTATCCTCAAGTGGCCCCATTTGGGCTTACCAACGAAAAATCATTGCTCCAGAACTTTTTCCTGACAGGGTTAAGGTAACCCCCACACTTCCAAGCAGCTATGTTCTGTCGACATTTCATTTTAGGAGCATGTCTTTAATTATTCTGTACATATAAATGCGTTTAAAGGGAATGGTGAACCTAATGGTGGATGCTATGACTTCATTGCTAAAATCTTGGGAGAGTAGAGTTGAGGACGAAGGAGGCATTTTGGAAATTATAGTTGATGGGGATTTGAGAAGCTTGTCTGCAGATATAATTTCAAGAGTTTGTTTCGGCAGCAATTTCTCCAAAGGGGAAGAAATATTTTCAAAGCTAAAAGCTCTCCAAATGGCCATGTCTAAGGCAAACGTTGGGATTCCTGGTATGAGGTATGTTTTCACCTAAAACATTCATGAAATATCTAATTCATATACGTATGTGAACTTTGCTGTTACAAAATGTTGAAGGTACTTGCCAAGCAAAGCCAACAGAGAGATATGGAAACTAGAGAAAGAGATTGACGCTATGATATTGAATGTGGTAAAACAACGCATTGAGGAACCTATACATGATAAGGATCTTTTACAAGTGATACTCGATGGTGCTAAAACTAGTGAAGATTACAAGGGACCATCTAAGAAGAGGTTCATAGTTGATAATTGCAAGAATATGTACTTTGCTGGTTATGAAACCACTGCTACTACAGCTTCTTGGACCTTGATGTTGTTAGCTGCACATCCAGATTGGCAGGCTCGTGTTCGTGCTGAGGTGCTAGAAACTTGTCAACGCAGCCTTCCAGATGCCGATATGCTTAGAAACATGAGGAAGGTATGTTAATATATCAACAAGCTTTACATGAATGTATGCATTGAGAACAAATTGTATTCTGATTATGATTATATTTTTTCCATTTTGTTATTCATATTGGCAGCTCACAATGGTAATTCAAGAGACATTAAGACTATACCCACCTGCAACTTTTGTGATAAGACAAGCGCTGGATGACATTGATTTCAAAGGCATCATGATTCCAAAAGACATGAACATCCAAATCCCTATCCCAACTTTACAACAATCCCTTGAACTGTGGGGTCCTGATGCGCACGAGTTTAATCCAGAAAGATTTGCTAATGGGATAGTTGAGGCTTGCAAGGTTCCGCAGGCTTATATGCCGTTTGGTGTTGGGTCTCGAATATGCGCAGGACAACACTTTGCAATGGCAGAACTGAAGGTGGCTCTATCTCTACTTTTATCGAGGTTTAGCTTCTCTCTGTCACCAGCATACCGTCACTCCCCTGCATTTAGGCTGGTTATACAGCCTGAACATGGAATTTGTCTCCATGTAAAGAGAGTTTAAGGGTGTAGGGTTGAACAGTGACCAGTGAAGTTCCTTCAATTTCTTTAATTATAATAAAAGGTACCTCTTCTCTATAAACTTCAATGCATTAATGTATGATGAATCCATAATATTTAGATGTAAATAGTGTTTAATTACGTGGCAAATCATATATAAATGTGTGTGGTGTTATGGTAGTTATACTTTTGACTAAGAATTGAAGAAGTCACGGCAATTTGTTTTGCTTAAAGAAAAAACTTTGAACTTCTGAATGGCATAAACCTGATGTGTATATATAAAGGAGAGGCGAAGAAGAAAAAAGGGCAAACAAATGCAAGCAGAGCCAAGTGTAATGGCAAAGATCATTTCATCGGTAGCATTTAACAGCCTAGTTGTGTTGGCCAAGCACTCTTAAAGTCTCTGATTTTGAAACTGAAAAGGCTAAGGGAAAAGCTGCAGGAGCAAGGGATCAAAGGACCATCTCCTTCGATTTTCTTGGGAAACATCCTTGATATCAAGAGGATTGAATCCCGAGCAAGATCTTGGGAATAGCAACCTGACGTGCACCTTGATCATGCTTGGCCTTTAAAGGTCTACCCTTACATGGAGCAGCGGCGAAATGAATATTTATATGGCATTCACCCCAAACTTTAATTATCTCTAAGCTCGTCGTTGGTAAATTAACGGGTTTAGCAATAAAAACTGTTTTGGCAGCATGCAAAAATAAACTAATCTCTGGCTTTTTATGCGAAAACAAGTATGACCTTCCCACTGACGATCTTAATTCTTGTCCACGATTCCTTCTGTTTTAGACTCTGGTTCAGTAGCATAAGCAGATCCTGACATTTAACGAATTTGTGTTGTATTATTGTTTCTTATTGAACGTCTGCTGTAGGTTAGTTGAAGATGAAAGCCCCTAAACATTTGATTCTAGAAATTTCAAGTTTTTTTTTTTCCATAATAACATCCACTTTTCTGTCATTAGATCTGCTTTTCAATCTTGTAATTAATATTTTAAATTACTAAAAGATTTGGGGTGCATACTTTGCACAAGTAATTTGATATTCAACCTCTAATTCCACAGACATGGCATCCACAGATTTGCCCGGGAATTCTCGGGGCTTGAAAGCAGAAATTCGGGATACATGCCATTCAAGTTAAATCTCACACTCTTGAAGGCTGCAAGAAAACATTTTACTACTACCATACAGAACATACTAATCTCATGATTAGGCAAACCAAGATATTCTCCCCGTAGCTAAATCAAACACAGTTGCCATTATTATTTCATTAAGAAAAAAAAAAACACACTTGCCATTATTGCACACAATAAAAGAACATCGGTGTTGAATTTCTGTATCCCGTAAGATAGTTAACATTTATACAGATTTTTGGTCGAGATTCTCTTGAACTCTAGCAATGTGACAGGAGAAATTGATCAAACCCCTTATTAACTCATAATTTTCAGCTCCATAGAAAAGGGGGAAGAAAATCTTAAAAAGGGATTTCATGAGAACAAGGATCGAGTCTTGTTGCGTTCCAAACGAGCTTCCCTCTTGAAAAGAAAAAAAAAAAAATTGTAATACTCAGTGCATTATAGCCAGATGCAGCTAGTTCAACTTTGCATAGTTAAAGCTGTTGGTAAACATGAGGGATATACAATAAAAATGAAAAAATTGCAATACCTCCTTTTTCTTGCATTCCTTGTAAACATCAAAATGTTCTTGACATTTACTCTTGTCTGAGCCATATTCTTCCAGACCTGAAAACAAACCCTTCAAGATTAAAATTCTGCCACATTCAACAACAATATTTTATTTTAAAATAGAAAACAAAAAGAAAAGTTGAGAAAGGAATTTGTAAACTGTGAAGAAGAATCATATATTTTGCTTTGAAGCCTCCTAACTTTTTATTCCTTACTTCATGTCTGAAGAGTGATAAAGTATCTAATCTACTCAGCTAAAGGCAACAAACCTTATCTTAGATAAAATCATTGAAGGGTGCAGCTTCTATCAATGTTTCAAGCATATGTTAATTCTTTCATATAGAAGTGTTCAACTCCATAAAGAGCTCTTCATTCTATTAAGAGACCAGAAATTCTAAAAGCTTCAACATCACAATAACTCATGAAGGTCAATGTAACGGACAAGAATTATCCTGGTTACATTACACTACATCTCAAGTAACCTATAGCGAGTAGTAACAAACTGATTAGTCCCTCTTCCACTCAAGTAACCTACTTAGTGATACGGCAATTTAAAACACAACATGATAACACGACACAAAAACAAAACAAATAAAAGACACAAAAGTGATACAGTTCAAAATTTTAGCAAAAACGAGTTTAACAAAACAAAAAAATGTATTTTATGTTTTCGTGTTAACATAAATTGTAACACGTAATATTCATGATACGGATATATGAATTATCAGTATTTTATACCAGACAAATACACAAATTACCAGGTCCATATAGAGGGCAACAACTGCTATTACAGTAGTAAATTGAGAAAAAAATTCATTAACCAAAAGAAAGAAGAGAAAAAACAAATTGATTAATTTATCAGTTAACAAAATTATAAGAGAACAAAATAAAGTCAGATCAGAACAATACTATGATTCAAGCAAGGTGACGTTTAAGCATTTTTTTTCTTCTCATGTCTAATTCTCTATTACCCATCTAAAAGCTATTCAGACTGTCGCATAATGATTCAAGATAATTAACCATCAACTGTTCGATGGGATAAGAGGGAAAAAGAGAGACTTTTGATGAAGGTTTAAGACTAAAGACAGTTAGCTTACATTTGAGAGAGGCAGTGTATTGAGGGAAGCATGGAGAATCGGCGATTCTTGCGGCACTTGGGTATGGCGGTGTTCCAGCTCTTGATGCCATGCCTCTTTTCTCCCACTATATTTTCTAGGAAAAAAAACAAGTTTCGAATCGTGTTTCTGATCCAAGAGCCCCAGCCTTTGTAAGAAATTTATGCTCGCTCTCTCGTTCCCTTGGGCCAAATCTTTTTTAGCCCAAATCTATTTTTAACTTTTTTTGGGCCAAAAAATCCATTTTCTTTTTTAACTTAAAAAAATGGAGTATTTAAAAAGAAAATAAAAAACCCACATTTACAATATTTTAGGCCCAAAAAACTAATCCTAATAGTAACTGTTTTGTTGGCCAAGTTCAAACCCAATCTTCTCTTTATGAATCAATCACTCGAAAAATAAAGTTCAAAATTTTTCTCTCAATTTGATTATATAAAAAAAATTAGATCAATTTTAGGAACACTAACTGCAATATGCAATTAAAAAAAATCATGATCGAGTAAAGTGTAGATATAACTTTTGCATTCAATGAAATGAAATCTCAACTCACACACTTTAGGCTGTCCAGAGAAAATGATACGATGGCACCGTCATCTTATCTTTGGCCATTAATCCTCTGTCCAGGAAAACTAGAGGGGGCCAAAAATGAAGAGAGACAAGACAATCTCTGATGCACAATGTTCAATAGCAAAGAAACATCATAGTCTTAGTTATGTCATGCTTGGCAAAAGCAGTCGTCACCCTTCCTAATCAAGTCTTCAGTTCCACAGCAAACAGACGAGGAAAAAGAAAGGGCGTAAGGGCGAGAAAGCAGCATTCAAAAGAGACTGACATGTGCAAGCTCGTACAACTAAAGAAAGTCAACAAATCCACAGCAAACCTTGAAAAAGGGCTTATTAAAAGGGGATAAAGAGAGAGAGAAAAAAAAAATGGACCCTATTTCCATGAATGAACATGAGGGTTAATCTGGTTCTCAAAGTATACAAGATATACAAGAAAACTGGTCAAAATTTTTTTTTCTGACATTCGAAGATTTGATGTGTTAGAGCCTAATGTTTGAGGAGAAAAGTGAAATAGCTGTAATATATTGCAAATCCGACTATCTCCTTTGAGCGCGTGATTGAAGGTTTTTATTTTTATTTTCCCCTAAAGTTGACCTTTGATGGGTCCCACAATTATTCCGCTGTGATCTTTAAGGTCTAAAGGGCGCTCTGTCCACGTGCTGCCTCTTCTCGTGCTTGACACTACTCACAGTGAGCTCCAAAAGACTAAAACCATGTCTTGGGACAAAATCAACATACAAACAAAGCACCGGGGCCGCAAAGTGTAATCAATTCAATGAAGCCGATGTTCACATGCTCATCAAGCGCGTCTAAATAAAATCAAATTGACATGAGAGTATTCTTTTCTCTCTCCTTTTGCCTCTCCAACAGCTCAAATTAAAGTGATCGACCATAATACTTTTTCTTTCCTCAGAAAGCTCATAGAAAATTTTGGTTACCTTTCCAGACTCTGCTTCTCTATTTAACTTTTTTTTAATCAAACCATAGCGCAGACAGAGAAAGAAACTCAGAAGCTTATAAGGTTTGATGTGAGTTTAGTCTAACTGCATACAATGAGTACTGCAACAACGGCAGCTACAACACAAACGAAATTCATAAAATGTGTGACAGTTGGGGATGGAGCTGTTGGAAAGACTTGTCTCCTTATCTCTTACACTAGTAATACCTTCCCGACTGTATGAACTTCCTTCTTCTTTCTATATGATCCTACATTTCATCTTTCTTTTTTGTTTTGCATTGACTTTGATGGTTCATGTGCATTTTGGTATATAATAATTGGTGTTTCCTATTGGGTACTTGCTTTTCTTATTTATAGGATTATGTTCCTACTGTTTTTGATAACTTCAGCGCCAATGTTATGGTTGATGGGCAGACTGTCAATTTGGGTCTTTGGGACACAGCTGGTATACTCCTCTGCTTCTCTCATAATTACTTCTACAGTTCTACTTTTTCAGCGTGGAGCTTAATTGCTAGTTTGTTCTTCGGGGTTCAGCCTTCTTATCTTTTCCAAATTTTGAAATGGGGATTTGCTGAATGTTGTCAATTCGTTGTCTAGTGAATAAGAAATGGTGGGTAAGACAGTGATGATTACAAATGCTAATATATGATATATTGGTATGTTTCGTTTTGATCACAAGAGACTTTAAAAAGAAAAGTTAAAATCACAAGGAAATACGGAAGTTCAGAGAAAAATGGAAATTTGGCATCTTAGAACCCAAAATTGTTGGAGAGTTCTGATTTTTCTATTTTCTCCTCATGGCAAATCGACAAGTGAAAAACATTTAGTTGCAATTACATAACTTTTAAGCAGTTTAATGTTGCATAAAGGGCTAGTTTGTACTGTAGTAATAGAGCAGAAGCATAATTAAAACAACAGAGATGACCCAATAAAGTGAAGAATTTGACATGTTATACCAAAAGTAACGTCGTCAGTTCCACTTTACTTTGAAAGAAACCCTGCTTTCTCTGTTTGCCCAAATTTGTGAGATTATAACTAGTGTTTTTGTTGCATAACTAGAGAGAGCACATTATGAAGGTCCTGATGTCATATCATATCTTTTAATCGATTGACTTGTCATGTACAAGTATGAACAGTATTATCTTGTTTCATATACATTGAAATTTATAACACACTATGGGATGAGATTGTTTCCATTTGACATCCATGTTTTTCTAATTCAAGGTCTTTTTATAGCCTTTAGATATCAATTGTTGGCGAAATGATGCATCATGAAATGAAAAATACTCTTTCTAGTTAACATTCAGCAATTTGATTATAGAATGAAATGGATTTCATAATGTTGATAGTATAATTTGTTCAGGTCAGGAAGACTATAACAGGTTGAGGCCTCTAAGTTATAGAGGTGCTGATGTGTTCCTTCTTGCATTCTCCCTCATAAGTAGGCCTAGCTATGAGAATGTATCAAAAAAAGTAAGCTCCTTTGCTCATTACTTTTGTTTTTAAAGTTTAAACCCTCTAATGAGTTCTATTGTGCTTATGCTTAGTTTAATGAAATGTATATACTATTTTTCTGATTCCTTTACATGTCTTGCTTCTTTCTTTATGCTCCTTGTTGTCTTGGAGAAGTGGGTTCCAGAGCTGAGACATTATGCCCCATCAGTGCCCATTATTCTTGTGGGGACAAAACTAGGTGAATTATTCTCTCCTTCTTGATGTATTGCTTTTGCAAATGGATGTTTCCAGAACCATGCCTTTGCTTATCAATCAAGGTTCAAGATGGTCTATGTCTGACGCAACAAACTAGAGCTGAAGAATATGAAGCTCTTTCTCTTGTTCTTTTTGTCAATTCTTACATTGACATTTTTTTTTTCAGAAAGTCATCATCAGATTCTCATGTATGTGCATGGTTTCTTCGAATCATTCCTGTAAATTCACCTGTATCATGACATTGACAACATGAACAAAAAGAGCATGAAAGAAATGAATGCACATAATTTGTACATAAATTTAGCATATAAACATTTTTGTTCCTTAGGATCAGTTGTGTCTGATTTTCTAGGTGCAAGATCTATTTGAAAATTTGTCACGCATGGCCAAGGTTTGCATAGTTGATTGCCTGTTTGGATATGCACACGCATGCTTTTGTTCTGTTAATAAATTTAATTGGGATGCAGATTTAAGAGAAGACAGGCAGTTCCACTTGGATTATCCAGGGGCGTGTACTATTTCTACAGAACAGGTACCACTGATATGTGCACATTTTGTTCCTACTGCTTCATTCTATGCTTGTTTGTGGCACCATCAGTTGTTTCGCTATATAGAATAGAATCTGTACAAGTTGTCACTGGCTAGGTAAGGTGCAATTTTGAATGCTTTACACAAAAGAAACAATGAGAAGCTTTTGTGGAGAACATGTATTGCCAGTAAATTCAGGGCATTGTCATTAGACTGGTTCCAACTTTTTAATGAAAGTTTAATCCATCCTTTCAAATTTTGATTTTAATTGACAATATAATTTAATGAGCATGAATAGAGTTGCAATCAATTTTAGGTAGCAGATAGTCTATCTGCTTTTCCTTCCCCTTTTCGTAGCATCATCTGTAGGCAGGCATATGAATTCAACACCTGCCAGACCTGAACTAAACTCTTAAAAACATGGGGCAATAGCGATGTTTCACTTGTCCTGTATTGATGGTCAGGGAGAGGAAAAGAAGAATATCACTTCACCTGTTGTGCTTCTTGATTGAAAATCATACATTTTTGTCGCTGGAATCTGAAGCTAACCAAAGAGAATGCTGTCTGATTATAATGGAAATTTATGAAATCTTTCAAAATTTAGGACACTTCAATTGTAGTATAATACTAGTTATTTCAAATTTTGCTGCCAGGGTCTTGAACTAAAGAAGCAAATAGGAGCGCTGGCTTACATAGAGTGCAGCTCTAAGACACAGCAGGTTCGTGTTGCATCTGTACACATTATGATAAAACTATTAATCAAAAATGCCCGTGACATATACCTACAGGATTCTATATACTATTTAAACTAACAGAATAGATCAAATGATATTAGAATCAACCCATTGTGCATGGCCAATTGATTGGAGCTCTGCCTGCTTTGGCTTAAGAAACTAGTGCAGGATTAATGCAGGATTGGAGAAATCAATGGATAACATTCATTAAAAATTCATTCCTTTTACGAATTAAGAACTTTTGTGTTGAAAATTTCAGAATGTGAAAGCTGTGTTTGATGCTGCTATCAAGGTGGTTCTCCAGCCTCCAAAGCAAAAGAAACAAAGGAAGAAACCAAGTATATGCCGTGTTCTGTAAACAAACTCCCTAATGGACAATAGTGTCAAGTTGACCATGATTATTCTCCTCTTATAATTCTGTGCATTCTTGATCTTATTTATTACATTTTTTTTTTTGGGTGTTGATTTGATTGAGTGCTACCTCTCCTTCTGAAGTAGGAAATTTGCAATAGATTGATCAGTGTAACTCCATTTATATATCATCTTCAAGAACTCAAGGGTGTTTGGATTCTGTAAATTGGCTGCTTATTGCAATGATTTAATGTGAATGATATTTGCTTTTAACCTATTTCTCTTATGTAAGTTCAGAACTTTGTTATGCTCTTTGCATTTGCAGCTCCATTTGGGTTAAATCGCCATTTAGTCGAACTTTACCTAAGTTGGGCCATGTTAAAGCATCGTTCAAGCAACTCTAGCTTGATCAATATCTTGGGCTTTTCACGAGCATTGAATTTTTAACCCAAACCAATTGGTCCAAAATTTTTTTTTCTACACTTGAAAAAAAAAATCGTGGTCAGGAAAATGATATGTGATCAGTAATTCCTTTGGAATTTACTTGGATTAGAGTTAGGCAAACTTCCAAATCACCAAAGCTTCACTGCCGTTGTAAAAACGTAATTGATATCCTTTTTAAAGAATTTTCTCCAATAATATTCGTAATATATACGTTTTGTACGTCATTCTTGATAAAAAGATGTTTTGATGTTTCCATTCTAAGGTCAATTCAACATTTATAAATAATGTGACTTAATTTTCTTGATTTTATTCATCCATAAAATAAAGTTCAAAATTTCATCATCTAGTTTTTGTTGCGTTTCAAAATTTGATCTTTTCAAACAGCTCACGTTAGAGACTCTTTTTTTTTAAATGATGTTAGGTTAAATTGATTTTTTTTTTTCCAAAAAACTAATTAGTTTAAAACACATATGGGGGATATTTCTTCTTCTTTTTTACCATTATCTTTCTATTGTTTGTTTCGTTTTTGCTAAGATTAATGAAAAGAGAAGTTAGTTTTCATTAATTAATAATGTTTATCTTCTTGTCATTCAAAGTATGTCATGCCTTAATTAGTGAGTTATATAAAACAATACGAAATTAATGAATGAAAGACACCTAACAATTTGAATAAGCGAATTTGCAAATGAGTCCACATTAACATTATAAATAATTACTACTAGGGTTTGTCAATTCTTGCAAGTTTCAACACACGCAACACACCCAACCGAGACTTTTGGGATTTTCCTGCTCTGTTTAATTTTATTTCTATTTCTCGTCTTTACCAATTAACAAGCACCAATCACTAATCACCAGCTTCATTGTCCAAACTCCAAGCATAGCAGCTTAATTGTTTAACTTACGACCGGTCAGTCGTACAATTAAAAATTTGTTTTTTTGAAGTGAATTGACCATTCTGTTTTTAAACTGCACTTTGCCCGTCGCTTGTACAATATCTATTTCTATTCTGCGGCCAACATTTGTTATTTAATGAAATTAAAAAAAAAAGTATCATATTTTATGAGTCATAACGATATGGATTAATAAATTTCAATTAAACCAACATTTATATGAATATATATTAGTATAGATAATAGCTAAAATTATGATTTTTGTACCTGAAATTATGAATATTATTTACGTGAACAAATGTTAATAATATTTTTAATACATCATAATTGATAAGTTATTATGCGATTTAAATTAATATATTAAAATTTAAATTTAATTAATATAAATTTTTTTTAAAAAAATCTAAATTTTTACCTCAAACCGCAAAAACGTGCACGGAAGCTTGGATAGACTAAAGCAAACCCGTGCCAATTAAATGGCCGGTCTGACTTTCTCAGGTACTTTGTGTGACAATTGTACCCAATAACCCGATCTCACCTCCTTTCACGACCTTTACAACCCAAAAGAAACCAAAGGCTTTTTCTTCAAAGAGAGTTCCCACCAGCCCTAATCCTCCATCTACTTCTCAAACTCGTTCATGGAACATCCAAAGAACATTTCTCCAATAACTTCTGCTATTATTTTTCTCCTTTTAGTTGGAGTTCTCTACATCTGTGTCTGGTCTCCTTCAATAACAAACCCTTTACTCCCCTACCAAGAAACCAACTGTCCACCCTCAAATCTTGTAAGTGTATATATATATCCTGTAATAATCTCTCCGAATACAAATATACAAACTTTATATCAATTTTTGGTGATGAAAACTTATTCGTTTTCTGTTTCAGACTACTACAGTAAAGTTTCCTGTAAAGGACGAGCTTGATTTGGCGCTGGATGAAGCTTCCATGCCGAACAAGACCGTGATCATTGCGGTTGTCAACCAAGCTTATGTTGAGCAAAGAGTTAATGCAGAGATAACAATGCTGGACCTTTTCTTGGAGAGCTTTTGGTTAGGATATGATACCAGGGCATTGCTGGACCATTTGCTACTTGTTACCGTCGACCAAACGGCTTATGATCGGTGCAAATTCAAGCGGTTGCACTGTTATAGATTGGTGACGGACGGTGTTGATTTTGGCGGAGAGAAAGTTTATATGTCGCAGGATTTTATTAAGATGATGTGGAGAAGAACTCTTTTTCTTTTAGATGTCTTGAGGCGTGGGTACAGTTTCATTTTCACGGTATGCTTTCCTTAACCTTGTTTTTATTTTCTTGGAAATACAATTCCATGAATTGAAAATATGATAAAATTCAACAATAATTGATTAAATTTTGTTATATAGAGTAACAAATTTAATTAGTTCTTCACTTATTATTACAAATATATATTTATTAAATTATCTTATGCTATCAATTTTTTAAAAAAAGAATTTAATAAAAAAATTCACTTAAATCATTTAATGCCACTGGTTCTACTTGGGGGAAAGTTCATTTGAGCAATCGAAATCCCCGAAGTTCAGGGAATAAGTCCTCTAATAATAGGACCACCGTTAACCGTGATTGCCCTGAATCACATGAAACTCTGTACGATGGTAGCTCTCAAGAAAAGGGTAATAAATTATTTGGAAAGGGGTCGAACCTTGAGGGATTTCGGGCCTTCGGAGTCCATATAAATTAATTTCACCTTCACCTCCTATTTCTAAGAATGACAGTATAAATAAATAAATATATATATATATATATATATATATATATATATACACACACATGTATATAGGATTGGGGGATTTATGGGCTTACTAGTATATGGCAGAAGGATTTTTTGTTTTTGTCAAAAATGTTAATCATACAGTACTTTATGTAGGCACCAATTTTCTTTTTATTATTATTATTATTATTATTATTATTATTATTCTTCTTCTTCTTCAAAACAAAAAGAAAAAAAAAAAAAAAAAAGTCTTTGATTTTCACTCTGGTAGCCAAAATTAAGCTGTCAGAGTGATCTAAATTTTTTTCTGACACTGTCTAATTTGACAGCATAAAATTCGATGATCAAAAGTTATTAAATAGACACAAATTTTTTACAAAACAAGATCTCAAAGATTTAGGGTCTTAAATCCCAAGACCTCTATAAATAAAAAAAAGGGAAACACGCAATTTAAAAAAAAAAATTATCATAGATCTAAGAAGTTGTAGATTTTTTTTTGAAAAATTTGAGCTTGAAAAAATATTTAGAAAGCAAAAAAGATTATTTGAGGAATTTTTGAAAATTTTTGAAAAATTTTTTGGGTCGTCGAAAACTGAAAAAGTTTAAATTTTTTGGTGACCGTTAAATTTTTCCGCCATCGAAATCTGGGATCTTTGATTTTTCAGTATTGTTGAAGTTTTCGGTAATCGGTATACGACAACGATCTATAAAAAATTGGTATCTACAACGGTCAGTGAGAGGTTCTGCGATTTTAGAGAGAGGGACTCTAGAATAAAAAGAGGAAAAAGAAAAAAATAAAAAACTGAAACAGGCCTTTTATAAGCCATCAAAAACAACATCGTTTTGGGCGTCCAAACCAAACCCGACCTGCCCAAGATCCGCATGGCGACTCAACCTGTTTCGTAAGTTTTTCTTTTTCTTTTTATTTTTCGTTTTGATTTTGATTTTTATTTTTTTATGTTGATTTTTATATATTTTTATATTATTTTTTATGATATTGTTATTATTATTGTTATTTTATATTATTACTAATAATAAATTTTTTTAGAAACAAATAAATAAATAAAATAAAAATAAAACTGAAATAAAATAAAGACCTAAAGAAATATAAATAAAAAATTTTATAATAACAATTACTTAAAGGAAATAAAATTTTATTACAAGTAAAAATATTATTAAAATTTCACCAAAGTGTTGGGATATTTAAAAAAAAAATTATTTTTGCTAAGTAAATAATAATAAAATAAAAATAAATTATTTAGATGAATATTCTAAATGTAATTTTTAAAAAAAGCTAAAAGAGTTTAGTTTTCTTTAATTATTGCAAGTAAAAATAATTTTTTTAGATTCACCATGGAGTTGGGATAATCCAAAATTATTTTCACTAAAATAAATATTGATTTAAACAATATAAAATAATAATAAAAATAAAATTAATAATATTTGATATTTTAAATTTTTATAAAAAAATAAAAAATTGAAAGAGTTTGATTTTTTTTAATACAAGCAAAATATAAATATTTAGATTTCTCCGATGAGTTAGGATAATCTAAATTTTTTATAATAAAAATAATTAATAAATAATAAAAAGTTTTTTTTTTATAATCATAATAAAAATTAATTAATAAATTCCTTTATTTAAAAAAAAAGATTTTATTTAGGATCTTGTCAAAAGGTTGAGATGATCCTAAAACTTGCTCAAAATTTTTAGGATTTCATCCAAGAGTCTAGATAATCGTAAAATTTGTTTAATAAATTTTGAGAACTCACCAAAGAGTCGGGATGTTCTTAATTTATTTAAAACAAATAAGTAAAATATCTTATGATGAGATTTTGAGAATTTTGTAATTGTTGAATTTTCTCGAAATATTTTTTAAATAGTGATTTTCTATAAATTCTACCAAAACGTTAGAGGATTTATAGAATATAAAAAAATAATACTACTAATTTTACAAAAAAATATTTTTTAAAATAAATTTCAAGAAATTAAATTTAAATAAAAAAATAATATTATCAAAATTATAAAATTTCGTATGTTTAAATAGTACCATTCTTGGAATGGACGACGTAAGAGTGTTAATACTTTTCTCGTAATTGTATTATCAGATCTAATTTTGATTTCGTAAATTTAAACTTCTTTTAGTAAGTTTTAATTAATTTAAAATTTTTTTATTAAAAGATAATACTTTAAATGATTAATCATATCTTATAAAAAAATTAATAACGATTTTAAAAATTTTTATCAAATCTAACGATCAAATCTTTTTAAATAAAATATTGTTATGGTATTTTAATATTTAAATTTTATCACTTTCATGTTAATAAATGCGATTTAACGTGTTGGGTTATGCGTTGGACGCTATGATCTTTTTTTCTATTCATGATGTTGCCAGCTGAAAAACTTGAAAACATTTACTTGCCGACACTGTATAAATATATATAATATATAAACCCTAGTGTGTTTTTTTGGCCACAAAAGCCTTAGCGTATGTTTGATGTTGTTTGGCAAGAAAATGGGAGTGTGGTTGGCTCTTGCTCATACCAACCAAGAAAAATAAACCATAATATCCAAATTAACCGAAGTAAACCATGTTGTTAGATTAGTTGAACATTTGATCTGCTTGATTAATTTAGACTAGCTATATTGAACCATCGTTCCTCATTTTTTGTCGTTACAAAGCACATGTTTTTAATGAACTCCACATATATTACTGGTATAGTTGTCTCATTTCTTGTCGTTACAAAGCACATGTTTTTAATGGACTCCACATATATTACTGGTATCGACTTGAGGCTGTGTATGAATGTTTTTGTTGGGTTCAAAATTGACTATTCTGTGTTGGTTGGAACAATCTCTTTTTTTTTTTTGTTTCTCTTTCCCCTAAGCTTGCTTTGTTTACCAATTGCCACATGTATCCTACAAATGTTGAAGCTGACGATTCTTAAACCAATAAAAACCATCGTCAAAGGCTCACTGTTTTTTCCTTTTTCCAGTTCTTTCTTGAATTATACTAATTAATGCTCTAAACTTGGAAGTGAAACTTGAACCTGATTATACTGATTTAATGTTAATTTGTTTTTCTCATTCTATTAGGACACAGACGTAATGTGGCTACGAAATCCATTTGCAAAGCTAAGCCTAAACGAAACCAGGGACCTACAAATTAGTGTTGATACATTCAATGGCGATCCGCGACCTGAGCATAATTTTATCAACACCGGCTTCTACTACATCAGATCAAATAACAAGACCATCTCACTGTTCGACACATGGTATTCCATGAAGGACAATTCCACAGGGAAAAAGGAGCAAGATGTGTTGCTAGACCTACTGCATCATGGGTTCATTAAGCAACTGGATCTCCAAGTAAGCTTCTTGGAGACCAAGCATTTCAGCGGCTTTTGTCAAGACAGCAGCGATGTCAGTGCAGTAACAACGGTCCACGCAAATTGTTGCCGCCACATAAGTGCAAAGGTTAGAGATTTGACGGCTGTCCTCCGTGATTGGAAGCGGTTCAAGGCTGCTGTGACGAAGTACCCCAAGGTAGCTCATAATATAACTAGGAGTTTTAGGTGGTCAACACACAGCGGATGTTGGAATTCATGGAAAAATACAACATTAAGTTAAACATATTGATAGACTAATCTGTTGGTTTGATAATTTCTTTAAGCAAATTAAAGTAATTCCTTCAGACTTACATAAATCTATCTTTACACTTTTGTTGAGAACATTACATGCATGCTTTCAAAATATTTTCAATGGTGCCATATTAGTTGTAAAAGAGAATGATATTAAGTGATGATAAAACATGTTAGAAGTGATTTTTTATTTTTCCACATTTGTGTATGGTCTAACCCTTTTCTCCTCTATCAAGAAAGCAACTATCCACACTCTAATGTTGTAAGTACATAATTTATGCTATTATATATTAACTTCTATATCTAAGCACAAATATGCACACTTTTATGTCAACCTTTTGTGATGAAAACACATTATTTCTTTACATACTACCATAAAGTTTCCGGCAAACGACAAGCTTGATTTGGCGTTAGACGAAGCTTTCTATGCCACTGTTGTATTTGCTTTATACAATGTTTGTGTCGCTTGTCACTGAAATACAATATTCATAATTTTTTTTTCTTTTAATTTTTTGGTGTGAGACAATTTACTTATGAAATTAAAAATTTAAGTATTTTAGAATTTGTGTGATGTGAATTTTTTTCTTATACAAATATTTTACTAGTTTTGTCATGATTATTATTGCCAAATATTTTATTCAAAACACAAATTAATATTAGAAAAAAAATTAGATGGATACTGACTCTTGGCAACGACTAAACTCGTCTTAGTCTTTGGCCAAAAATATTAAAAAAAAAAAAAAACTCGTCGTAGTCTTAGGTGTTAAACTTTTAACCACGACGTAGACGTTGTTGTCTTAGGCGTTCAAACATTGCGACGACTTTTAGGTCGTTCTGTATAACCTAACACCACGAGCTCTTTGGTGACGGGCTTGCCATGACTTTTGGTTCGTTGCATTACCAATTGCTTTTGTTTTAGTAGAACCAAGAGGCAATGCTTAAAGCCCACCAAAAAAAAAAAAAAAAACCAAACAAAAAACAAAAAACAGAAAAGGCAAAGAGTTAAGCCCAACTACCCCTCTAAATCTATATTTGTGCATGCGTATAATTCACGAGAGAAGAAAAAATTTGGTTCGAAATCAAATTTTTTATATACCTCTAAAAACTTTTTAATCACTAAACCAAAGAACCGACAACTTATCCTTAAATATTTTATCATCAACAACAAATAATTGTGAGATTTGGGCAGCTAGAACTAATTATGCATTGGCAACTCTATCTTTTTTTTTTTTAATTAAACTTTTTGTTATTTGATTTTTTGCTTTAGTTGAAAACTTATCTTTATATTAGGAATCTTATAATTTCAATAGTGTCAAAAAAAATAAAAATAGAAGAATTACTTTCATCATTTAGAGTTTTTTCTTTTTTTTTTTAATTTCGAAAGAAAATAATATTTTTTCTCATTTACTCTCACTTAATCGTATTTTTAGATTATAGAAAATAATATTATTTACCTTATAAATGTATTGAAACTTTTTATAGTTTTGACAAAATGATGTTTTTAAGATTAAAAATACGATCTTCATTGAAAATATATTATGAAAAAAATTATTTTTTATAATTCAATAAATACGGCTTAAAAAAATGGTCTTTATAGAAAATATGAAAAAAAAATTTCAAAATTAAAAAAAGACAATTTTAAGATAAAATTGCTATTTTTGTTAAATATATAATTTTTTTTAAAATTCAACAAATATAATATTTTTAAGATAAAAAATACAATTTTTTATTAAAAATATAAAAAAATTGTATTTCAAATTTTTTTAGTTTCAACGAAAATGACATTTTTAAAATTAAAACACAATATTTATTGAAAATATATTATGAAAAATTTTATTATTACATATATTATATGTACAATAAAATCTAAAATATTTTTATTTAAATAATTTAATAAATGGTAAATGAACAGTTTACATATTAAATAAATAAAATTTTAAATAAATCATTTTGTTATCCATGTATTATGAAAATCACATGTTATTAATATACTATAAAAATTAATATAATAAAATATTTTATTATGTAATTTTACATTTTTTTAACTAAATACAAAAATCTAACATTTTTTAAATTAATAAAATTAGTAATAAGACATTTCCTTTTAATATTATTTTCTCTTAAACTACTTTCCCTTATAAAATCTAAAAATATACAAATCATACATCCATTCAAGAAAAACATGTACAAATATAACTATCTTTAAAAAAAGGAAAAAATACATCAATAATAATAATAATAATAATAATAATAATAATAGTTTATTTAATTAAAAAATAATTATCATACTGATTAATCTGAATTCATTTTATCACTACCATTAGGAGAGTAAATAATACATTAGTACTCGCAAGCTACTCGAATTTGATTCGATTAAAACTGAAATTTGATTCGATAATTGTCAAACCGAGCTCGAGCTCAAGTAGCTCGACTTATCAAACGAGCCGAGTTCTAGTATATTAGTACCTGGCTCAAATAGTTCACGAACCTAATCAAGCTTTTCTATTAAATATATATTTATTATTTTATTTATAAAATTACCATCTTACCCTTAACCTAAAAAGCCCTAAGCTTTTATTTTTTTCTTTCCCTTTTTTCTTTCCTCCTTCTCCCCGTCTCTCTCATCTCATCGGTCACCAACTACAGCACCATTTCCTTCCATTACACTCTCTTCCAATCCTTTCGATCTAGTTAGTCTTTCCATTTTATTCTTCTTACTAGTTGGATCGGAGTCGACACCCGGTTACGAGAACAATAAGAGTAGATTATAGTTGCGTAAGAGTTCTAATTTGATGAAATGGCCCACTTGGCTTAATAGTCAGAGATGAAATAGCAGCTTATTCTTTCACAATAGCAATATATTTTTACACGACTTATTTTGCAGCGGCTACGCACCTAACAATGAATTCTCGAGTTCGTCTCTCATATGCTTTTTCTATTGCTCTGCCTTCTCCATCTGATAAGATTCTTATCAATGCCTTAAATCATTCGTGTTTATTTCACTTTACCTTATTATTATTATTATTATTATTATCATTCTTCAATCCTTTTCAAAAACCTTAAATTTATTTATCCATTTGTTTTTTTTTCAAAAATTTGTTGGTGCGATTGGAGTTAGGGTTTAAAAAGTGGCTTAAATCAAATTTTGAGATAAATTTCAAGTATATGATCTTCTATCTCCTGTTTATTTGCTAAAAAAATGTGAAAAAATGAAAAATAAATAGGAAAATGTTTGTTTTTCTTTGCATAATTTTGTTTGGCATGTCAGAAATTTCTATCTCTGAGTCATATATTTTCTTTCTTTTTCAATTTCATTTTTTTTTTGTGGAGTCTTTCTTTTGAATTGATTATTGTTTTTGTTATTCATTTGATGACTTTTAAAAATATATAAAAAAAACAACTTAAAGTTTTATATATTTACCATAAAACATATTAATTAAACTTTTTATCATATTATTATTCATTGGCATTGTTTTTGCCATTTTGTAGGATTTTTTTCCCTTTTATTCTCTTTATATATTGACGGAGGATGAATTGATGGGCTTGACCACATTGTTTCATTATTACAGCATTAATTTTTCATAATTATATAGTATTTTAATTATCATCCGATGGAGATTTCTTCAATCTTTTATATCATTGTCCCATTAACGATGTTTGACTGATTTCTAATTTAGACCACATCATCCACGTAAAATCAATATCACAGGTTTTTTTTTTTTTTAAGGGAAACACTTGCCTTGATAATTGTCACTTGATGATGTTATTAAACCTTGTTTTCCATGTCCAAGTTTGTATTTTTTTTTAATAATTTAAAATTATTAACAAGATTTTTAAAGGGCAAAATAATACCAAAAATCAAATTTCAAAGATATATAGCAATAATGTGATGTTTGACTTCAAAAAAAAAAAAAAAAACCCAAAAGATATATAACAAGGATGGATTTGAAAAATAAGGGGAAATTTTGTGCAAAATGGTATAACTTGGTGATAATTTTGGTAAAAAATTAATATTATTGAGGACTTGATTCCATAATAATGCATCTCCTATGAATTATTTATAAAACATTTTTTCACATGTAGCCATTAATTGAAAAATTTTAAAGATAAATTATTGTTCAAAATTGAAATTTTAAAAATATAATCTCTAAAGTGAAATTGAAAATTACCAAATATTATTTTCCATTAGTTATATTATATATTGTTCTTACATTTGCCCACTGTTAATAAACCTACCAAACCAAAATAATAAAAAGAATCTTATAAATGTGAAATTTAAATGTAACTTCCCTTGTATGAAAATCCATATTATTTGAATTTAAATTTAAATTTAATTAATTTATATGATTATTTTTAAATAATAATATTATAAAAATTTAAAATTTAAATCTCAATACCTAAAAAAAAAAAAACACATTTAAAGTTTTTTTAGTGTTTTTTCTATGTATTTTCCCGGAGGATATCCCTAGAGGCATTGTAGGCTTTACCCTTAATTACTTGGAAAATTTTTTGTTTGTATATAATGATTAGAAAAGAGAAAAGTAGAATATAAAAGTGAAGTCCCAAACGTTTCTTGGTAAATTATGACAAGGGTTGATTTTTAAGTCAAACATGCAATTAAGTAGATTCTTGATCATCTAAACACTGTTTTTTTTATGTGATTATACATTTTTTTTGTTTGTTTTAGTTATTGCATGTGTAGGATCAAATGTTTTAGTTACTACATGTGTATGATCAATTTAGATCTTATTTATTTACATAATTACTATCACCCTACTGCATTATTAATTGTCATATGTGGCAAAGATTATGTATATTATTTGTAATTCCTATAGATGGTTATCATTTACTACTAAAGTCCATACTCTTCCAATAATTTGTTTCTAGCAACTTGTTTGGCATGTTTCTTTTAAAAGAATTTATTGCACATGTTTCTAACAACTTGTTTGGTATTATTGTTTGATCCTAAAATTGAATTATTATTTTGATTTGTCCTTTTTTTTTTTGTTATAGAGAACTAAACATGTCATAAACTAAATCGGATATCTCCTCTATACCAGTTCAGCCAACAACAAATTCTTTTGCTAGCTTAATTATGTCAGATGATGATAATGATTCAAAAAATAAAACTTTAGATGTCATTGATGGTAACACAAATAAAACACCAATCATCGATACCAATGATAGAAAATGTGATGATGCTGACTATGAAGAGTGTGAGAAAAGTAATGAAAAAAAGAGGTAAAAAACATCTGTTGTTTGGTTGGAGTTCAAAGAAGTCACTCTTCCTGATGGTTCTAAAAAAAAAAAAGTATGTCCATTGCAAGAAGAAGCTAGCAATAAATGTAAGTAAAAGTACAACTAAATTTAAAAGGCGCTTGATAACTTGTGTCAAGCGAAAAAATTTTTAAGA